GCTTTACCATCCTATGAAACAGCCAACTAGTGTGCTACAGACTACATTCAGATATAAACAACCTAGCCTTTCTAACCTGGTTTACCCATCTTCTCTCATAAGTCCTAGATTGAGAGTGCATGACTCGAGGAACTTAGAGATGCACAAAATGATAGACATAGACGTGTATTGTGGAGGATGTTTTACTTGGAGTTTGGCCCATGGATTTATTAAAAGAGCTGGGGCCAGTCTACCTTGCTGCCAAAATATCCCCTGTGGTCCACAAAGCATTTTCCACAAAAAAAAACATTCAAAAGAGAGGAGATGTCTGTAAAACTGTTGTCAGGACACCTCAATCCTTCCTACAGCCAAGAAAATGTATATGTGCTGTGAAAAAACAACTGAAAGCAGGGTACCCGTGAACCATCATACATTGGGTCAATCTGAATTCCCACCAAACCTCACCTATTCTAGCTAAGCAGAATGTGGTCAGCATCACAGCCAACATAACCCCAGGAGTGAACCATACATGACACCACATAATTAGACATCCTCCCAAGAAGATCCAGATAAACGCTGTTTATCAGTGTATGACAGATAAAAGCTGTTTATCTGTCATACACTGCAGGTGTCCCTTAATAGCAGGCTCAATAAAGATCAAGCAGGAACCTCCAGGTCTGAAATGCGGAAGTGCCTTAAACCTGCATTCTTTCTGTCCTTCTACCACTGAACATGAATGGCAGGGGACCCCGTATCTCATCTTTCCCTATGGGTGAAAATCACCTCAGAGACAGATGTCTATTCATTGTCATCACAAGAAAGAGTTAAAATCCTGTGTTTCCTGTTTCTTCCTGGATTTAATCCTTGAGAGCCTGCCCTGCACTGGGCAATGTGCCCATCATGTTATCTTCTTAGGACAAAGCTTTGCAGTATCAGGTAACAGGTCAGCTCAGTGCCAGAAGCAGTTGAGTCCATGTGTACCACAGTGCTGTTGGACCATGGATGATTGGCAGCCTGCCATGTCTGATTCTCTCCAGCAAAGAGGAGATCTGACAGAGGAGAGGAAAAGAGCACGTACAGCACATGTGTAGACATGACCCGTCAGCCCACATGCTGTGAAGGACTGGAATTTAGACTGTCCTGAGAACATGGACCGACACAGGCTCTCCGTAACAGCAGTAATGGCTGAATGCCGGCCTGCTTGATGATAAGCCACCGCGATCCAGTTGTTTACTTCTCATCCGTGGCTTAAAGTTCTGCAGGATTAACAATACTGCTTAAAACATGAGTGGTTATCCTCCCCAAAGATTTTTCTTCTGCAAGGACTTGGGAGTCTGATGAAGCCTGGCAGAGTCCAGCTATATCTAGAGGGGTTAGCTGTAATGATGCTACACTCCACCTCACAGCAGAGCACCAATAGAGGAAATCCTTGAAAGAAGATCCACTGTTGTGATTTGAAAAGAATGCATGCTGGCCAGTGCAGGAAGCATCTGAGCCGAAACAGGAACAGCAGAACTAAGTGTAGTTTCCTGATGAAGCCGTCCTTGGCCAGGCTGCTGTCACGGTTGTTGAAGAAACTGAGGATGAGGAGTTTGAGGTCGACGCTGCCCTTTCAATAAGACATAGGGTTGAATGGGTTCCTCCTGATTTGAACACATTTTTCCGATATTTCAGAGCTTAGATATGTGAGGGTGTTTCAGGGCCCCATTAACAGGCACGGATATTTAGAGCAGCCGTGTTTGACTTTGAGGATCAGACGCACAGAATCACACATACTTAAACTTGCTTTTGTCCAATGGGACATCAGAAGCACGGGGAAAAAAACATCCAGACAGCTGCACGGTTACAACACTGTTTGTGTGTACGTGTTACAATGTTGGGGTCAGAGCAGGAGGGGTGGTGTTGGTTTGGAGAGTCACGGGACATACGAAGTGCATTTTTTAATGCCTTTGCAAAATGATTCTCTTCATTCTGTTGTTTTTTTTTTATTGCTTTTTCTTTGTTATGTAGATTACTTTGTTGTGAAAATCAAAGTAGGAGAGTAAATTATCCTTTGTTGTGTGTGTTTGCATGCAAACCATTGCATGAGACCAATGAATAAACTAGCTCTCTGTTGACCCCTCTGTTTTAGGAGTTCAAGAGTTCTGCAAGAAAATGCATGAACCAAGTGGATATGGTCATGTTTATTACCCTTAAGGCATTGCTCTCACTTACTTACTTACTCTTTTTGCGTTTGGTCTGGCTCTTCACACATGCCGCAATTTTGCACAGAACAAACATCCTCCGCATTCTCAAAGTGTTTTGTTGCCAGGCAGTAACAAGGCAGTTACCACCTAATCCACCCAGCAAGTGCAGCGTCAAAGAACGCCATTTTAAACAAACAATCATCAACAACAACAACAAATCATATTGCAGTAAGAGTTATTGGTGTAAGACATGAGTTTCAGATTTGCAGCCAGCAGAACCCTTTCCTTACACTCAGAGGCAGTAGAAAACAATCACTGCTTTGCTGATTTATGTCATAGCTTTTATTTAACCTCTGAGTGCTTGATTTAGTATGAACTATTGGCATACATCAGTAAATATCTGGAGTGGATTTCTTGAATTTTCTCCCAGAATCCATATCATCAGGCCGGCTATGAATTTTAAAGGATTTCAGAATCCTTTGTTAAAATTTGTTCGTAAATACGTATTCCTATATTATTTTCCAAAGATTCATGCTAAGAAAAAGCTTAATGCCTGTTTTCGTAAGCCTCTTAAGAGTTCAGAGAAGTTTGTCAACGCATGGATGAGCATGTAATACTATAAATAAAGAGAAAACAAGAAAATCACCTAAATTGGTGTTACAGGGTTTTTACCTGACAGCCATCAGGCCGTTTTGCCATATTTCTGCAATTCAGTTTGACCCTACTGTAAATAAATCCTAACATCTTCATCCTAAACTCCGCAGCACCCAGTGGTGGTTCAGTTGTTAAAAAAACAAATTATGCATGGCTGAGTGTTCAAACCCACAGATATTTATTTCAAATTCTTTTAAAAACCCCAAATTATGCAAAGATGCCAAATTCGGGAACTTGTGGGATTTGTCTTTCTTTATAAAATGAAATGATGCACAAAACACCAAGTATTTCAATGTGGTGTAATAGAAGCAGCTATTGTGATACACTGTGTAAACTCAAAAGTTCAAGAGGTTGAGCTGATAAATAGATGATAAAGAAACTGATAAACAAAACTTAGAGGATCATAGTGATTTGTCAGATTACAGCTAGGAGAAAGAATGAATTGTTTGTTTTCCAGCAAAAATATCTGGTAAGTCACTAAGGAAGAAATTAATATTTACAAATGTTCCAGATAATGTGAGGTTTTTTGAAATACATTACATTACCCATCAACACTGAGGCCTGGGTGGATATTATAAAAAGAGACTCTTTACAACTTCTACGACAAGATATGTGTGCCCCAGGAGCCAGGTGTTGAGGAGAGAAGCACATCAGCCTGAAGATGGAGGCTTGTTCTTCAGCAATTAGCTCAGTTCAAAGACATGGCGTGCGGGATGATCATCTCTCACAGCTTGTCTCTCTCTGTCAGCCTGTGTGTGTTTTTCAAGTCTCTGCCATGTTTTGGGTCAAAAAAAGAATCTTTTTCACATTCAGACTCAGAATCAGGAATTACGATACCGTGAAGTTCAAATTGAGCTTGTTTCCGGCGATAGAGGACAAAAAGTGGTTACAGATCAGGAAGAGGTTTACAGTAACTATCCAACTGTGTCCCTCAGCCAAGGCCACGTAGACTACAGAGCAACAGGGCCAAAGCACGTCCTCTCCACCCTCCCACACCCACACACACACACACACAGGTGCAGAGCAATGCAATCGAGTTTGGGAGCCATAATGCGTGCAACCATGCGTATAATGGTGATAATGTCTGTTAATGGTTTAATAATACGAGACTGTGCTAATGACAATAATGATGCACCAGGAATAGCCACCTCTGAAAATAGAGCAGGGGATGGATGTCATTAAATAGACTCCACAGAAAGGTCCTTTGTTTGGTGTGGGTGTGTGTGTGTGTTGTGTGTGTGCGCACGTGCATGTGTGCGTGTGTGTGACAAGCACTCACAAATGAAAGGTTTGGAGTTGTACTGTTATTTATGAATTGCTGATCTTTGCAGCACGTATGATGCGTTTTATATTCCGTGTGGTTATTGCGACAGACCACCTGAATGTGCAGAACAACGTGCACACACATGTGCAAGCAGATCTGTCTGTTTGTGTGATTATGGGTCTGCTGCAACTTTTGAATACTTACAAGAAAATCCAACAGTTGCACAACATTGAAGATAAAAATGACAAAGGGGCCACTCACACCTAAGTAATTGTAACAGTTTTAGACAGACATCATCCTCAGAATCACTGCTAGACAAAATAAATAATCAATAATAATCACGATCATCGTCACGTTCTACAATATGGGACCTTTGAAAAAGTAGAAATAAAGTAAAGCCTTTCTGTGTTAAAATTGATGAAAAGAACAATCCCTTCTTCACATCAACCCATCAACCTGAAACAAATGACTCATTGTTGCAGGGGAGCCAACTTCTTGCCAGATCTATCATATATCATAGTCAGAAATGTGTTAGTCATAAATTTTCAATGAAATCTGATCAAGCTGAACTGGATCCAACAAGTAGGCGACCTGGATGTTTTTTTAAAAGTGCTTGGAGAGAATGTGAGCAATGTGTGTATCATGTGTTAAAATAAAAAGTGAGGCCCTGCAGGGTGAAACAGCTTTACAGCATGTCAGATAAGACAACTCCTCTTCCATCTCCACTGTGTATCGACACTGGTCATCAGCCCAATAACAAAATAAGTAGCTTCAGGAAAAGCATTTTAAAAAAATTTCATAGTGCTTGTTAGTTGCGCCTTGACAGCGGAGAGGCAAGGATGCTCGTGTCTGCAATATGATTGGCTGTCTGTGCAGCCTCCCGGCTTGTGGCTATATATCCCCCGCACCCTCCGTCTGTGCGTCAGAGCTCTACCAGAGCAGGGAGCGGAGGACCGTGGCGCACAGCGGGACACACTGGACACATTGTGAACTTTCCCTGCTTTAACCACACAAATAAATCATAATTTTCATATAAAAGCATCCGACTAATTAGTGGAACTCTGCTGGAATATCGATCGGAAAACTTTGGCTTTGACCACACAACACTGCGGTCCGGTAAGTTTAGACTGAGAACTTCACCAGCACGTTACTGCGTCTCTATCTATCTATCTATCTATCTATCTATCTATCTATCTATCTATCTATCTATCTATCTATCTTGTTTTTGCAGTGGAATATATCTGTGAATCTACTCAGCTACATTTTGTTGGTGATTTTAACAGTATTCTTGCGTCTTCGTGAAATGCTTCATAGTTTCAGGAATTGCAATGAAATGTAGTATAGCTATGTTTCATAAATGTACTGCCCTTAAACTGCATCCAGTCTTTCGCCTTGTTGAATTATAACCTATTTAAAGCCAGTGTGTTGGATTATAGAGCCTCAGGGATGCTACAGGTGAAAACAAAAGGTTTGATTTGTAGCTGGAATCATCACAGTCTGATCCATCCATCCAGAGTTTCTTTCACTATGTGCAGCTTATGTTTTACGTGTTGGCCTCATGCAGCGCCCTAAAGATGATCTGGCAAATTATGGATATGTATTGCTGCCCACAATTATTTAAATCAGAAAAATGAAACTATCCTTAGTTTACTGGCCTTTTGTCCCACATGGATATGGTTTATTGGATCTTTGCACCGTGGAGACACTAAACTCCGGGAACTGGCAGAAAAACTAGATTTCACACTTTGGCAACGAATCGAAAATGCTAAACTTGTACACTTTTTTAGGTGCAAATTAGGTGCAGTGGAGTTGAAACTGCTGGTATTTTTTTATTTTGACTCATTCATCTGTATAATTTCCCATATTTAAACCATCTTTCAATTCAATTCAGTTTTATATAGCATCAATTTATAACAGAAGATATCTCATTGCACTTTTCATATAGAGCAGGTCTAGACCATAGGCTGATGTTAGCTGTGCAGATATCAGTGAAAATGAAAAATAGTTCTACTAATGATAGCAAATTTTCTGATAATAATAATAGGAGTAATAATAATAACTGCAGCAGCATGGCCAGCAGGATTAGTGTTTGCATTTTCACTCACATGAGGCATTCCTGTTATGACCATGAGGTGTTCCTGTTATTCCAAAGAGAGGGAGGAAAAAATAACAGGAACACCTTGCAAAGTCAATGAAACACCAAAAATGACCTCTGTGACACACATTCGCCAAAAACAGTGTAAGCGTCATATGTAGGATTTGTTGCAAGAGTATAGTGCGTTAGATTTTACAGTTGCAATTGTGTCCTAGGTTCCTGTAAGCTAATATTTGAGTTGTGTATTTATTTAAGTTTTTCATACAACTAAACAATGGAGGAATGTAGCTAAGTAGCCGACAGTTACTCAAGAACTGTACTGAAGTACAATTTGAGGCATTTAATGCGTTAGTAGTTTCTACTCCATTACATTTCAGAGAGAAATATTGTACTCCACTACATGTATCTGAAAGCTGTAGTTCCTAATTACCTTTCCAATTATAATTTTGCGTTATAAAAAGTTCCTGGCAGCTACACCAAAGAGACATTTCCCCTTTAAACTTCTAATGTGGTTAAATTACTGTTTAAATGAAACCATGTGAGTAGTTTAAAGTGGAAGAGTCCCACTAAGGTCAAATTATCCAATATTTCACAATAAAAGCAAAGATTAGAGAAAAGCAAAAAACAAACCAAAAAAAAATGTAAATGTTTGTCAGATGTCAGATTTATCTTGTGACCCTCTGGAGGGCCATGGCCGTTAGGCTGGAAACCACTGGACTAAACCAGCCAACTGTACATAAGGAGGTTAAAACTAGCGCCACCTCGAGCAGATACAGAAGTAAAAAGCTGGTTACACACACATGTATCAGTATCAAGCTGAGGTAGGCAACTTTGGAGAAACTAGCTACAGACATCGATTTTGAAAGTCTTCAATTGAAAACAAAATCCCATCCCCTACCTTCTGGCCTCCTTCCAAAGCCACGCCCCCGAAACACATTTTCTGTGCAGAGCATTTGATTTATTGATTGCTGTCGGGATGTAAAGAGAATATATATAAAAAAAATGCTTCTGAAATAAATCGCCTGCTATGAAGGAATTTTTTGCCTCAAAGGTCAAAGACAAGAGATATGGTGTTCTTCATTCTTAGATGTTTACAGACAGACTGTCTCTCCTTAGAAAGTATTACATGTGACCTGCTAATTACAGCGTGACTTAGGCTACTCAGTTAAGTGTCTTGTTTTGAACCAATATCCAATAGACTCTTCAGACATGTACTGGATGAAGAACAACCTTATTTGGACACATCTGGAAATCTCAATAGGTTTAAGGGGGATAAAAACTGTAAACAAGGAAGGATCTTCAGGTTTAGTTTGGCACTACACGGTGTTCTCACTCTCTGATGCTTTGTCCTTTCTCCTCACCCGAGTTTCAATACATGTTGCTGCTTAAGTCATCCTGAGTTTCCTGAAACCTTCTTCATTAATAAGAGTTGACTGGCTGACCTACCTTAGCTGTAACTAGTAATATATCTGTCACAGGGGACATTTTATTGCAGAACAAGTACAAGTAACTTTTTATACTTTAAGCATATTTTTGCTGATAACATTTCTGTACTTAAAATTAAGTAGAATTTTAAATACAGCACTTTGCGTGTAATGGACTATTTTAACAATGTGGTGTTGGCACTTTTACTTAAGTAAAGTACTTCTTCCACCACTGCAACTAAATACAAGAATATGTTACATTTTGGTGCAGGCAGCTTCAGAAAATCACCGTGGTATTATATTCTTGCAAGATGCTGAATCATGTTTCTTCCTGGTTATTAAACTTCATCACATTATCACATTACTATTTACAAGTTCAGGATAAAGTCACATTTAGTTTTTTTCTCACTTCATTGTATTGACATTTGTTGGTGTTTAGTTGATTAATAAGAATAAAATACTGAACACTTATTTCTCAATTGTGACTCATGACTTCTGTTCTCTCAGGCACCTCACCTCTCACTCTTTCCTTCCTCCCCTTGACTTTGTCATCCCTGTGCTTTCCTTTTCCTCCAATTGTTCTTCAAAACGTTACAGTAGATCAAACTGTCATTCACCTCAATCTTGGCCTCTTTTATTGCCATTCTGTTCCTGCATTTGTATTTATTTCTGCTCATTTCAACACACATTTTTCTGACCACCACTAGTATCCGCTCCACTTTCACTCTGCTGACTGCAAACTTTCCATGTCCTTCTTTCTAAGATGCGAGGCAGAGCTAAAGGTCAGAGATGGTTTCTAAAGTAAAATCTATCAGAATAAGAGGATCATCCCAATTAAAACTCAGCTTTCCGATGAGATCAGACAATCCTGCTCTAACATGGCCTAATAAGGTAGCACAAAGGTATCATTCAGATCATAGAAGATATGTGTGGACAATGGCCACATTTTTCAAAACTGATTTACTGTGTGTGAGTTCATCCATGTGATTTTGTGTCTTTGTGTGTGCGAACAGAATGGGGCTCTGTGTTTCCGAGCTAAATGCAACTATAAATGTCATTTAAGTTTGAGAGAGAGTGTGTGGGTGGATGTGCGTTTTTATGGTGTAACCACATTCTTAGATGTGATCATTAAAAAGTAAAGTAAGCATTTGTCCCCAAACCTTTGCCTTTCCAGACGAAGCACATTTGCTCAGAGATAGAGAGATTGTATGTGTGTGTGTGTGTGTGTGTGTGTGTGTGTGTGTGTGTGTGTGCACTGATATTACCATGATTGTCAATAAGGCTATTTATCCCAAAAGACGCCCCAGGGCATTCAAGCTGGTAGGCTACACGTGATTCTTAAGAGGCTCAGAGAATAGCTGGGGTCGTCTGTGAGGGAAAGAAAGTATCTCTCTCACACACACACAGGACACACAGAAGCGCTGTTCCTAACCCTAAACTCCGTTATCACTATTCCATTTGTCTGTTTTGTGTTTTGTTGTCCACCGCTCTTTCTGGATGTTTCACACCCTCTTCTTTATTTTATAATACTGTTCAATTATACATAAATGTTCTTGGGGTTGTAATGACATACATTGTGTACATGTTCTGTTACTGCTCTCATGCCATTTAATGGAATGTAGTGATTACAATGACTGTCTCCCCACATTCATTAACACACAGCAGCGTCGTTTACAACCCATCCAGACATGCAAACTTACTTCTCCCTTCCCTAATAATTAAATGTGTCAATTTGGAGACTTGCCAAATGAGACAAAAACTTCTCACCCCCGTGTAGATATATGTCTAGTCAACATAAGAAAGTCACAGCAAGATATAAAGAACCATTTTTCTTTTGATTGTTTAGCAAGAGAGGAAACTGAAAACAGACACGCATTAGAGGCTGCCAGTTTTTCGGGAATCATGTTGGTCAATGGATACCTGTGGGATTATTAAATCACAGAATTAACTATTAACCGTTAACCTTGTTTACCATGTGACAACACTGCAGTCTACTGAACAACAGGGCTATAGCTAATGGCTATAAATACCATCATGCTGAATCTGGGTAAAATTTTAGCCAGTACATTGCATTATGTAACAGAATCCGTGTTGTTTAACCTTACATTGATTGCTGAAAATGCTGAAATCATTGTTGGTTAAACTGTGTTTATCTGAATGTTTGTGTGTCACAAACCAAAGTGTTGGACAAATTAACATTTTCATGAAAAGCCAGGGGATCACCAAAGTGACAATTCCCAAGGGAGAACTGTATGAGTAAATCAAACTTCATGGCAATTCATCCAATAGTCGCCAAGACATTTTTAATCAAAAGCACAATGGAGGCACTAGAGGAAAATCCAAGAGATCAAGTCGTTAGGATTCATCCTCTGGGGACCATGAATGTCTGTACAAAACATATTGTGTTTGCATGTAACATGATGGTTCGTCTACTCTCTCTGCAGGACAAACGAGCACAGATTCAGACCCATGCTGCCAGGTCCGGAGCAAGGCCTGTTGTGTGAATGTGTGTAAGCGTGTGAATATGTATGTGTGTGAGTGCCTTTGAGTGTGTATTTTTAGACTGAGTGGGGGAACGTCTTACTGTGTGAGTGCCAGGCTCGTGCGAGGATGAGGGCCGTCGCTCTGCTGTCTCTCCTGATGGTCGCGGAGGTCGCAGCCTCTCGGTTTGTGCGCGACTCCCAGGCCGACCCCGAGGTGATAGAACCCTCCAAGAACAACGCCTCCATCCCGATTCAGCCCCTACAGCCGGCTCGGCCACGGGGCTCCTTCCCCCCAATGTGCATAAAGCCCACAGAGATCAAGCACACGTTCAAGTATGTGAACACCATCGTATCCTGTCTGATCTTTGTGGTGGGGATCATCGGCAACTCATCACTGCTCAGGATCATATATAAGAACAAGTGTATGAGGAACGGACCCAATGTCCTGATTGGCAGCCTGGCACTTGGGGACCTGCTTTATATTATCATCGCCATACCCATCAATGTGTTTAAGGTGACCACATTTATCGTTTGTGTCTGTCTGTTTGTATGTTTCCAGTGTTTCCTCTGTTTGTTGCATGGGACCGATGATCTCTGCCAGGTCTGTAGTTCAAAGACACTCAACTTTTTGGAACTGATAATAACGTTTTCATTGTCATATCAAAGCTGTGGATCAAATGAATTTTTTCAATTTAAAATAATAAGATACAGCTTTTTCACATGACATAAAATACTAATACAACAATTCAGGCATTTTTGGCAATATGCGATAAACACAACTTCCAATTAATTAAATTTATTACCCATTCCTGGGTCTGTGTCTAATTTAGTATGATCTTTATCTGAAACAATTTCCCTGCACTGCACTTTCACAGTTATGGGTGAGCTGTTTCAACGCCTTTCTTGTAGCACCCTGTGGTTAGCAGTGTTTAATTGCTGTGGTTAGTCTCTATATGTTCAGTGTGTCTTGTGTGGTTTTGTTCATTTCCTAGTCTCTGCAGACTTTCCCACCTAGACTACAAGGGACCATTCAAACTAAAAAACTCACTAAATGCAGACGCGAGCCAACAGTTAGGGACAACTTAAGCATTTGGGGTTTGAGGAAAAACTATGTCTTTGTTTTCCTCACTTGCCTTGTGTGTTTGAAGTGAAACTATCTAGGGGGCTTGGGTGCAAATGCAGTCAATGCCAAATGCGCAACTCTCACTGTAACCATGATTGTGTCCACTGTGTGCCAGTCAGAAGTTCCAGCTTGTCTCATTTTCCAAATCAGAGCCGAAGCTGGAATGGTGTGCTGCATTTTATCCAGGCAAATCTGAGTAATAATCACTCTGATTCCAATTTTATTTGCCTTAAAGGTCCTGCACTTCAGGTATTTTTATTTTATTTTTAAAGATGATAATGAGATTGAATGAAAAACAGGATCTGCTGAACTGATTTTATAACCCCTGGGAGAAAGACCACAGTCTTTTTGATTTTATCATTAGCTGTTTTAGTAATAATGAAAGACACGAGTATAAAGGGACCCCTACATGAACCTCAGGAGGTCTGTCCATGTGTTTACACAGGTGACACTTCTTAAATTTCTCTCATTATAAATGTCTTTCCTCTATGTCTGGGTCCTTTTATTTTCTCTGCAGTTAATAGCCGAGGACTGGCCATTTGGCGTGTATGTCTGTAAGTTGATGCCGTTCATCCAGAAAGCTTCAGTGGGGATCACCGTCCTCAGCCTGTGCGCCCTCAGTATTGACCGGTAAGTAGAATACTTCCCTACACACGACAAACATTAGCGCTGGAAGCAGCCAATGCATAGATCTATGTTTGTATACTGTTTGCGTAGTTACCATGCAGTGACATCATGGAGCAGGGTGAAGGGGATGGGGATCCCTCTGTGGAAAGCAGTGGAGGTGACTCTGATCTGGCTGGTTGCTGTGCTGCTCGCAGTCCCTGAGGCACTGGCATTCGACATGTTGGAGATGCCGTACAGAGGCAACAAGCTGCGAGTGTGTCTGCTGCATCCAGAACAGACCACCAGCTTTATGAAGGTAGCACGGCTGAGTTATATATCAAAAATAACCAATGTATTCGAGTATCAATTGATGAGCGATATGACAGATCTAGTCATATTATAGTTATTCATTGCAGGAGACTCGCGTTCCCTCTCCCACACAGTCACAGACTCTCCAAAGTAATTAAAGGAAAATTTCACGAAAGAGAAAAAAAAACTGTGAGAATCACCAATCCTGTTTTTGATTTAGAATCGAAATTGCGGCACCCCTAGTATTGGTTGATCCAATCAGAATTGGAAAGCTCCAAGTACGCCAGTTCACACCTGCATTAGAATGCGTCTCCACATGCTTTTTGAGTGACCACTTGCGATTGGATCTCACATCTCAAATAAAAACATATATAATTTCCATTCACAAAGACCAAATGTGCTGTTGTTTGTAACATGAATTTCATGAATTTACTTCCTTCAATGTGGTTATTTATTATTTTCTTCCAACACGGGATTTTTGGGGTGGTCAAAGTCTGTTAATAGCTGAAATGACTGAATGCCCCAAAACCTATTAGTCTCTCTGAATGAATGTCAGATACAAAATAATAGGTGCTAATTGTTTTCAGTTATCACACCAATGCAACAGGTACATAAATGTTGAAGATATTTGACCACTATATCTGGAAATGATTAAAATAATATATTTTAAAAACTGCACTATTGGTATTAACAGCATAATGCAGTTACTTTAGCATGGTAAAAGAGGAGCAGATCAGAAAGCAAGGAGACCTCATACTAAAACATTATCAAACAAAGGGAAGTAAAAATAAAGACCTGTGTCTAAGCAGGCTTCAAAATAAAGACCTTGTATCCTATGATCTCTGAAGGTGAGAGAAAAAATGGCCTCAACCACCATTTAACTGATGCTGTTATTTGGGAGAAAATGGGAGAAAATATTTGGGAGAAAATATTTATAATCCACATCACCCAGCCCCAGAACACATTATTTCTGCACCTGGGTGAAGCTTGCCTTCAGGACTATCTGCCTAAGAGTTAGAGCTTGTGTCTTATGTGAAACCCAAATTCAAAGTTGCCTTATTATTTTAACCCAAACCACGATATTTTACTAAACCTAACCAAGTAGTTTTGTTGCCAAAAAAGTGAAGAATAATGTTTTTTTTAACCCCAAAGTCAACTGAGTCAAAAATTAAAACATCAATTTAGTTTTCACATGGGGCACAAACCCCAGTCTCCTAGTTTAAAATCCTCTATTTGACACAGTCATCCACCAGAACCTCCTGCCTTTGTCACTCTTTCTGCTATGTTACCTGACTTCATACAGCCTTTGTCAAGTTTACCAGTTCTTCCAAACAATTTGTCGCTCTTTGTTGACAAATTTCGTCTTGCTTTTCTTGTTTATTTGACTGCAGATGCACTTCAAACTCGACAAAACAAAAACGTTTTTAAGTGGCGTCCGGTATATCTGGCATTGCAGAGACAAGTTCTACTGTGATGAATCAAGTGCACACGTGCGATAGTTTGCAAATATAGTACCATCTAGATACAACCGGACCCAAAAGTCAGAAAGAGTTTGTTGATTTTAAAATGAGAGCATAAGTTATCTCTGAGCATAAGAAAATCTAAATATATTAATTTAACGACATATAAACAGCTGGATACATCCGTCTTCCTTTCACAGAAATATTATCAAAATAACTTGACTTCAAAGTGCGGCATGCATGTTATTATATATATTATATTATTGTCCAACAAACATATGGTACATTGATTTAGATCTCTCTGTTAAGGCTAAAATAGGGAAAGAAAAAAAATGACTTTCAAGTTCAAATGTCAACAGGATGATTCGCTTCAAAGCACATCGTCTGAACAGCAACAATATAATTAATGTGTTTCTTTGATCAAGATTTATTTACTCTTTTTAAAGCTCTGCCAGCAAGTAGTTAGTGGTTCCAAAATGTAAAACAATACTGTAAATGCTGCATGCAAATCATCTGAGTGTGACTCATCATATTCACGGTATCTTCATACAGCTGCACAGCAAGACAGACATTTCCAATATGTGAATACTTGAAGTTTATTTAAACCAGAAGGGTCTGAAGGAATCACAGGACACGGTGAAAATACAGTATAAAGCTGATATGTAAATACACACACACACTTATCCTTGTACTTCTATAGCTGTGAACCTATAGACCCTCGTTGACATGATATGTTTCCTAGACCCTTACTCTAACCTTGACGTAATTCGTCCTTCCTTGACGTAAAAAATGTCCTCACTCTGTTGGTTAAAATCTTGTTCCAGTCCTTACTATGTAGGAAGTACAAGTATACACACACACACACACACACACACACACACACACACATATATTGCCTTTGGGTTCTGGCATTTATTGATTGTATTACAATTAATATTGTTTGCTTGTTGACTATTTAGTTATATGAATAAAATATTGTCTCAGTGAGATAAGATTGTAAATGAAACACACATCTGATTATTATAGAAATAGAGTTGCGACTTTTTCTTATTACAATGAAATTTAAGGTGTTTTTTGTCTATAGGAAGTTGTGTAGTTCACTTCTATAGAAACATTTGTAACGTCTGTAACAATGTATTTGTTATAGCACTTTATTTAACAGGGTCTTTTTCTGTTTCCAGTTCTACCAGGATGTGAAAGACTGGTGGCTGTTTGGCTTCTATTTCTGCTTCCCGCTGGCCTGCACCGGAATCTTCTACACGCTCATGTCCAGTGAAATGCTCAGTCGCAAAAAAGGCATGCGCATCGCACTCAATGACCACATGAAACAGGTACACATACAAATGACTGCTGCTGTCATTCTGTACCACTATAAACATAAGACTTGGAAAAACGGAGGCACTCAGCAGCATCAATATTTGTCTTTGTGTGTAGAGGAGGGAAGTAGCGAAGACGGTGTTCTGCCTCGTGTTAATTTTCGCTCTCTGCTGGCTGCCCCTTCATCTCAGCCGTATTCTGAAGAAAACTATCTACAACCAAAATGACCCCAACCGCTGTGAACTGCTCAGGTAGGCACGCAGATACAGTAGGCGACTCAAATGCACTGCAAATGTCACAAGAGTCCATTGTTCTATGTTCTGTGCCTTCCTGTAGTCTTTACTGTGAACTTTGCCCTTTCCCTGCCAGCTTCCTGTTAGTGATGGATTACATCGGCATCAACATGGCCTCCCTAAACTCCTGCATTAACCCGATTGCCCTTTACTTTGTCAGCCAGAAATTTAAAAACTGCTTCCAGGTAAGAGGGCACACACTGGCACCGAAAATATGGTATCAACAGATTCAGTCAACTAAAAGCGAATAACTGTGTGTCTTTTCTTGTCTCATAGTCCTGCCTGTGCTGCTGGTGCTACAGAACATCTCCCCTGGATGAGAGAGGTTCAGGAGGACGCTGGAAGGGCTCTTATCACGTGAATGGACTCGACCGCTCCAGCTCCCGCTCCAGTCAGAAATACACAAGCTCTTCATAGACACACACACACACACACACTCATCACACACCTCTTCTCTGCAAATCAGATCCCAGTAAGGAGGGGAAAATGGAGCAACTTCTACAGGACTCACAGCAGACTGAAAGATCAATCCCAAACAGATGAACGACATAACAGGACTGTATCTTTTCAGGCTGTAATACTAACTGCAAAAACTACGATAAAACCAAGGCTACATAAATCTGCCGAGGCCTGTGCGGAGGACTAAAAGTCCCTTAGTGGACCAACATGGTAAATACATTTCTAAAGATTGGTTATTAAAGCCACATGTAAATAAATGTACATGATTATCTACGTGCAGATAGCAGACCTATTTTATGATTATATCTAGCCTAAGTTCTTCATGTTTGTAAAACAGCGCTGATGAGTCCTGCCTGTTGAAGCTTTAATACCTCTCGGGGAAAGATAGAGGGAAACTGTGAGTTATTTACAAAAAGCTTTAACTGTGCGTGCCTTTTTTTAATAAAAAATGCACGACTGTGCCTCTGCATATAAACAAAATCAGTAGCTGATTATCTGACAATCAACTGCATTTTGTCACTGAACTCGTCAATGCCCGCGAGACCTGGTGACATCATACAAGAGTAAAATGGGCCCCACCACGTGCCTTACATGTGGAGAGTGTAACATTGGACGTCTTTTATCTGGAAATCATTGCTGCTTTAAGTCATGTGGAGGACAGCTGTTGTCTGAGAACACTGACAAATACCAGATGATTCCCATCACAATTCGCAGAAGAGGTCTTTATTAGTAATATTATTATTGCAGTATTCATGCGGCTGTAAGTGGTTTCCACTGTGAATAAAGCCTTAACCTGTGTCTTACAATGTAGCTTTTATTTTTCTAAGAAAATATTACAAAACACATTTGTTTTGACTTGTTTTATCTTCCAGCATAAGTTGTCCATTTATTATTTCCAAATATCTCACCTCTATCAGTGAGTGATCATGTTACAAAGATGTCCCTTTGGCCAGAAAATACACACGTACTCAGTAGTCACGCACTTAAGACAAATCTTCTGATGCCAAAACATCAACAAACAACCCAATTATGGGCTCTTTAAAAGGTCAGACATGAGAAGAAGCTGCAGGTTGTGCCAGATAGTAAGGCAAGCTTAATTCCATCAGAAGACATGGATTGTGGATTCTTAGAATTATCGTTTGGGGGAAAATGAATCAAAGTTTGAATCAAACACTGGCAGTAGTGAGAGGCTATACTGATACAAGCACAAGATGAATCCATTTTATCTGGTGATTTTCTTTGTCTCTCAGTACATTGTGACTAAGATATGGCGTTGGAAATATTTTCCTATATCAAACCAATAACCACATGTGTCCTGAGAAACCAGACAAGGTGTTCACACTGCAGCATTTAAAATAGTCTTGATTTATGTAATATAATATATAAATGTTCTGACAAAATATTTCCTTTGCTCCTGTAGTAGAGTTTGCAATGGTGCAAATGTGACTCATTCGCTCAACATATCTATCTATGTCAGGGGTGGCCAAACTTTTCTGTTTGTGGGCCATGTACAGAAAAACAGAAGAAGTGATCAAATTCTGAAATTTTTGGCATTCACTCACTATATCATGTCTTTTTAGTTCCGCCATGTGCTTTTAGTACTGGAAGGTCTGAGCAGCTTTTGGACTGTCTTTCTAGAGGGACTATAAGCTAAGACATTTAGAAGTAGTTTGAGGTTGAAGATAAAATGTAATATGAATACTGGCTGGTGTTTGCTGAGTATGCTGTAATAAATATTATTTTATAGCATTTGTGTTGTTGGATTTGAGTTATGTATTGAACAATTAAAGTATAGTGTATGTATTTAGAGTCCTTTCTTGTTACTATTGATGCAGCATAATTGCTGACATAATATTTACATGTTGTGCAATACATCTGCATATATTAAAGGTTCCCTGTGGAGTTTTTGACCTCTGGTAGTGCTATGGAGATGTTTTTATATGAGTGGGTCCCCGGTTTGTCTTGTGCACACATGCTGGTGTGGGTGACGAAATATACATACATGCTAATGCTTTCACACTATTCCATGGATTGACAGGTAGTGGTAATACCAAGATATGCTGCAACTTACCAGCAAAGGCAGAGAAGAAGAAGAAGAAGAAGAAGACGGTAAACGTAGATTTAAACTCTGCGAGTCAAGGTGGATGTAAACAATGCTGGATTTAAATTATGAAATGTTTTACAAGGAAGGTGCATTCAGCATATTTGTTTGGCCTGATGGATACACACGTTTTGGTGAGTAACACTGAATGTAAAGATTATTTTTGTTTGTTTACAAGGACACTCCACAGGGCACCTTTAAGTAAGGTGTATGAAAAGGATAAATCGTTCTCACAGTTTTTAGGGCTTGCTGACTTTTCTGCAAATGTTTCATGTAATGTGCTTTACATCTCTTTTGTAGTATCAGTTACATAAGTATAAAATAACTTTTATAAATGCTCAAAAAAAACCCTCAACTTTCCCAAATGGTACAGCTGTGGCGCACTATAGACAGGCGTGAACATAAACAATCATCTCTGTTATTAACAGCTTGCCAAAGGTTAAATATAATGTCACAGGCTTCAAAGCAAGTTTTTTGGAGGAAAGGTTACACTTAGTTTACATCTGATTTCAGGGAAAGAAAAGATGTCAAATGGTTACACTTAGTTTACATCTGATTTCAGAGAAAGAAATGTCAAATGTGTGACACATTACCATTTAGACGGATTTTTCTGGTTTGAAATTATTGCTTTAGACAGCTAGACATTAGGCGCCAGGGGCCAGTTCCAAAAAGTTGGTTTGCGGAGATAATTGATTATCATATTTCAGAAAAGATCTTCTATAGCAGCGCATGTTACAGAGTCAAGCTGTTTCTTGGAAAGTTCCACAAGGCAAAAAATATTATTATTATTATTATTGGTGGTTACTCTATGTTGTTCTTTCGCCCCAGAGTAATTCAAAAAGTTTTGCTTCTGAGGTTAAATGTCCTTGTTAGAGAGAAAAGTATTTAGCAACACTGGAGAAAAGTATTTTGTTGGGGTTTTTTCTTCACATCTCACAAACCACACAGACTGACAATAATCTACGTAGTTGAAAGACATACACTGCTGCATTAATAATCCTCACTGTAGTGCAAACAAAAATCCAAAATAATCACATTGTTATGACCCTAGGGTCTGTGTGTTAAAATAGAACACATTAGTAATCCAAATATATGTTAATTAAGTAGGCTATAGTAAATTAATGGTCTGTGATGTTAAAATGTTTACTGATATTATAAAACAATAATTCAATAATTTGCTGGAGTTCATAAGAATAGAGAGCCTAAGTCACTCGCTTCCGTTTCCGGCCCATATTTCAGGAAAAATACGTACGGTAGTCAATGGCTAGAGACAACTTTTATTTTTATTTTGTTAGAATAGAGCCCTGAATTACACATATGATGTTGGTCAATTTAAAATATAATTTTGCAAGTCAATAAAATCACAGTTTGTCATAAAACAGTAAAGTTACATGTCGTTTTGTGTGAAACCCGTTCAGTGAATTACATCTCTCGTCTCGCACAACATATGTCGGCAACATGTTAGCGTGGTAATGCTAGCTAACGTTCACTGCTTTCTTGCTACTAGCTAGATAACTTAGCTATATTCCACGCAGAAATATATTTCATCTGATATGTTTAATCCAACGTCTCCTGGTCCTTTTTATCACATCATCCTCTCAGTTTTTTGTTTAACTTCAGTAACGTTAGCTTCAGTCATTGACAGTTACAATGTCACATACGCAACTTTTTGGTTTGTGGTCTTTGTAATTATGTATTTTCACAGTCTTACACCTCAAAAGTATTACAACAAATTGCGACTTTCTTGACTTTAAAATGTATCTTTTAAATTGACAAACATCATATGTGTAATTCAGGACACAAAAACAACAACTACAAAAAGTACTATGACACGTCACCTGAATTAAGATTTCCTACTTGTGAACTCGGAGAAAAAATTTGTACCCTGACTTCACGAGTAGCAGCTGAATGACGTCACACAACAATTCCCATGAAGCACACATTGTAAATGGTAAACTAAAAGCCAAAGTAAAGTATTAAATTAAATTAATAGCCTACATATTAGTATCAAATAGTAAAACTTGTTCTGCATGTAAAATGATATTTTGTCAGTGTTATTAGGTAGCTGGTTACAGTAAACAATCTCTGAAAGTCATCTTCTCTACCCAAGTTATTCAAGAAAATGTAAAAACTGCCCAGAAATGTGAAAACATGTGAAATATACCCTACAACTTCAGCAGACTTTTAAAGATTACCAACTGAGAAGGATACACAGTTAACGAGCAACGTAGGTATCACTTGTTTTTAATAAAATTGCCATCCTTTTAATTAACACCAAGTGCACTGTTGAGGGTTTAACTTGCCAAAGAAACATAAGTTTGTCATGGGGGGTGGCGCAATTGATGAGGCTATGCCTTTGGTGTGAGAGACCTGGGTTCAATCCCCCACTATGACCCATCCACCATTGTCCCTGAGCAAAACACTTAACCCATAGTTGCTCCAGAGGTGTGTGACCTCTGACATGTACTTTGGATAAAAGTGTCAGCTCAATGTCAGCCATGTTTATTGTTTACATTTGGCATCATGCACTACAATGCACCTGAAACGCTTTGAAGTCAGAAATCGTATATTTCGACTTGGAAATTTCCCAGTTCCGACCGGTCTGGAACGCGGCATCAGACGCAAGGAAAAGACGCAAGTGAGGGGAAACGTGGTGCAATTAAGAGACTTGACAAGCACCCCATGTGTCTGTATTTACCTCCTCAGTGGAGGGAGGACTTTAGTTGCATACTTGTTCAGTCAGTGTTGAACATAGCCCCTTTAGTTTCTTTAACCTGTGTTCATTATCGCCTTATCTGCTTGATCGCTTTCTTCTTTTGAGAAAGTAGTTTTGTGTTTGTTTACACTTTGTCAATATTGTAATATCTTTTTTGGTTTGCACGTGACCCCGGTTCAACAAAGAGATATATATTATAACCCATCAGTTAATATCTAACACATTTGTTTATTCCAAACTATAAATGTTGGAAATGTTTGCACCATTACTTCATACAAAGCCAGACTAAACATTTCTTCCTGTTTGTAGCCCTTGTGCTAAGCCCAGCTACATATTTACACATATATTGACAAAAGACCGGTATTGAGCTTTTCACCTGACTCTCTGCAAAAAAGCAAATAAGCAGATTTTCCCAAAATGCCAAATGACTGATTTTAAAAATGATCCTTAACTGGTTATATCTTATAAATATAGAATATATTTCATTATTTTATTCCCATACTGCACATGCAGTTTTGTCAAACATGAGTCATAGTTGAGGTTTGTCCTCATATTATGTTCCAGCTTTCATACCCAGTCAACCATGCGTGAACATGTGACTGACAGAGGGATACAATTAGGCTCAAATAACTTTAACCTCATTATTTACACTTGTCTCCCCACATTTTCCCTCTCCGTCTTCCAGGCACTGTATGAAGTCCCTCGCACCACATTCCTCTGCTAATAAGGACATTCTAGCTTCCAATTCTTCCTTCACTCATCATACACATGGCTTAAAAGGACAGATGAGAGCAATTTGGTGTTTGAAAGATCCATCATTTTAGGTTTGGACATCCTTCAAACAGTGTTACATAAGTAGTTGTGAAAATAAATATTACAGTAAAAGTCAAATGGCAGACTGTTATTCGTGTTAGAAATCCTTCCATGAAATTCCAAAAAATGAAAGAAAGAACGAAAATGAAAGTCTTTGTCGAATTAGTTTAATGTTGTAAATTTATTTTTCTAATTGTTCAAAAAATTAAGGACAAACAAAAGTCACATTTATCATACACATTTATGATCCATCATACACCAATTCCAACATAATGCAAAAAACACTGTACAAATGTTTGAATGTGACATGATCAAACTAACACTAATTGCTAACACTAACTAGTAGATATATAAAAAGGGAAATATAAAGATAACATTTTTACAGTTCTAACAGCTTCATAGTCACAGATATTTGATGCTCTTCATTCCATGGGTTGCTCCTGCCTCTCTTTGAACTCACTAACTCTTGCCTGGAATGAAATAAAACAGAATTGAAGTTGAGATAGTGTGGGGAGTGTTAAAACTAATCAGTGCTGGCTGACTTTCCTTTCACCATGGGGCTAATATACAGAGCCAACAAGACAACCCAGGGTTTCTTCTGTATCCCACATGAAAATAATAATCTTCCATGTGTGTGTGGAAATTAAGGTTCATATCTTGCTTGCCTTCCTGAGTGGTGGGTGGAGATTAAGGACCCTTCAGGGGGGCAGAAGTTGCTGATATCTGATGCAGGATGAGGATAATGATACTTCCTGCTCAGTACACAATCTTTTGAAACTACGAAGGATCAGCTGCCATCCATCTTTTCGTGGCTAGTCAACGGAAAATGTGACTTTAAGAATTCTCTCTAAACTGGCCAAATGTGGGTTGGACTGTGGTTCCTAACAATGCAACATGTTTATGCATGTGCCGTTACTTGTTTACCAATATATTGATTTTCCATATGACACAGAAATCAATATCGAACCACTGCTGGTCATTTTTTTTCAGTAAGAGGCTGGTGATTAATGCGACCAAACCAAATGGACACACTGGCTTACCTGAAAGGTGTTGAGAACATGTTGACAAACATCACTGAGCTCATTCAGGCCCCTCCGCAGCGGCTCTGCAGCTGGAACTCCCCCTGGAATAGAAAGAAGACATACCTCTGAAGAAAACAGCGACCACAAACAGTAACAACAAAAACATTCACTGACAGTGGAGGCTGCCATGATCAGGGCTGCCAGAGTTACCAGAGAAACCAAGAGGGAGATGCTGTTCAGAGTCCCCAAATTTGAAACATGCAAGCTGCAATTTACAACACTGGATCATTTCCTCTCACTCACTAATCAAAACAAATGACATATTTGCAACCCATGCATCAGCATGCAAGAGCCCTGTGGGACCCTCACATTTCGACACAGTTCACAAGGGACCATCTTTTTTGAAACATGACACGGCCACTTGCAATCTGTGTTTAAGCACTGGTTCCCAAATGCATGTGTCTTATCCACTGAGCCATCACCAATTGTGAGCTGCAGTCCTGGCCTTCTTCTCCTGACTGCCATGGAGGACTTCCACCCACCCATTTTCATTGTGGTCATGGTGGGGAATTATAATGACAGAAATAAATATAGAAATATAGCTAATTATGTGAAAGCAAAGCGGAAACTTGGGTTTTTCCTGGTGCCTGGAAGGTAATTGTATCTCTCTGTGATGAAGCCATGACAGAAGACCTTCCAGGCATCTTAAAATTTAGTTCAATAACAGAAAGTTGTTTTCTTAAGCCTTGCAGAGTACGTCCATGTGATGGGGATGCTTAAGTCCGTAGGCTTCAGACTTTAATCAACATGTTCACTCTGCGACACAGTCCAAAAATGTTTACTCTCTAGCTGTCCTATGCATGTATGCACACACATGAACTAACCTAGATTGTAAAAAAAAGAAAAGAATAGAAAGTAGATGTGAAAGGGCTTTAAGGGGTGTCTCTCACCTCGTGTCTGAATGCGAAAGTTGATCTTGCTCTCAGATGGATGGGTAATGGTGTAGCCGCAAAACTCCACATCCACACTGATGGAAAACAGGAAAATGAAAGCAAGATTTGTGATTCTTATCAATGTTTTGCTTAAAATGTGTTAGGGGGTGTTATGTGTTATTACATTTTTTCCACTATCAAGTCATCCCAGCTGACATGAACAGGCTGATAACAAAAACACTCGGAACAAAATGGAATTGCTTTAGAGTCCCTTTTTGTTATGATTATTATAAATAGTCTGAATGATCTCTATGGGTTGACAGGGAAAAACAGTCCCTTCCAGCTGCAGTCAAATCACAAATTAAGCCATCAGTGATAGTACTTCAAACATGTGGAATGGGAGCAGTGCTGAAAAATCTTTTTAAAGAAGACTTGTTAAACCAGTGACCACAACATGCTGAGTTTAAAGCAGCAATTTGGAAAATAAAAAACAACAACAAAAAACACTGACGTCTTCATGATCATATATCTGAGGGAGTTGCCCAGGGTATGGTCTTCATCATGCAGCACAAATGTCACACAGCCCTCATCAGCCCCATCAGCCTGGACCTAAGACACAACAGAAATACTAACTTTACTCCACACATCCAACTGAAAACAAAAACATCAGCCAACTTAGCGATCAGTCTCATGCTGGGGGGAATGCACTGTCAATACATTAAATACTTACCTTAAATATGCACATTGACAAGCATCAGTTGAACATATTGAAAAGCATATTTACAAATTTAGAGAAGACTCTTGTCTGTTTAAATACTGGCCCCCAGTGGAGAAACTGAGTCAGCTACGGCTACCTACTTTACAGAAAATGTGGTTAGTGATTGACATTTCAGGTAGGGTTGCCACCTTAAATACAGAAGAATAAGGGATGCCTGCCGCAGCCAGGGTCACAACCCTCGGGGGCCCGGCAACGACAGGTCCGATAGTGTGCCAGTGGTGGTATATCATAACTTAAAACATGTTTTCAGGAAAGTATTAAGATTGATATCAATTGACATTATAATAAGCTATCTGCTATTGAAATCAGTTTGAACAGATGCAGTCATGTTCATAACTTATTAACTATAAATAGGCTATGATAGGATTCGACTGGAAAGACTTTTGCAAAGGATTTACCATGAATATCAGTGGACCAGAAGTAGTAGGCCTAGTATTGGAGCATGTTAGACCTACTTCCTTTTATAAATGTTTTCTTGTCAGAAGTACATTACTCCTGCAGCACTAAGCAGCTGTTTGTCTTTCAAACAGCTACAGTAAAACTATGAACAGGACTGCTCAAAGCTGAGAGAGATGAAGAGCTCACTTCTATTGTAACATTTCTTAACAAATAGGCAGCATATGAAATGCAGTGTAATCAATCAGAAAAATAGTACGTTTTATTAAGTCATTACACTGCCTCGGCATGCTGTCACACGTCTGACAGGCCACCGTGCACCACACAGGACACTGGCCAACAAATTGTGCAGTTTGGCTTGATGCTCATCAAGTAGGCTATTTGATTTCTCCCACTCGTCGTCTTTTGAATCCGCTTTCGTTACAGAGGGGACGCAGGGGGTTTCTCGAGCTGCTGCTCCCGCCGCCGTTGTTTCAGCTAGACTCCCTGCCAAGAGACCCTCACTTATCTGACTGGCCCTGAACCTGACGGTATTAATCAAACAAACAATGGCATCGAGTATTACCCAATCAGGGGTAGAAAAGGGCAAGTCTGTACAGAATGCGAGTGGGATGATTTGCATGGGATGCTGCATTAAAGACAACTCGGAAATACGGGACAAAGCGCTATTTAGTTGTGAAATACAGCACGATTCAGTATTTTAAGGGACGGGTGGCAACCCTAGTTCAGGTAACCTTAGCTTTAGTATGGTACCGCCACTGAGTCCAAAATTATGGTTAACATTAAAGAGAACAGCTTTTAATGTTAGTGTGGGTTTCAGCTATAAGCTGTTTTGTCATTGCTAGCGTCTGAAGCTACCCACGTGGGAAGTTTACAGGCGGTCGAAATGCAACCATTAGCCGAATATGTTCTTACAGAGTTTAAAAATGGTAAAGCAATATAGCTGTATACAATACTAAAGAACACAAGGCTATTTCTTTTTTACCATCTCCAGCACTGGCTTCTTTTCACCTTCCCCGGCCATGCTTCACATTACGGCTCTGTCTGTCAGTGCAGACCTCGTGGAGTTTCAGCCCTCACCGTTGTCTGACAGGGCAAGTGCCGATGATGACGATGATGATGATAACACGAAATTACTGCTACGAAACAGGGGGGAAATAGTTTTAGTGGTGGAAGTATTGTCCTACAAACTTGCAGGTGTATTGAGGGTGTTTGTTGCGCACATGCTCTTTTTACCATTAAATGTTTTTCTCTCCGCTCTACGATGGACTGGTGACCTGTCCAGGGTGTACCCCGCCTTTCGCCAATGTAAACTGGGATTGACTCCAGCCCCCCCCGCGACCCTGTACGCAGGATAAGCGGTTGACGATGGATGGATGGATGTTTTCCCCTCCTAACTTTGCAGTTCCAGCTCACAGCTTTGCAAGTAACTTATGCCCTGCACAGGCCTGAACTTACATTGATCTGTCATTTCTTTTAAAAATGAGTTGTCTCAGTGGTTGAAACATACTTGAATAGCAAGGCTGGGAGCCACAGAGACACATATTTGTACATCCAACCCAAATTGGGGGAAAATATATTTCCTTATAGGCTACAAGACACAATGAACGAGAACTCTATGGTGTTGGTAAAGATAAAAATTAAAATGACAAGGCCGCTTCGCTCTGTCTTGTTTTAAGACTTAATATAATAAGTTATAAATTAACCTCACATACATGAAAACACAGAGGAGAGGTAATACCTTTAATTATTTATACCTACGTCTAAAGAAAGTGGACACGATGTTTGTCCAATCACTTAATGTTTATCTGTCCTATTATGTTCCATATTTCCTCGGGGTTGTACCACTAATTGTACAATTTACAGAGTAGCAGCGCTCCACAGTAATGTTGATGTGCATTTAAAGTATTCATTTCAATGTTTATGAATAGTAATAATTTGTGGCTTCGATTGATATAACTTTGCACATATGAGTGTTCATGTACTGCAAATTGTGTGAGAAACTGATGTTTAAAGCGAGAGATTCAATCACCGATAACAATAGATTAAGAGATCCATTGCAACCGTGTAAGTTGCCTGTAAGACCTTGACAAGGGCTAAAATAAACCAATGAATGACAACTGTAGCAATAACGTGACGTAGGTAAAAACATGTGACGATCACACGGCGTAGCAGGAAGTAAAAAAAATGTAGTTGACAAAGTGAAACACTACAATTAAGTAGGTAGGCCAAGGTATGTGTAAGAACTACATTCCCTAGAAGCAGAACGAATTCGTTTCCGGTCTGGAGGATTTGCACAGCAGAAGTCACTCGAACGGGATTAGCTAGTTTGCTAGCACAGGAAATCTCTTTAGATGTTGCAATTTGCACTAAATGAGCTACTTTGAAACGCGCTGACACATCGAGGTATTTGATTTGTTATTATATATCACCGTTGATTGGGTTAGCTATAAGCAGTAGTTGGTGGCATTGTGATAAACAGTTGACGTTGCCTAAATTACCTAACGCCGTTATGTCCAGTGGTGAACAACAGCTAGCTGGTCCGTTGTTTTGCAGCCACCGTAAATCTTGCTTTCATTTTCATTTCTCGTGACAACCTAAGTTAAGCTTGTAGTTTTAATTTAGTGGCCACTAACGTTAGCGCGTGAAACTACGTCCAATTACTTACTTGTTAGTTTCACACGTTAACGTTACACAAACCTTCCTTCATTTCTGTCCTGTTTGTAACGTAACACTCAAATGTTTCACCAGAGTTCATCTCTGTTGAGCAACCTCCTCTTTCCCCAGCCCTTTCTGCTCGTCTCCAGTAACGTCTCACTGTTATCGTTGTTCGTGTAGTGATTGAGCTGAAACCCCAGCTGTTGCCATGGCAATCCTGTTTGCTGTGGTGGCTCGTGGAACCACCATCCTGGCAAGGCATGCGTGGTGTGGCGGAAACTTCCTGGAAGTGACTGAACAGATTTTGGCCAAAATCCCATCAGAGAATAACAAATTGACCTACAGCCACGGCAGGTAGGATGAACACACACACACACACACACACACACACACACACACACAGTCCTCTGCAGTCACCTACTCATCATCCCATAGGATACTAAAGGACAGTACCCACTCAGCCACAGCCTGTTGACCCTGCTGCCTTCTGGGAAGAGATATAGAAGTTTCTGCTGCCACACCACCAGACTGCAGAGCAGCTTTCCCCCCCACGCTATCAGACTATTAAACTCAAATTCATCCTCAGCACTGCTCCGTTGAATATAGTTTATCTCTGTTCACCATTTCTATTATTGCTTCTATACTAATGTATATTGTCTGCTACAAAGCAGAGGGGAGTTACAAACTCAATTTCACTCTATAACCTGTTATATTGTGACAAAATAAATCTACCTACCTATTATGCTATACTCCTGTGTACTATGTGTAGGTATGTGTACAATGTGTGTGTATTATTCGTGTTGAAGGTGCTCTTGGTACAGTCTGCGAAAACAAATTTTCTCCATCGAGGACAATAAAGAATGAATCTGAATCATAGGTAAAAACAGTGGCAGACTAACCTAGAGTGCTGAATAAAATACCTGACCAACAAGTTACAAAAGGAGACCTACCCCCATTGGTTCCTCGGGCAAGTGTAAACTTTGGTTGCCAGCAGTTTTCAACTATGACTATGCTCATAAAAAAACAGGCTGTTCTTGTCATCAGAGTAGGGTTGCAACTATGAAATACATCGGCAACTATGAGTTTGAGTAATGTTTTCAGAATAAAAAAGTACAAATTCTCTGATTCCAGCTTCTTAAATGTCAATATTTTCTGGTTTCTTTCTGTGGTTGTGGCCAAAACAAGACGTTTGAGGACATCATCTTGGGCTTTTGGGGAAACACTGATTGACATTTTTCACCATTGTCTGACATTTTATAGACCATTTTTATATGTGATGTTACTTTAATCACTCAGGGTCTTTTCATGCACATTCACACACCTCTGAAACCTTTAAAAGTGGGGTTTTGTGTCCAAGTAATCTGGATTTTCAGGCCGCTGCATTCCCTTCCTAGGTGCAGCGTCGTATATAAGCATGTGACCAGCTCTAGATCAATAAAAGCTCAGATATCAGAGCTTACAGAAGGTGTACTGCAGGAAACCACAACCTGAAACAATAATGCGGTATTACATGCCACAAAGGCACAATGCAATGTGTCCTCACTCAAAAATCTTGTCAGTGAAGCGGTGAGAGAAGAATACCAGTGTCGTATAGGGTTACACCCCGTTAATTACTGTTTATACGTTGGTAAATGTTAGACATTTTACAATGCATGTAGTGTACTGTATTAAAATGTGTGCTTTCAACTGTATTTCTATAATGATTATTCTTTTTTTTTTTTAGCTATCTCTTCCATTACATCTGCCATGACAGAATCATATACCTGTGCATCACTGATGATGTAAGTATATGATTGGCTCAGATATTCATGTATTTATTTGTTTAGGGGTGAGTGGGGAAGTTGAGTAATAGATATTAAAAGGTCCCTTGAAATAGCTTTGAGATTGTAATTTGTTTCATGCTGTTTGACCTGCTTCTGCATGATGCACTCTATGCGAATAATTACATATAGAGTACAGTTTAGTAACCCAGCCACTCAATTATTGCACCCAAATACATCTCCAGCCCATGTTTGTGAAGTAATATTTTGAGCCTATAACAACAGAAAGCCTTTTTTTTTTTTATTTCACTGGCTCTTTACTTTATACTTACTTTAATCACTCAACTTTTCTTGTGCTAAAGGACTTTGAGAGGTCACGGGCATTCAGCTTCCTCAGTGAGGTCAAGAAGCGCTTTCAGACAACGTACGGGTCGCGAGCACAAACAGCCCTGCCTTACGCCATGAACAGTGAGTTCTCCTCAACACTGGCAGCTCAGATGGTTAGTATGACAAGAGCCTGAGTATATTGACCAACATTTTCTTTATAGACTACTTCTCTAGTCTATATAAAAACACATACAGATTTAGTAATCACAAAACACAATTTCTTCTCCTTTGCTCTCCTTTCAATTTCCCTCTTTTCCCCCCTACCTTCCTCTGTCTTTATTTCTCTATGTAGAAACACCACTCGGACCCACGAGGATCAGATCGTCTCACTGAGACTCAGATGCAGGTGGATGATCTGAAGGGCATTATGGTCCGTGACATAGGTGAGCTGCTCATGAGTTTCCCTGTGGTGCAGTGATGCATAAAGGACCTCTTTTTGATATAGGGCTATGAGATAATAATGAATCAGAAATGTGTGAGTGGCATTATTTCATTTTTAAATGAATGCAGTGTGTTGTGGATGCATCAGTGACCTCTTCATTATGCTGTGCCAGGAAAGCACTGGTACTTGTTGGCCATCATTCCCAAAGGAAGTGTTCTGACCAAATGTTTACATAATATGTACAATTCTGATGAAAACTGGAGGACGACTGTCTCAAACGTCTGTCAGATTTCACCAGCCATTTGATCTGAATCGTATTACACCGGATCTTTTGTGTCTCCCAAGTGAACTTGGGCTCTCTTTGTGTCTTTTTACAGACTTGGTAGCTCAGAGGGGAGAGAAGCTGGAGTTGCTGATTGACAAGACAGAAAATCTGGTTGATTCGGTGAGTTTAAAGACGTGTGGTTGCAGCCCGTTCGTCCTACTTGTTTTCTGATACTTGATAATATGCTGTATACAAGTTTATATTTTGACAGTAGTCGAATCAATCTCTCATCCACAAATATTGTCACTGACGTTACGTTCTCCTTCTACTATGTTTTAGTCGGTCACATTCAAGACCACAAGTCGTAACCTGGCAAGAGCCATGTGTATGAAGAACCTCAAGCTGACTGTTGTCATTGTGCTGGTGTGCCTGGTGAGTACGTGCAGAGTGGGGAATTGGTGAGATGCTGGTTATTTGTGGGATACAGTCATTACTTACTATTACTACTACTGTTTTAATTTCCAGCTATGATGAGGCTCGGCTGTCCTGTATAAATCATTAACTAGTATCATAAGAGGGTTCTTCAGCATCGCTTGAAGGAATTCCTCCTGTGTGTCGCGACTGTATGTTCTCACTGTGTGATTAATCGTTGAACTCTGTGTCTGCGCTCGTTTCAGGTGGTCCTTTACATTATCGTTTCTGCTGCCTGTGGAGGCCTCAGCTGGCCCTCTTGTGTCAAATAATGAGAGGAGAGCTGGGTTTTAAAGAGAAGGAGAAAAAGAAGAGCCAGGGAATCGCCTGTTCAACTTTGCCTGCCAATGGATGCAAAAGGAAAACAACTTTCCTTCCTTTACTCCTCTAGCGTCAACATCCCCAGAAGACAAATGCTGTTCCTCCTCCTTCCTCGCCCGTCGCTTCTTTGATAGTGTGCACACTGACTTGCCTTCTGGACAGGGAGACCCATCTCATACCCACACTAATGGACAGCAGCCATGTGGCCTAAAACTGATACAATAATCTTGTCATATACTAGTCTGGTACATTCATCCTGTCTCCTGCACTCAGTGGCCTGATGTATCAGTTTGTGATACTGTCCCGCACCTATCTATGTAATTAATCCATTCAGACAGATTCCGGGATGAACCACAAAGAAAGCAAAGATTGCTTTGTTATTGTCCTGCTTTTCATTTGCTGTCAACAGAGACATATGCGTGTGAAGGTAGCATTTACAGTGTGTTGCAGATCCATGAAGGACTCCCACAATACAGTGTCTGGTTCTCTGTTATAGAACTGAAAACAAATTTTCAACAAAACCGATGCAGTGTATAGTATGTCTAAAGTGACAAGTGTATAACGAACCATATTGGTGGTGTCTCATGAATGAGACAAGCCCTTTTTGTTCAGAAAGAGATTTTTACTGATTTCCTTCATGTTTTACGCCAAGCACAGTAGTATGTTCTAAAATCGATGTTGTAAAATAAGAGAGATGTGATCATACAAATAAATATTGTACATTTGATTGATGGTACTGATTGAAAAGAGGTAATGTTTCTTTTAAATCAAGTCTGATTTTTGAGAGAATTCTCCCTTTCCCACCTTGACCGGAGGCTTCTTTTGACATTTTACCTCTGATAGTGTGCCCATGTTCTTTCTGTTAACACAATGCACTTTTTACATTGTACATAGATTTGCATCCTGGCATATGATTTACTATCATGTAATTATTTAACTATTGTGCATCTGGATTTCAAATAATAAAATCGGATGGTATCAAGTGGTTGATCTCTACAGGAAAACAAAAGAAATGTTATGACACGTGTGGCTTTCATTTTGGACATTAGAGCTGAACTGATGAAGACAATTCTTTTATTAACTGATTAAAACGAATCTTCTATGTCTAACCGTTGATTGTGTGGGGAGGCCAACTCATCATGGTGGGTCAAAGGTCAAGAAACGACACTTGTTCATCGCTTCTGCGGGACAACATGAGCTGAACTCGGTCATGGCCAGTCTGTTGTGAATGAAAGATGACAGTGTGAGAAAGGAAAACAACAGGTGAAAGTAATTGTTCATTAGGACTTCGTCAGCAGTGTGGTCCTGTCTGTGCTGCTTGGTCCTGTGACAGGCAACGTTAACGAGCCATCAGTCCAGCGCTGAGTCGGGTTTCTTATGTCGAACTACTGTGCTTTCTATGATCTAACATGACCACTACAAGTATTGTCTTGAATGTTGGGCAGAAGGTAAGGCAGTTTAATACCTTATTATTTCACTACTGTAGTTGTTTATGGTACCAAAAAATATTGCTTAATTTACCTCCTGTCAACAGAAATTACCGTTAGCGCCAAACTCTGTGATTAGCTAGTTAACACTGAGCTAACGTTAGTTAACGTTTGACTTTGTTCTCCTGTGAACCGCTCTTTGTTATTCAACCGTTGAAATTCATATCGTTAGTGGTAACCATAATATTAACGTTAGTCCGTCAGGTTTGTAACTGTATTCAAGACTGCTGATGTTGGCGAACACCGGGTCTATAGTAATATCATCTTATTTCCTAATCTTTTAATGATGTCCCAGGGGTAGTGTTTTTAAACCATTTAAGGACTTTTTCCTTGCTATTTTTAGCTGCATACTATGTTTACTCCTGATCTAATTACATGCCTAACTGACTGGAGGAGGCCTCGCAAAGGGGAAATCCAGTCAAGTGCAGGGGGTAGTTGTTTTGATCAGAAAATGTTGTACCAATGATCATGTGTCAGAGTGGGCAGGGAGGAATGAGGTACAACTACAAATACACGCAGCTAACGTTACATTGATTCATGTTTTTTTGGCTTTAAATACACAAATTTAACTTGGTGACTGTGCATTCCTGTGTGTCTTGTGTGCAACTTTAAACAAATGTCAATATCCTTGTGGAGTTGTGCAGCATATTGCAAGGTGAAACGCCTTATGAAACCATGCTGTAAAGTACACCATAAACACTGTTCCCAAAGGTTACTATAGAATATAGTTTACTCTCCAGCACAATACTTCAGATTGAGCTCAATTCTTGACCTTGGAAAAAAGCAGCTTGTCAAATATTCTTAACTAAAGGTCCAATTTAATTAGTTTGTTGTTATTGTTTGTTGTTGTTGTCCACCCCCTGGACATGTGTGTTCACTGTGCGTCAGAGATTAGGCTAACTGAATGAAGAGCTAACCAGGACACATTTGCACAGCTGCAGATGCATCTAACATGCCTCTGTTTTTCACTAGATCACATAGGCCCACAGCTTTGTCTTGTCTTGAAAGGCTTGGCCATTTCTTCTTGCTGGAGCAGACTGACTGATATTATAACAGTGCCACACTGTTCTTCTAACCAGGCTTGTTGGTGTGGTTTTTGTCCCCCAGTGCTTTACAGAGGGCTGTGTTGTCCCTGTGGTATGTTGTCAGGAATCCTCCAGCTTGACCTGCTGCCCTGCTGTAGTGTGGGGCAGCTATGTGCCCGGGTTTTTAATGGCTGTGCCTGCTACTCATACCTGCTCACTGTATTATACAGAAATGTCCAGTCAACCAGGTAAAGGCAACGAAAGGCCATTTGAGGCTTTCTGCACAATGCCTGCGGGTCTTCAGAAATGGAGAACCACTGTTCTGCTTATCCCTGTGTTTTATATTTTATAAAGAAAGTTAAAGGCTTTACTACAGGCATGCAAACCCTTCACCTTTCGGCGAATTTCGCAGTTTTGAAACTAATATGGGTCACCTACATGATCTGTGCCGATCCAATGAGAAAATATTTTTTTTCGGGGTGGGGGTTCAGTTCATCGTCACACAATCCTTATGTCCCCATCGCTTTTCAACATAAAGTGACACCGTTGTGTGTCAGTATCTTTCTCTTGTTGCAATACACAATTGCAAGTTATCTATACAAACATGTAAGCTTAAACAGACCCCTCTGACACAGTCTGTGTGTTTATCTGCTTGCGTATCTTTCTCACCTTTTTTACCCATGATCAGTTTGCATGCCTGTTACTAGCATTTATAAAGATAAACTGAGGTAGTGAGGTCTCATTTCAAACGGTGATGTTGATAATAAATGAATAAATTGACGAGGCAGTATAGTCTTGAATCTCAAAACACACAGTAGTTGGCAGTTTACTGTGAGTCTTGTGTATCAGAGGGATTTTGGTCAGTCACCCCACTTGTTTTGAATGTATTGTATGCTTTCAGAGCAATACTGTGTAGGTGGCAACATGCATCACCTATCCAACGAAGGTTAAAATCAAGGGCAACTGGACTTGGTTGAAGATACTGGAAAACTTCTTCAACCAAGTCCAGTTGCCATTGATTTCGTTGGATAACTATGACCTGGATGACTGAGAATCTTCATAGACATGCATCACCTACGTTTTATATCTGAGTCTTGGACTGGAGAGTCTAAAGACTTTTCTAAATTCTGTTGAAAATGAACATCACTTTGCTGCTACATAACATCTGCATACTTGTTAACAGCGGTATGTGAAGAGCAATGATGAAATACTAACATTACATAAGTAGACCTACTAAATAACGTATTGTACAGGATATAAGACTAATTCTTGAGGAGATAATAAGCCTACCCCATACCATGATTTATCTTTTCTCCAGTTAAGATTAGACTGTAGGTTCCCAGTGTCAGTGCCCTTGTATAGATTAAGCAGAAATAGCATGGGTCTTAGGGGTCTTAGACTCTGGTGTCACACCACTGCTGTAGTCTGAGGATCATGTGTTGACCTGTTTGTGTACAACATGAGGCCGTGTCATCAGACAGTGACGATGTCAGTGGAGGACTTTTCTATACATATTCTGGTTGCGATCTACCATTTAAAAGTAGTGGTAGTTCAACATTCTCCTGCACCTAGGCCTCCCATCATTCTGCTCCCCTGGTCACTTATCCCTCACTAAAAAGCCGCCTGATGCATTCCCTCATAAAAGAGGGACTTTAGCTGCTAAGCAACAGTGAATGCCAACTCAGCCCGGCAGGCCATGGCCACTCCCCCTGCACTGTGCTCGGCATGGATAAGGTAACATGTTACTTTCTTCCGCTAGCTCCCTTTGTAAACTTGGGAGTGGAGCTCTGCTCTTAGCACAGTGCTTAGCTGGCCCTTGACATGCCTGCACTGAGGAGCCAAGTGCAGCCGAGTCACTGATGGTGTCTGACTGACACAGTGGCTGGTTGGAGAGATTGCTGATCCACTGCTGCAGTAGGCCTGCTGGACTAAGTCACGTTACCTCAGGGAGGGGAGGAAAGCACAGAATCTGACGCCTGCACAAGAGCCACCCTCATTCAAGCTGAGATGTTACTGATGCACGGTTGACTCTGAACACGAGCACGGACGGGGGCCGCTGGTGTCTGGCTGAAGCAGACTCGCACACCACTGTCTGTCCAGTTGGCTGGATATAGTGCTTTGGAAGGAAAGCAGTGATGAGATTTGTCTCTGAGTGGGTGAAGTGAGCCCGATGAACCTGCAAATACGGAGTGATACAGCAGGCAGTACAGCTGACTGTGTGCATTTTCTTCCACACTGTTCTCATGAATGGAGAGGACAAGAGTGGAGGTATTAAGTTATTTCATATTATGGTTGAACAGTGTTTTTAGGGAAAGGTAAGTGTTGCAGACCTGTCTGCGGAGTTTCCTTCCTTTCATTGCCTCGGTGTCCTTTAGCTTGAATTTCATGGTTTTGTTTTTCCATAAACATTGTCAGGTCAAGGTTTATCTCAGGTGCAGTACTTTACGTAACAGGATAATACCCAGTCACACATTTAACCAGAGAAATCACTGTTCTCAGTAGTTTTTCTGTGCGGGAAGATACTGCAGTGGCCCAGGAGGGGCAGTTCTTGCCAAGGTTCAATGTGCACAGTAGTTTGCCAAGGCTGTATACTTTACTTGATTGTACAGATTGTAATATAAAGTGTGTTTGAGTCTCTGCCTGTTAAACAAACATTATTATTCATCCAGATTTGGACTGTTGGCCATGTTGATAAAAGCAGAGCTGCCTTGATACCTTATCAGATGTAGTGCAATTTTAATTATTAACAATTATTGGACTAATTATTACCAAATGTCATTCTCCCTAATGTTTAAGACAAATATCACTTTAAAGAATAGAGTAGCACTCAGAAGATATTTCATCTGAGGACTCTAATTCATGGATGTTGTGGTTTTTGTCTCTTCCATACATAGCTCCAGTTGTGCGATATTGACAAAAAATCTCATCTCGATATTTCTGGGATTTTGTCAAGGATGATAATTAGACGATATTTGGCATCCTTCAAAAATGTCTAATATTGTACTAGCTTGCTCTGGCTAATAGAATATTAATTGCTGCTTTCTAATGACATTAACAGAAACAGTCCTTGTTTTTTTTTGTTTTTTTTTACATAAAACTGAAGCATTCAAGTAAACACAATATACAAAACACTGAAATCTGACATCAAACAGTGTGAGAATGAGTAAACCATTTCATTTGTCTGTAGCTGTTGTCATAATGCCTTTTGATTCTGTCAGCATCATTGTAGCAGTGTTTGAACTGGAGTTTGTTTTTGTGCTCGTACCATGGCTGGTTTAGGTCTTTTGTGGACAGCTGACTCTCGAGGCTTTTCGTATTCTTGATATTCTGTGCGGTGGTTAGTTTGTGGTCTTTAACATCAACCAGTTTTTGACATAGTTTGCAGATTTATGTCTTTTGAGCAACATCCGTCTTTTTAAAGTCAGGCCACCTCCATTTAAGTGAGGTTGAACCACGTCTAGCAGTGAAATCTAACAACTTAATTATCATTTTGAAGTTTGTGTGTGTGATGCCAGAATGGTCCAGCCATTGCAAGGACACCTCTTCTTGATTTTTATAAATGTGTTTTTGAGGAAACAATATTTTGTTGCTCCAGGGAAGTTTGCATTAACATTTTGTATGATTTTTTTGCATCATAGTTAATTTTATATATGATTTTCTTAGTGTCTCATTTTAAGAAAAATAAATACAATCAAGTTGACACATAGGTAGGCTATCAATGTGATAGAAAAATTGGTTTGTAAATGTGGCTGTTGTTTTGGCTATGAGAAAAAAACTGTCACTATAATTATTATTTTGCCCACCTTTAGTATTTTCGGGTCTTAATCTAGTGAGTACAGGTGTCTATGACTCTTCAACTCTTTGGTTACTTCATTAACTTTAAGTAGATCTTTCTACTTGATGGGCAAAGAAAATGCTAATTTTGACACCAAATGCTGAATTATGTTTTGACATTCACAAAAGAAACTCAATCTTAGCAGTAAAACGCACAGGCAAGCCAAAGGTAAGCAGGCTGCCACTCAAGAATGGAAACATGACGTTAACATACAGCATGTTGTAAAGCAAAGCCTTTCTCCCATGACAATTCTATGTTTGTTTGTTTTGTAGTGTTTTTAGAGTTGAATGCTCTGACAACCGAGAGAAATCTTCTTAGCTTAGGAATTATCTGTTTTGTGCGTTTTGTTGTGTGTATCCAGCAAAATAGACATAGCCTCACTGATTCTGCCCCTCCTTACTCCGTTGTCATTAATCTTGACCGTAAACTAGACACAATTTCACTCCCAAAAATCAAGGTATTTCGGGGTAATTACAACCAGGGTAGATGGAGCTATAAAACCATCCAAGGTTACCATTTTGCTGTAGAAACAAGATTATGTGTCACATTTTCTTATATGCACAAGGATGTCTGCGGTCTGCATACTGGAACATTTTCAGGCTGTTGGTGACTTGATATCTTACTCTCTGGTGGTACAAACGACAATGGTGCTTTTGTTGTAGTAGTGGCTGGCAAGCTTAGCAGTCCAGTCAGCTTAAATAAACACAACAAAGCAGTTAAGGCTGCCATTACTTCTCATGCCAAACATATGTTGGCTCATTTTAAAGTAGAAACACTGCTCATAACTGTTGGTCCATCCTCACATTTAAGCTTTTATTAAACCTTGATTCAGAAGAGACAGCAATGACAATAGTGTGTAGTGATAGTGATGTACAAATTTTGCTTTAACATATGATACTGTGAATGGTAAAACATCTCCTCAGAAAGGGTACAGATACTCAGGTAACCTGTTTGAACCAGCGTGTAGCACATAGTACAACTAGGAGTTTAAGACAGACTTACTACAGTACAGTATACCCTAAGCATGATCCTAATGACTTTTTCACTGAACTAAGTCATAAATAATTTGATTATCCAGCTATTTTTACAATGGCTGATGGCTGCAAAGGCTTACCAGGGCAAGCTGAAGCCTTTTTGGCTTTTAGGAGTTCTTAATCTTACACCAGAACATCTGGGCATAAGTCTATGGCTCAGTTAGGGGTGTTTGGTTCTTTAACATTCTGTGAAATTACAAAGGTGTCAACATAGTTTATGTAGTAACATGGTTCTAAAGAAAACGTTTTCCTCCTCTTTACAGATATTCATACCTGATCAACAAATCTGATGGACTGCAGTACCGCTAACTGAATGTTTTTTCAGAACTACAGAAGTTTCCAAAATATCTAATAAGACATTGAACATGTCCGCTGACCACGTTGAGCGCACAGTTGCTTTGCCCCACAGAGACCTGCAGCTGGGCCGTTCCCCTGAGAGTCATTACAGCAACATGTCACCGTCCCCTTCACTTGACTCCAACAGTAGCCTTTCCAACCTGAGTGACAGAGAAGCCTACAGCTCCCCTTACATCAACACAATGGAGGGCTGTCTCTGTGATAGTACCCCTGTGGATAACCCCTACAACAACACCTTACCACATGTGTTCTGTGGTGTAAGTATGAACCTGAACCAAACGTTTATTGCCACACCTGTTAATGCCAGTGTGAATTTCTGGAATGAAAACTTGAGTCTGATAAGCAACCATGAGACAGGATCAGAGTACCTGACTTTTAGTAAGAACACAGAGGATGTACGTAACAGTGCAGTGAGATCTCCAGACTCTGCTGGGAGGGAAAGCCAGCTGAGTTCTTGTGAGATCTCCAGTAGAGGATCAACTGAGAATGGCCGCTGCTCAGTGAACTCTGGGGAAATGGTAATAAGGAGCAACAGTTTTTGTCTGGAGGACCAGGCACTCTTGGTAGTCTCTTCCCTGGAGGAGTCGTCAATCTCTCTAGATGTTGGACAGCGAGCATTGCCTGCTTCTGAGTCTGCCCTGCTGTCAACCTCTCTGCCGGATGTCTGCGAAAAATCCACAGACAGAGTCACTGAGGAGAGCATAGGCCATCCGTGTCTTGGAATGACTTTCATTCAGGCAGAGCTCACTACTGAGGAATATGATATGGCAACATCCAACTCTTTTGTAGCTCTGCCAAGTGAGAATGAAGGACGTCTTTTAATGACATTTGTCTGTGAAGCGTCTCCTGAGAGTGGAAAAGGGCCTGAGTTTGCTAGTGCTGAAAGAGAGCCCCATTTCCCTGGAGAACGTACGCCTGAAGAAGGGAAAACCTGTGTGTCCACTCGGTTAGCTATGCAAGACAGAGAGAAGGATTTTCAAACTTCTACTCCATTACAAAACATTGGGAACAAGATACCCAGCCTCCCCTCCTTTTCAGAGTCTCCCTGCACTGGAAACGCAGGAAGCCCAGGACTCCAGTCTGTTAAACTGCAGCAAGTCTCTGTGACTCCTAAACATTTGGTTGCAGGACAGCTGCCTTTAGCCAGCAAAGTCAAGAAAATGGAAATTAAGAAGTTTCCCAAGTCAGACTTCAGCAGTGTAAAATCTAAAGTTGTGACACGAAGTACAGTTCCAAGCCCTGCTTCACAAGTAAATGTGAACAATAGACACACTGACGCACATAGAGGAGCAGCCATCAGGATGAGTCCTGCCAAAGTAAAATGTAGCACTACAGTTATCTCTACCACCACTCAAATTGTCAGTGACACTCAGAGACAAGTGAATACAGGGGCTACTAATTTAGGTGTGACGATGATACGGTCACCTGGGCATACTGCTGTTGATGGACAGAGCACGACTAGAACAACCCCACCTTACCACCACCCAGCTGCGAGTATACATGCAGCCTCAGGCCAAGTGGCAGATGATGCTGCTCAGCATGCTGGCAACCAGACATTCTGCTTCTCATCCTCAGAAAAATCCCCTGATAGAAGTTGCCAAACAGATCCCAAACCAACTCCAAAGAAGGGCGTGTCAAACAAAATTGAGGTCAGGTCAGGCTCAGCATTGGGTCAGGCCAAGCCTTCTGTCCTCACGATGAGGCCACGCTGCTCATCAGAGAGTTTACCATTGTCACCTAGGGCACACAACGAGAAGAGAACAACTCTAAGGACCTCAACCAGCTTTACCATTCCTAAAGCTGACACCAGTCTGGGCCACAACAAACCAGGGAATCTGAACTGCTCTTCCCAGAATCAACGGGGCACAAATGGACCTGCTGAAAACTCCACAAGGGAGGTTAAGAGGATCAGCCTGGTGGTGAGTATGGACTTCATTACGTATTTTCAAATACTGTTAATATTCATGTCCTTGTAGCTTTTTCTATAAGCCACTTTTAATCCAAATATAGTGACAAAACACCAGTCATACAAGTCAAATAAGGGATTAGGAGACCAATGTTCCCTAACTGATGTACGTTCATGTTGTTGTTTTTTTTTACTTGTTTTAAGCTGATCTCTGTTTTAGAGCAGGACACACAAAGATTTGGTTGGATCTTTGTGAAAATGGATAATAAAGCTAAGGGACTGAGTGAGAATTTGCTCTCTTTGCAGGCAGATTCAAGCAAGCTGACAACAGCAGGAGCCTCATGGGATGAGAATAAGAGCAGATTTCGAGTGCGGCCATCTCCTAGACAAGCAAGAGGGACACCAATTTCACAACCTCCAGCTGCCAGTCCCAAACCAGCCACTTTGTCAACCAGGCAAAGGCAGGGAACCCTGGGGCGGGATGAATTCAGGACCTTCAAAGCTGTAGGGACACCACAGTCCAAGCAGAAGAGCAGTACAGGTAGCGCTCTTATTAGCTGGACACACACACACACACACACACACACGTAGTAGTGGGAGTCTTGAGAAAAGTTTAGTGTTGTCCTTAATTTGTTTCACAAAGGAGAAAGTTGACCCGAATATGTCAGTAAATAAACATTGATAGTAGGTCAACCCTAAAGTCTTAAGACCTGTCTTTGACAAAGCAGAGAGATGATGATGATGAATGGTGCAATAGGTCTGTTTAAAAGTAACATAAGTGATTCTAATCCAATACACTGCTTTTTTGTCAAATTCAGCGAATATCTCCTCGCTAGCTGGCCGTTCTGTGTGTGCTCTGAAACAGAATTTGGTGTTTGTTCACAGCCCTGGCTCTGTACATGGAAAACAAGTGGCTCAATCAGAGCCACACAAGCCTGTCCAGTCATGATTTGTGTGTCGGGTAACATTAAATTAGTTGTCCACGGACATTCAGCTTGCTTTCCAATTTGCCAAGACATGCTGTTGTGATGTTAGCTATAGTAGCAGGAGAGTTTTGAGTATCACTGACTGGAGCTGCTGTGCTGGATCTGGGAAACTGTCTCGTTCTCTCTGCATGATAGCTTTGCTGTAGCAACTGAAGCTACAGTTTGCTAACCCACAGTGTAAACACATCTTTGCTAGCGTTAGTTACATTACATGTTGTATTGTCATTTGCTCTATATAGTGGTATTTGTCATGGAATTGGTTTTCTCCAGAATCGTATACCCCACCTTCTAACCCTTTTGTATAACTGTAGATAATTTGATTTGGACTGTACTTGAAGGACTATGTAGGATTGATAGCAGCACCAAAGGTACATGGGTTTTGTGGGTGGGGGTGGGTTATATACTATAGCTAGTGCAGCATATCTTTCAAAGCAACACAGTGATGATATAAGATGGCTTCCAATGACAAACATTTATGACTTATTCACTAGCTTGCAGCCATCCTTTCAGGAAAAATTAAAATGATTCAAATAATAAAAAACATTATTTAAGGTTTGATCTGCATGGCTCTGCACTAGACATGCTGTAAACTAAAAGTATTCAGGTTGTAGTAAAGCAGTCTCTCCATCAGAGGGTAACATTGAGCAGTTCCTGTAATAGACCTACTGTCGTCCTCCTGATGAGCACAGCTGTGTTCAACAGGAACAGTGTTGGATACAGATGTCACCTCCGGTCTCTTGTCCAGGCTTTGGGGATAAACAACCAACTCCCTTTGCTCCTCATAGAAAGAGGTGTCCCTAAGGAACGAGGGGGACTCTTCCTCTGATGGGAAGCCATCTGCAGGGGAAGGAAAGGGAGGTTTTAAGCTCACCAATAGTGATATAGTGAGAACACAATGTTTGGAACAAGCGCCGTGAGCACAGTAATAAAGTTATAATCTTCTCATGCTCCTGCACAGGGACACTCCACGAGGATGCATTATTTTGCTTAAACTACAGCCTTTTTTAGCTTGTTTACATGTATTGGTTATAAAATTTTACATGTTTGCTGTGATGAGTGAAATAGGTAAGTTTTGTACAATGTCTATATTAAATGTAACCATTAAGAAGTAGGTAAGTGTTCTATGAATGAAATAATATTTGTTTCCCACACTTTTAAAGGTACTTTTTTATGTTTGGTTTTTGACAAACCTCTTTAAAATATCCAGTGAAAAGGGCTCATTACTACTACTACCACTACTCTTACTACCCGTTATGAGGAAAAAGATTGGCCAAATCAGGCCTTATAAACCAGCCAGTCTGGTCACACTGTGGCCTTTTCGACCCGATTAATCCGTCGACTGATTAACCACTATTCATGACCAATACAAAAGTGAGCTCACTTATGTGGATTTGTCCTTAATAAAGGGGTTAATGCTGCTGCTCCAGTGTTTTATTTGTGCTCCATTGCATCCCAGTCAGTCAGAGAGCGCAGGGAACAGGAGAGCCATCCCTTGGAACTGGCTCAACGGCAAGTATTAAGGCCCAGCTGAATGGATTCCGACCTCCTCAGACTCCTACACGCCCCGCTCTTATGGGCCCTCCTGCTACTCCTGGTTCTAGACTACCACGCAGGACCCTGGGGCCATCTAGGAGCCTTACTGAGGCCAGTGTTCACACTGAGCCAAGTGAACGCACTGGGAGTACACAAGGTGAGCCAAACAAGGGTTTACATTGTTTTTAGAAATAGGATGTGTAGCCCCATACAGGCCAATACATAAAGGAACAAAGTATTAGTTTTATACAGGCTGTGTCCTGGGCTCAGGTCATGGTGTTCATTGTGCTTTTTAAGGACACATCTGGGCACGGAAGGGAGGGGCTTGTGTTTTAAATGGTGACCCACTTCAAGGCTGTGCTGGGATGTTAATCTCTCCCGGGGCAAATCTTTGTCTGATTTAATACATACACATCTGCCAAGATACAGGAGCTTGGCATCTCTTTTAAAGCTACCAAGAGATTTGTATGAATGAGCAGGGTACCAGTCAAAGCAAATCGTTCTATGTTGCAGCTTTAAATGGTTCTAATGTGAACCATATAATGGTATTTTATTTTCTTACTAGTGTGTTGTATAACGAGAGGGAGCCCTGTTAGACAGTGGGATCTTTAACAGCATGCAAGACTGATTGGCTGAGAAGACCTGTTTTCCAAACTGGGGACCCCCCACCCCAGTGTGGTTGTCATGGCAACGAGTTTCATTCCACTCCAGTTAATGCAGAACACTGCCTGGAGGAAATTGAGCAGACATACATTACAACTGATATCGTCTGAGGTGCAGAAAAGGAGCACTTTCCCTATTTTCCCTAAAAACCAATGGCTGCGTACACAGGACTTCGAAGCTGCACTTGGACTGAATCTCCAGCGCATGTTTTCAACAGCTCATCTTTAATGGCACAGGGCAGTGCAGCATCCAACTGCGATCTCACCCTCTTGACATGCCTGCTCGTTGGATCTTATCGCTTTTGTATCATCCCTTTGTTAGCTGCATTTGGAAAAGATAGAAAGCTTTGGAGAAGTAAGTGACACTGGAAGTTGAATCATGACTGCGGTATCCATGGTGAAGTGCTAATTTAAATCTTTGATCAGTTTAGCACAGAGGACATACATATTTGTTTTGTATTGTTTATACATTTCATTTTATGTTTACTGTATTTGGTAAATGTCAAAATGGTCAGATTAACATCATCTTTTATTGATCTCATTCATTTTCTTTTACCAGAATGCTTATATCACTTATATAACTAAAAAAAAAAGTATTTACCTTGATGCTCTTGAGGTTAGGTAGGTAGGTTTATTTTCACAATATAACACGTTATAACAAGTTGTGCTTGTTATAACAAAGATGGTCTGTTCACATCCTCTTTAGTAGATTGATACTGTATGGCTTTCTTACAAATCACCAGTGGTGACTATTTGGGCTGCAGCTAACAATGATTTTTAGTAATCGAGCATTCTACAGATTATTTCATTCAGTTATATGGATTAAATGAAGCATCAATGCAAAGAATTTCTCAATGCTTTTCAGTAATGGAATTAATCGATGATTACATGTGGTCAGTGGTGATTACAGCAGTGCTAAATTGAAAGTACACAGGGAATTTAAATGCCCAGTGAATTTGAAATGACAAAACAATACGATTTTTATTTGAATCTAACCAGCACGTCTCTACTTGTTCTCTACAGTTTCTGGAGGAGCTGCACATAAACCAGCCCCATTCAAATCAGTTGTGCTTAAAGCTAGACTCATCACAACCCCTGGGAAAAACACTGGACTACGTGAGCAGATTTGTACATTTCAGACAATCATTTCAATTATCTTGCTTTTCCTGTACAATAATGCGTCTCTCATTTTATACATTTAGTTTGAAGCCTTGATCTCGAATTTTGATCAGTTAAATCTCCCTTTCTTACCTCCCATTTGTAGACTTAATGTGAGTGAGGGATTTTTACACCTTTTTATCAAATCCTCACTCTATGATAAGGAAACAGCCTTGATAAATCTGACTCGGGTTGAAAGTGAATAAACTACAAGAAAGCTATTTTTACTTTCTAATGTTATTAAACTTGTGTGGTAACCGTGTTTGATTAGGTCATTTTGATGTTGATTGAATTTAATGACTTACTGTTTAATTAAAACTTAAAGAGATATGTTTAGGACCTTAGTCCTGACATAAAAGCTACCTGAGGTTGTGGTCAGTTGCCAGTGTTCATGCTACATTATGGGTCAGATTAACTCCAGCCTCGTTTCTCGCCTGGATCTTCTGCTTGTAACAGCTTTGGCCACAGCATGCAAACCTGCTGCTTCCACCAGTAAAGGAGCTTCAAGCTCTACACTCAGTCCACTGACAAGGGCCACTTCTGCCAGGCTCGTTCGTCTAACTCAAAGTGGACATGGTAAGAGTCTTTTCATTGTGTTCCTAAAGGCTGTAGCCATTAGATTTATTGTCTGTATTACCTGTATTTTCACTTGATGTTTATCTGACTTGTTGTGCTTGATATTTTAAATGCAATTTAAACCCTTATATTGTTGCATTTAATGCTCTTAAAATCATGTTTAGTTTTTCACCAGAACGTCCAAGTTTTGGTGTCTTGTCTCTCAGTGGAATATTTTCTTATACTCTTTTACATTGTTTCCTCTAAACATAATTACACTAGAGCTGTAATGGGTGCTCTGTTTTATTGGCCTTTAGTTGCTCTCTGCTGCTGACACACGATGTTTGATGCAAATTTTTTGGTTCTTCGTGTGTTTTCCTGTCTTTTACAGAGTTGTTAATAGTCTGGTTGTGCTTAGTTTTGCAGAAGCTAGATGGAAAACATGCCTTTGCTAACATGCTCAGGCAGCACAGTTTTGGATTAAATATGTTTCACAGTCATAACGGAGGACACATTTTCACAGAAAGCTGTGCCAGCCAAGCTGTTTACAGCTCACTAGACAAAACCATGCCATGAGAAGTCTGTCATCTCTTGCCATCCCACTGCTGGTGACACAGGAAAAGAGTAAATGAGAGGAAGAGTGGAGGTCTAACTTAAATTCCCATTGGCTGCAGTTGTAGTGTTTTCTCCTCCCACTCCTTTCTCTACCACCCCACCCCCTCTGCATCCTAGCTATGCCACAGCACCGCCATCATCATCAAGGTTGGAGATGCTGTTTTGCTTTGCTTTGCAGTGAGAGATCCGTGTGTTTGGGGAATAGCTGACGCCAGGTTTGCCAAGAGGATTAAAGGATTTATCTCGCTTGTTTTTTTCTTTTTTTTCCCCTTTTGCCCCCATCATGTTTATCAGGCTGTGTCACAAACCACTGGCCAGCCTTTAACCTTCTCTGTATCTTACAGCCTTAATAGCTGGGAATTCAATTTTGAGTTGGGTGACCTGCAATGCTGAGCTGGGTGCCTTCACTTTTTTCAAGGCTGTCTCAGTGGTGCTTTTACTATTACTACTGTTTTTTAATGATTATTTATTTTCTGCCTGTTTTGTGCTGCTTTCACCTGAGCCATGATACATTGAGACACACCATGGCATGTGGTTCATAGTCAGCATTAAGCTTCAGCATTTGGACACTTTTTTGTTTTTGTAATTTCTTACTAAAACTGTGGCCGTCTAGCTTTGTGTTTGCGAGATGTTATGGTCTCCAAAGCTCTCCTTGTCGAACATCCACGTGCGTCTGACAGCCAAGGGTTTACTCCGAAACATTCAGCTGCTGTCAGGATGCAGGAAGAACACTGTGGTTTTCCAAGCAGGTCTGTCAGTTATTTCAGTCTTTTATAGTATTTGTACTTAAATTGTTATGGGTTTTTTGGGGGGGGATCTCTTTGCTATAATATTTAGGCCAAGCCTATCAGAGTTTGACTCTCATGTAGACCTGTGCAGTTTCTGAAATCTATTTTTAGGAGGGCTGTGTTTACTAGCCGTCAAAGCAGGAGGTTCATCTTACATTTACCTACCTTGGTCACCAGAAGTGTATCAGACTTTCTTAGGGTTTGAATCTTGAATTCAGGAACAATTTTACTTAAACTAGGATCATAACTATTTCCTTCTTAAAGTCATATTAACATTTGTATTATTGTTGAGGTTTTTTTATACGAGTGTGTGTCAAAATGCACTCTCTCGCTCACTGGGACACCCAGTACTCCTGTTTCACCCTAAGATGTACCAAGGTTATTTTGGTTCTTGGTCTCTAGGTTGAACCCTGGGAACCTTGTTGTGATTGTTAAACAGGACTGTGGGAACACAGCAGCTTCCTACGGTTCCCACATTATTTAAAGCATTCATCTTCGGTTTTTGAAAGGTTATGACCAAATATGGAGCTCAGACAGATTATTTCTTATTTGAACACAGCAAAGAATAGCAAATTTACTTTAAAACCAGTCGTTTTGGTACGGACAAAATGTCCCATGCATCAATTGGTATAAACACATTTACTTATTTATTCATTTATTTATTTTAGACGAGTGTCCAGTGAATGTTACACTGAGAATTATTGTCTGGTTTTGTGTCAACCAAGCACTATAACAAGTGCCTGATTGTGAGGGGTCTCAGCACCCATCATGCTTTGTGCTATGGTGTGATATCTCCTTCCAGTTAGCAGAGTGCTATGCAGTGGAGTCACTAAATCACTCAGTATTTGGTTTAAGTGTGCTAGTTGAAATGGTACAAAATTATTTTGAGCCAGGGAAGAAGCATTAAATAAAGCGGGCAACATGTGTCATCAACTCTGATCAGTCAGTTGGATGGAAATAGCTGCAGGTCCTCTGTTGCCATGGAGCAGCAGTCAAATGGAGAGACGACCTATGTTCTTATATAAAGTCAAATTTAAATGAGAGTGCAGATTTGTGTGTGTATATGGAAAGGAAAAGCCACATGACAGTTAAAAATAAGTAAATACATGATTTCATTTTTGTAGCCTGATAATTAGACTGAATTATCATTTAATGACATTTAGGATTTGAATCTCTGAATTGCTGCCCACATCTCAGAGATCTGGACTGGCACACGTCACCCTCTTAAGACTTTCTTAAGACATTTTGTTTTAAAAGCTGACTTGTTGACTTCAGCAGAAACTGTTGCATAATGTCCGCTTCTTGTCTTGGAAAGAAGCACAAGATAGCTGGAGGAAAAGAGAAATAAACACACATTTCATTCCACCCGTTTCTCTTTTTTATATGGATATGTTAAAAGTGGCATCTGCTAACATGGTTATGATCCCTTTTTTTTTTTTCAAATTGTCCCAGGAGGGCAAACAATAACTATAGCAATAACTACATTAACAAGTAAAAAATAACAATTACGTGGTATTACATGAAGGACAAGAGGTTCACTTGCTACTTACTAACAAGTACTTATAACATGTTTGTTATAGCATCACATAGATAAATGTGAGATTTCTACACTTTGAAGTGCAGTAGCTTGAGTCTGTGATGGAGCTTGGCTTTATTCTGTATGCAGGAATGTTTCTGGTACATATTGGCCGTGATCCAACCTGAGATGGTGTGTATTTTTGCTCTCAGCACAACCAGCAGGGGGCATCCTAATTTAAAGAAACACGTTTAAATTTAGGGAACTCTATCATCAATATGATTAAAAGCCGAGCAGCACAGCACTGTTGGTTTTGATATGTATCAGAAGAAGATTTTCTTTCAAAGTAAATGTAAAATGAAAACATTAGAGGCAACAGAACTCTGAAATTCACTTAAATGATAGGAAGGCGTATGCCTTGTTTTGTCAGTTATACCATTCATCCAGGTGGAGTCTGTTTATCTTATATGCTGAGCTGTTTACTCTAAAGGCCACTGACAAACTAGTTTTGAGGTAAACTATGCATACGAAGCTGTGTAAACTCACGTCAGTCAGTGGCATTTATGCAGCATGTAATTATTCAGATGATATTGATCTGTTTTTACATAGAAGGTTTACGTTTTATTTCCTTGACTACACCTTTTGTGTCTGTACCTTCTTCCTGTTCCTCTTAGACTGTCACAACAGTGTCACCTCTGTTGGCCTGGCCAGCATGGAATGTTACTCTGCAGTATTATGTTGCGCCAATCATGCCAGGGTGCAGAGAGTTGTATGTTCTGCAGCTCCAGGATCAGATTTTTGCTTATTAATCTGCTCCAATGGCTGCCATCCAAAGCAGCAGACAGATCTGAGTGAGAATGCCCACTAGCCGCTAGTGGTACAGCATATTCCACTCACTGGTATTCCCGATATGTCTCAACCTATCCTCACTGCTATGTTACGTAACACTCACTGCAGTCTCCTCATAAACAAACAGGTGTTCAATATCAAAGATAAGTCCTTTTTCCCATCTTCTCTGTAACACTCAGTGGTAATGAGTGTGTCAGTTTGGTGTTCCTCGTTTCTGATGTTTTATTATTATTCATTAATAGTACTGACGGTAGCTATTTTGTGGGGGTGATGTATTTCTAAAGCTGATGTAAATCAAAACTGCAGTAGCAAAGCCTTGCTAAAATAGGTTGTCCTTGGTGACCAGTGTCTGCAGAGCACTAGATTGAATTAGGATATGGAAAACTAATTGCTTTCAGAGGGTCCGTCTTTATGTCTGTGTCGTCGGAGGAGCAGCACTGGGAATCATCAGACTGACTGGACAGAACAGTTCTGGACTGCAGAAGTATCCAGGGCTCTGACACTGGAGCTTGCTGCATCTGTGACCCTGACGGGATTGTATAGGGTGGGTGGTACTGCTGTCAGAGCAGCTGCAGCGGTTATGGAGGGGGGTATGATGATGATCAATGTTGTCACGACACTCAACACATGTTCTCTCACAGTGGACAAGAACAAACCAAAGGCCAGCTCCCGCCAGCAACACCCGAAGCAGCAAGCATGCCAACAAAACCAGAGTAATGGACCTCCAGATGTGGTACCAGCGAGAGTCACCGAGGGCGGGACAAAGGACCAGAGCATCCAGCAGCTCAGAGGACTCCTGGCAGCTAGTAACTGCAGATTTGAGGCTGTCGCCATTGTCTTGCAGCAAACTTTGGCTGAGGTAGGAACATTTTTGCTCATGTAATTTTTTTTAAATGTAATATATGAACAAAATGGGATTCTTTAAATTCTAAGATAACAATAGTATGAATTTGTCAGTAGTCACGACACCTGAAGATCACTGGCTGAGTTCAGTTTGTGATTGTTGGTGTTTAATACAGCTTGAATTACATCGTGGCCAATATTACCATGTGTAAAGAGGGTCTCGCAATAAAGGCAATAGTTGAATTTGCAAATAAAGTTATCTATATATAAGATAGCTATCTTTACCTTAGTTTTTGCTTTAACATGCAGATTAAAAACGACCATAATCTTAAATCTCAGAATTGCCAACAGAGTTAAAATGTCTAGAATAAACACACTCTTGAGCTCAGATTATTTTAAAATATCCCCTTGTAATTATTGAATTTACAACACACAAAGTCTGAATTTATTTTATGATTCCTTTGATCATCCTTGGATTATGACTACAAGTGTTACAACATCAAATCCTGTGTTGATACAAAGCAAATGGCCAAATGGCATTTCTATTTACAGCAACAGCATGTGGAGTTGGGGGTATGAGGGGCTAGACACAGACATGCTTGAAAGCTGTCTAACACAAAACAGCCCTGGCGTCGGCGTCGTCTCCTCCTCCTCCACCGGACAACTGAAGCAATCCTGAATCAAAGGGAAATTCTGCTACACTGAACTCATTGTGGCTACTATCAAAAAGCCCACCTCAAGTCTTTCAGTTGTACCGACACGTGCCTTTCATATTCATAGGTTATTTAGGTAGACAAGCAGGAGAGACTTTTAAAATATGGATGTTAAAGCTTGCCGTTTGTTTTGGAGCTGTTTTAATAGTGGTGCCATGTGATTGGCTTCCAGGAACTGTATTCCCCCGAGGATTATTCTTCCCACAGTGCACTACAAACAGGCTTATCCTAACTGCTACCCAACCCCAGCCATCATACTCCCTCATTTAGTTGTTGCCCACGCAAAATTTTTATGTGATGTTTGGACTCTACTAAGTATATCTAAATCAGATGCCATACAAGTGATATGAGGGAATTATTAAATTAAATTGGCCTAATGTAGTTAGTAAAGCTGTATATCTACATTTTCATGTAAACCTAGAGGAAACAAATCAGATAACCTGTTACCCTGTTTGAGTACATAAAATGTCTCAAGCTATTTCAGTCCCTGTGGTTATCTTTAGAAGTGTCCCTGTCAAATAGTTTCACACTTTATGTGTTGAATGTACCCTCCAAATATAAATTGATTTAAGACATAAAATGATATTTAATGGCTCCCGTGAAATTGTATGACCCTGTCTTGATTTCATAGAATTACACCACTCAACCTTTCATGCATACAGGACTACTGCATCAGTGTGGAGATGTCTGGCAAGTTACTTTGTCTTTTAATTTATAAAAATTTAGTAATTTTTCATCATAATTTTAAACACTACACTTGTATGTATATAAAAAATACTTAATCTGGTTCAGTGCTGTTATTTAAAAACAGTGATTGTTAGTCTGATGAGGGGATTCATGGCAGGTTCTATATTGTTTTGGTTGAGTCGTCATCTTTTTTACTTTCTTACTTTTTGTAAGTTCATGTCATTGTCAGGTGATGCCTGATTCAGTGGTACCAGGGGTAGACATCAGGTCATTTGCATCATATTTTGCCACCTGTAGAGGACGCTGGGAACTTTCCATCATTCCCTGGACCTTATCTGAGATTGTGGCCACGCCACTGACTCATCAGCACAGGGTTTGGAGGCCAAATCCATTAAATGCACATGTATGAGGTGGTAAAAATAACCTGCATGGAACACATAAATCTTTATTCATTTTAGCGTCCCTGTACTGCAGAGACCGTAGACTTAAAGGGCACCAGGGTGGTGCAAAGGACAACACCACAGCAGTGACCCTATTTCAAACCCTACTTTAGCTGCGTTGCTTCCAGATTAGCGGAGGTCCATTACAAAATTTAGCTGTGTTTGTGGGTGAGGGATTGTATACTGCTGTAGTGACTCCTTCTGGTAAGTCAAGGGACTTGTGTAGATGGGTGGGTTCTGGTGTGAATCTCTGTGTTCCTGGTTGCTGCCATGTGAAAAGAAACCGCTGATGACTCAATCAGTGAGTTCCACTCAATCAGTGAGTTCCAAAGGTCTTAACAAACTGTGTTTTAAGTATGAAATTCCTGGAACCTTTTTTTTTATTTGAAAGTGTGTGATGAGATTGTACTGAGGAGGAAAGGAAAACAAGGGGATGTTCGTTGACGAGAATTTAACACTTGTGAAAGTGCTTGTGCACTTGAGCTCTACTTCAGAAAATTAAACCACTGCTTCTTACAGTGGTAAAACAGAAAGTCACTCATGCATTTATTTCCTTCGGCCTAGATTGTAGCAACTCTCTTTACTTCTGCCTCGCTCCACCAGAGTTTGACACCAGACAGATCCCTTGTGGCAGCGCTCTGGATAGCTGCAGTTGTGACAGAGTTCATATCAGTCCAATTTTAGCCTCAGTGAGCTCCAGTGAGTACTGTTCTCTCTTAATTTCTGCTGCCAGCTGCACTGCCCCCTGATCAAAAAGTTGGAAATATAGGTATTCTGATTATGCAGTCAAGTGTTTTAAGTTATTTTGACATTTGCTCCTCAGGTATTTAGGTGCCTTCTGCCTGTTGTTACCTGAGCACACATTCCAGGCATTAGAAAGCCAGTAGTAATTTAGTTTTTGAGAATGGTGTAGAGTATTGACTGATGGATATATAGTACCATCATACAACACTGGAGAAAAATATTTTTTGTTATTAGATGCTGGCCCTTGTGTTGTAACAGCTGGTATGTAAGGCACAGTGTTTGATCTGTCGTCACTGATGTTTGACTCATATCCATCTGTTTGGGTGGCAGAGTTGTGAAACTGATTACATCAACAAATTTTAAAAACACAACGTGTTTGTTCCTCTCTGATAGAAAAGCAGTTGTCTCACTGACTCAACTTCAACTACAGCATGCTTATTTTCACCCCCTCTGCTGGAACTAATGAGTCTAGTGGACACTTAATACCTACAGTATCTAACACACAGAACTTGCTGTTGATATGGAAACATCAATTCAGTGCACAAAAATAACAGATTTGCATATGCAGTGTATGATTGGATCAGTCTGTGTGCGTGTAGTGTTCAGTGGAATCTGGTGGCCATCCATCAGACCAAGAATAGGAGGCAGGATCTTACCATCATAGTGTGAGAATGTCCCAGTTGTTAACTTGATATGGTTATGAACTGCAGCCAGACACTAAGCAAGGACTGTTTCTTATCATCTGTTTGGATGTGATGTGTAAGCACTGGGCCTGGTGTAACATACCTTCTTACAAAGACACAAATTTCATTTCAATGTAGCAATGCAAGCATATTCGAAAATAACCAGAAAAATGATTTACAATTTTGCTTTACTTCACTTGCTTTCTGATATTTCCCAAAAATTCCAGGAAATTGTAACCTGATGTGAAGCAATTAGTCATTGATCTTAGTCTTGCATTAAGTGTTATTCTACACCTGACGTGGTATCATATTGATATACACTGGGGACATGTCTAGTCTTTGCACCCAGCTCAGCGTTCCAGTAACAACACATGGGCTTTACCAACTTAGAAAGTGGACCAAGTTAAAACACAGCTAAACAATAGGGGTCTGTTATTAAAACTTTTTTTTTTTTTTTAGCAGTTATTTATGTTAAAAAATGGATAATTACACACATTCATTTAGAGCATGTTGACTTGATCTCAGTTATGATTCAGTTTCCTTCACAGCCCTCCTTCAGTGACAGTTACTGGTTAAGATGTGCTGTTTCTAATGCAGTCTGCGGATCGTCTTATATTCTATACATTGACTGTAAGGATCTGTGCTCACACAGAAGCTCGAAATGTGATCTGTCTTAGCATTATATCATCTTGTAGTGGAGAGATTGTACCCATGAAGCCTGTAGCTGCACAGCAGAGTGTAAGGTAATGGTGCAGAGGGGTGAGGGGATGATTTAATGTAGGTTTGGATGAGTAGTGGGGGGATGGTAGTAATGAAACCTTTCCATGGATCCCCAGGGAAGGTCACAGCACAGCACTAGTCCTGCTCCATCAGTCTGATCTCAGGCAGCTCTGTACAATTTATCTGTTTGCTCCACTCTGGCTGCCTTTTAGTGTCATCTTAAAGTGACCTCACCTCACTGGTGAGGAGGCTGTTCTTATGCACACTGTAGCCTGCCCCTTCTCTTTTTTTTTAGGTGTAATACGGTAATGCACTCTGCAGTCACTCACCACAGCCAGTGAAGCGGCTTTTTCAGTCCTGCCTCAGATGTAGTCAGAGCAGTCTGGGTTGCGGTGTGAGGTGGTGGTGCGTCCACCTGGACCACTGTTTGTCCTGGAGTACTGGATCTCCATAGCTGGGGGGGGGGGGTGCTCTCCGGCACCCAATCCTCAGGCTGAGGGTGGATCATGGGCTGTTCAGGCAGCAGAGCGTGCCTTAGTGCTCCCTGCGCTGCAGAGAGGGTAACTGGCTTCTACATTGTTCTACTCTGCAGTGACGAATAGATGCATATCTGGAGTCTAGCAGGATAGGGTGGACTGTATTTGCTTTTGTGAACTGATGAGTGAAGTGATGTTTGGCTTGTCTTACAGGGCATTTTTGTCTTAAGTTTGTAATTGAATTATACAGGCTGTGTAATGTTCTGTTTAGTGTGTCAGGTTGTTTATGTAAATCAGGGTAGTAAGTGAGAGGTAAACAGTTTTTGGTTCAACTATGCGTCAGTTTGAAGTCTAGAGGAGCACTGCAGCAGCAGCGCAGCCTCCTCTTTACTGCAAAACTGAGTCAGAAAGGGAGAAGTATAGGCTGACAAGAGGCATGTGCTAAGACTGAAAACATGTGTTGAATGTCAGGTTCCTTAATCCCCTCCCCCTATCCTTGCTAATGTATTTGTCTTAGTTAACCACTGCTGGGCTGTTTAATGTATTTACATTTGGCAAACAGAATATCCTGGCAAGGAGGGAAAACTGTATTCATTAGATGGTAATGTGTCAGGGTGTTGCCCTGACAGAATTTTCCTTAGTTAGTAAGTAAGTAGTTACATTAATTAGTGAATAACCTCTCAAATTCAGAATGTTGGCTTTGCTCATTTGTGATCATGACTGTGAGGATTTAGGAGGATCTGAAAATATTATATATAAGTAACATTTCACTTGACATCTGAATGAGCAGGTGCATGACTGTTTATATTTTCTTCCTCTGCAGCGTGATGAAGCCACAAGGCAGCGCAGGGAGCTGTCCCAGGAGCTTGTCGACCTCCGCGGAAAGCTGGGTGAGTTAGGTCACCTTGGTGGGTCACACACCAGCAGTGATTAAAGTTGCTATCACCAAAGTACACACTTCTGGTTCTGGGGGACTCCTTTCTGATGTGTTTTAGGCTTTTTGATTGTTGAGTTAACATGAGAAGTCAGGACACATTTTGGATCATGTTTGTATAGATAATGAGGACAGTATGGTTTTCTTATGTTGACTGGTTTTTTTTTTGGGTTTTTTTTTTCATCATGAGTATTTAGTTGTTTACTTTGTTCACTTATGTTATTGCTATCTAATGCAGTTATTGATCTGAGTCATTGGTGCTTACATTTATAGCATATGTTAGGCATTATTCTACATTGATGACTTGAGTCATTACACTGCACACTTTCCACCGATGTGGATCAGTTTTTTGTTTCTAACAAATTGTAATATATAATAATAATAAAATATGTCAATGCTGTACCTTGAAGTGGTTTGACAGAAGCGGTGTGTCAAATAGTTTGGCAAATTAAATATTAAATTTTTTTGCTTTTACCCACCACATACATATCCCCTGTAGTTCCTCCTCCACTTGTGTTGTCCTCAGATGTCTGCTTGCCAAGGGGGGGTGTGTATGTGTGCTTTGGAGAATTGGCTGACAACACTCTACTCAGCAAAGTGTGGCAGGCGGTCCTCTCACCCCACAAGATGTGCTCCCAGTGGTGGAATGCCACACCACCTGAGGGCTTGGGGACAGTGACCCATGTTTAATGTCTTGCCTAAGTGCTGTCACACAGAATAGCCTTGCGCGTACACGCTGAAACACACGTTCACACACCAGCTTTCATCTCTCTTACTTAAGGCAGCAATAGTGTTGTGGCTCCTCCCCTCCCTCACAGCCTCGGGACTTCCACATGACTGCTCTTATATGCTGAGCGCTGTTTCGTCTGCGCTTTAACACATTCTTCAGGTCCGGGGGTCTGTGAGACCTACACTGACCTCAGATGGACCTTTTGTATTATTATATGTAGTAAAAGATGTTTGGAAGTCCAGAGGCATTCTTAAGTCCGCTTTTAGTTAATGTCCTCCTCAGACTGTGTCCCTCCCTGCTTCCACAGTGATCTCACTCCTCGTACAGCAATAAATTGGTCTTGCACTACAGCCGAACTTGTGATACAGCCACACCCCGTTTGTCATCATTCCTCACATGTAAAATTACATCTAATAGGGAAATACCATATTCAGCATCTGCATTACCTGTGACACTTCCAAACCCAATTATCCTGCTGACTCTAGTATTCACTAGACCCTCCTCTCCCATATGAGCCTTGAGGTGTTCTTGTGGGCTGGATTTCAACTAGAAAGTGGCTCATATGGCCAGATATCTGTTACACATGGTTGCAGTGTGCTGGGCTCCATTTGTTGAGCTGTACATGCCAAAGCCTGATAGATAGTCCCTATGTTAGCTTGGCCTCTGTTCCTGGATCTGCTGCCGTTATTCCACTCTTGGTAAGGTGAATCTTCATGCACTACAGTGTTTTTCTCATACTGTAGCTCAGTATTTAGCTGGGCAAAAATAGGAACACACATTGTGATTAATAAGATCTTAGACTATTTTTCTGTGACACAGTTATTCAGCAGGACTTAAATTGCAACACTCAATACAGATTAGTGTGAACCATTTAAGACTGCATGTGTCCCTGGTGACTAACAGGGGGGATCTTCATATGATGCTAAAAAGAGCCTTTCATGAGTCCCTTTTGGTAACAGTGATAGCATTATACTGTGGTCACCAAATCTGTCTTTTAGAATGGGATATCAAGTTGTAAGATGACTTTTATTAGGGAATAGTACATGTACCTCTATTGTGCCCTGATGGTTTGTGAGAGAAGTGAATAGGTAAATGTACCTGACGCATGTTGTAGTGCAGCAGAGCAACTGGGTTATGTGTTATTTTATGCTTACTGTTGAAGTTATACATAGTTTCAAGTTCTAGTTGTGGTTTAGTGTCATACCTCATGTTCAAGACCAAACCTCTGAAAGAAAATCACATGCTTAACATGTCCACCAGCAGTGTGACTTTACTGGTGAATTGGAAGTTCACATCCATCGGCAATGCCAACTGCTCGTTATCGAGCATGTTTGTGCACAAGCACTTTAAACTGGAGACAGGTTATGGAGTTGGTCACTGTCACCCACTCCAGAGCAGATATAAACACTTGGCGATGGAAACAGTTGGTTAGAGTGGTTTACAGAACAAAAAACAAAAGCCACCAATTGCACAAACCTAAAAATGGAAATTTACCAGCTGTCAAAGGACAGACAAGTCTGAGTTAGGAAATCTGTTACCTATGTTACTAATTTGTAGATATTTTGAAAGAGTTTGGAGACTTGTTACCATATCTTCATCTGCCTATAAATAACTACAGTGTAGTTGGCAAATGCATTCAAGTGCAAGAGGAACCTCCCCTTGAAAGTCAGTTTTTCCATTCCTTTTTGGAGCACATTTAGTGTCTCACATTTAAATCAAGGAGAACTTTGCTAAATGTTGCTCCTCAGTGGACACATATTTCTTACACAAGCAGTCACTAATACAAATTTTACTATGTAATATTTATTAAAATAGGGCAGTCTACTGTACATACTACAGTCACAGAACATCCTGCAAATGTCCTGTCACGTAAATTGTAGCTTTCTGTATTTATTTCCAGTTTGCTCCGTCCATTCATCTGAACTTCTGGAGAAGGAGAAGGATGAGTTGCGTGTTGCTTTGGAGGAAGCACTGCAGAAACTGCAGGAGCAGCACCAGAAGGACCTGACCGAGCTGGAGCAGAGACTACAGGCCTTCTACCAGGCTGAGTGGGACAAGGTCCACCTGACATACCAGGAGGAGGCTGACAAATGCAAGACACTCATGCAAAAGCAGGTTTGTCCCTATGCATCCTTTTTATTATGATTTGTATTATAGAATTTTATTATTAATGCAGGAAGATTTACTATTCATAGTTTTCACGTAATGTCACATTCCAAGGAAAACGCTCCCTGGGAGGGCAAAAAATTATTTTCCACTGCCTACCAACCAATAAGCAAGTGATACACTGTTTGTTACTTTTGCGTTGCCAAAATGCTGGATGGTTGTTGTGCTTTCGGATGCACTAATCGAGGAGAGAAGCCTGGGCTGTGTTAGGGTGAGGGATTCCCCATAAAGTAAATGTAAACATACCGCAGTCCAGTGGTATGGCTCAGACACCTGTGGAGGGTGTTGTGTTCTTTGTCAATATTCTGCCATTGTACTTGATGCCATCATTTTCTAAATGTCAGTGTTTATTTGAATTTATCTGTGCTTCAGGAGAAAATAACTATAAAACATCTTGTAACTCAGTTCTTAGTAATGCCTTAAGACCATTGATTGTGTTAAAATGAAATCTCTCCTGTGCTCTTTTTAAAGATGGGAGAGCTTGAAGCCAATCATGAAGCCATAAAGCTGGAACTAGAGAGCAAGCATGCAGAGCAGCTGCAGTGTGTGAAACAGCAGTATGAAATGTCACTCGAAGGTGAGTGAACAGTCCTGGATCAAATTATTGAAACGACATCTTTTCTCTGAAGCTGCATTATGTGAGCTGATTTGAAAATGACTCGAGTTGAGAAAGTGTATTTTTAACGTTTGATATTCCACCTCAGTTAATAAATGCATGAATTGTTTTGATTGCATCATAACATGAAATTGTTGTCAGCCTTGACTTTTTTTGTACAGTTTTTCTGAAATATGTCTGATGCCATAACACCTGTAAACTCTTTAGAGCTCCGGCAAGTCCACAATCAGGAGCGGCAGGCTTTGGACAAAACTTTGAAAGACGCAGAAGCCGCTCTATCTGTAAGCGTGACTATTTTCCCCCCTTTTATCAAAGAAATTCACACAATAGCATGTCATGACATTGGGATAACTTATGGATTGGCGAACTAGTGTGTATAAACTTCACTCAGTGACTTTCTTGTGCTGTGTACATCCACAGGGACAGATTGAAGAGCTGACTGTGGAGAACAATGCCCTCATTGAGAAGCTAACTGCAGAGGAGAACAGGAGGAAAGAGCTGGCCGAAAAGAGTCAGGTACTCGTATCTGTGTGCTTAATATAGCAGAGCTCCACTTTAGAAGCATCTCATGACTGCAGTGCTGCTCGCCTCTAAGCACAAAAGGTCGGGAAGCTAATGATTACCAGAAAAAAAAATTACCAACAGAAAAGAAAATCAATGCACGTTTTCTTGAAGACCTCAGTTTTAAGAGTTGTCTACCAGGTCAATTAACCATTAACCATCCTTTACTATGTGAAACGGTATAAACGGTAACTCTACTACATCTTTGTGTCAGCTATAGCACCACCCTCTATCTCTGCACAGTGTAGCTTTTAATTTTCCCAGAGTGCTAGCTGTTGTACAGTGACACTGCCACTCCTCATCAGTGTTAAGTGGCTGCCACATGTACTCAGTATTCAGCCCTGGCACAGTAGAGCAATTAAGGTAACTACCTCACATTAACCTGCCATTAATGGAAAAATAATAGTAACAGCTCAAAATTACTTATTCACTGTGTGTAGTTTAAACTTCTCCTAGCCTTTTTTTAAATACTACCTTCATATAGAGCGCATGTTTGTCATTTTTATGTAATTATTTTTGACACCCAAACACTCGCAATTACTATTTGTAAAAGTGATGCACGGCGCCCTATGTTGCGTGGTCCTGGATGTATGGCTGTGGTCATTTTTGAAGTCTTTAACAGTCCCTTAACATCTTGGCACTATGTATTTGTCCATGCAGAAGGACTCCCACACCCTCTATCTGGAGCAGGAGCTGGAAAGCCTCAAAGTGGTGCTGGATATCAAAAACAAACAGCTCCACCAGCAGGAAAAGAAGCTGATGGAGATCGACAAACTGGTGAGACCTGAAGCAGATGAAAATGATTGCTGGGCATCAAGACAAGCAACGCTACTGACTCGCTCAAATATTCTGGGTCGTTTTTCTTTCTTTCCAGAAAGAGAAAAATGTGAAGTTGGATGAGAGCCTTCAGAAGGTCCAGCAGGAGAATGAGGACCTCAAAGCCCGCATGGATAGACATGCTGCACTGTCAAGGTAAGAGGTCGACATATAAACTAGTATGCGCTGATGGAAACCAGACTTTGAAGCATCCGTCTCAGTTCAGACGCCTTATGACTTGAAACTGCATCAATTAAGTGCACGCTCCTCTGTGCCACACACCTTCATTATTTTCCAAAAAGTGTTCATCAATGAGCCACACCTTTGGCATGCTCCTTCCTTACAATTACTATGGACGCAGTCATTTATTCTGACTCAATCCCATATACTCCATTTATATCTTCCATGGCTGAAAATAACCCCAAAAAATACACTGCTTACTCCAATTTGAGTAATGTTTGCTAAAAACTACCATTAGTCAAAAACTACAATGTCCAGCTGTTAATTTCTGAGCCTTTAAAAAAATTAAAGTAAAACTATATAACTGTGACCTTTCTTTGTTTGTCTTTAAGAATTACATCTTCAAGAGGAAGCAGTGGGTTTAAAACAGATTAATGTATTTTTGATTTGGATTTTTCATGTGATTTGTTGACAATAAACTGAATATCACCCGTCTTGGCTTTTTTTTTATTTTTTATTTTTTTTAGGCTTTCCAAATCAACCTCTTTAAACATCATTACAATTCAGATCTGTATTTATTCAGTTTGCTTAATTTCATGTAAGTCGATATATACTGTAGGTGAGTGTTTCAGTTGACTACATTTCTAACTTGCCTGTTGTGCTGATGCATTACAGACAGCTGTCGACAGAGCAAGCAGTGCTGCAGGAATCCCTTCACAAGGAGTCGAAGGTAAACAAGCGTTTGTCAATGGAGAACGAGGAGCTGCTGTGGAAGCTCCACAACGGAGACCTGAGTAGCCCCCGCAAGGTGTCCCCCACCTCCACCTCCCCCTCCCACTCCTTCAGCTTCCAATCACCTCGCAGCTCCGGCCTGTTCTCCAGCTCTCCTGTGTCACCCAGATAACGATGGGCCCGCGCTTCAAGGAAGCAGACCCTCTCGTTTGAGTTATCCCCCTGGAATAAAGAGCCATGTTTGTTTCCTTTTTACTTAGCAGCAGCCCGACAATGGCTCCTTTAGGATTGGATGAACTATTTGTACAGTGATGCTACAGACTGTAAAAAAAAAAAAAAAAAAAAAAAAACAACTAAAAAGTTGCACAGAAGCACTTAATAAGCAAGGACACCTTGTTTTTTGCCTGTCACACCTGATAATATGGACGGGGGGAAAGGAAATCTCAGGACTTCTATGTAATTATACACTATTTTTTGTCTTTTACTTGTTGGCAGAGGCTTGTCTTTCCCGAAGCTCAACACATACAGAACATGCAGTAAAAAATACACCCATGCAGGCGTTATGACAACACATGTGCAACCCTGCTGTGTGAGTGGTCGGCAATAGAAAGTCTGAATTCGGAATATCAAATACATGGAATTGTTTCTGTTGGATTCCTGCACCATTTCTCACAGCTGACAGTCACATTGTCATATTACCAACATCCCACTGCTAGTGAGCACAGCAGGGGGTGTACAAGTCTCAATCAGTTTCTTTGAGATTATGTTTTTTGTTTTTGTTTTTAAGTTTGGGGTTTTTTTACATTTAGTTTGGTAGGTTTAGGTTTCATTCATTCTGGCCTAAAACACATTTTGTTTTTCATGAGTCTTTGTTTCTTTGACCATGGGACCAATCCACGTCCATGTGTTGGAGTCTTGTTAATCATCACCCTGAACACTCCTAATGCTTTAAAGTCAGGGTCTTTGCAAAGAGATATCCAGAATTAGCTTTACTTGTACATGTCTGAGACAGTGCCTCTTAGAAATGTATCAAAGAGTATTTTGTGTGGAATTGGTATTACTGGTGTGTTGACCCTCTTTAAATATGCAATTAATAATAAAGTATTGTGTTAAACCTGGTATATCAAGGTCAAGCTTTATAACTGTGTGATCTCTGCATGTTGACTTACAGCAGATGATACTTATGGTTACCTAAGGGCTATATTACAGCAATTCAGTTTTTCCTGGGGCTGGAAAACTTGAACTCAGCAGGTATCAGTCCAGCCTTGTGACTGTTGTGTCTTCTAAACCACAAACATTCATATTGTAAGCTAAATTATATTCCAGAACCATAACAGCGTCTATTGAGCAAAGTGGAAACTGCAGCAAGTGTTAGATTGGGCCAAAATGAGTTCTGGGCCTGCAGATCACATTCCACATACGGAGTGCATTAGGACGTCAGCCTGGCACACAGCCCCACTTTAAACCTGATTCTCCGATTCACAACATGCTACGAAGCCAGAGCAAGCCTCTGATGGCTCTCTTTCCCAGCATCATTATTTAATTTAAATGTAGCATAAAAGCTAACTAGGATTAGTCACTGATGTTTGATTAGGTGTCCAAAGCAACAGAGTGCCTGTCCAATCTCTGACTCCACTACTCAGAGCTTTTGTTTATTTTCCATCCATCGTCAACCACTTATCCTGCGTACAGGGTTGTGGGGGACTGGAGCCGATCCCAGCTGACATCAGGCGCAAGGCAGGGTACACCCTGGACAGGTCGCCAGTCCATCGCAGGGCCACACATAGACAAACCTAAGGACAATTTAGGGTCAACCTAGGCCGCATGTCTTTGGACGGTGGGAGGAAGCCGGAGAGAACCCACACAGACACGGGGAGAACATGCAAACTCCAAACAGAAAGGTCGCAGTGCTAACCACTGCACCACCGTGCCGCCCTTATTTATTTTTAAATTAACATTTATTTCAAAATTAAAATCCCTATTTGATCAATGCAGTACTTGCCTTTTGGTATCTATCCTGTAATTTAGCAGAATTAAGGATCTAGATTAAACTCTCTCTACTGTAATATTATGAAGTGTTATCAAATGTTCACAGAGATGTTCCGAAGATTTAAGGTCTCTGGGAAAGCCCATCAGGTCAGCATTCCTTGCTCTTCTTGGGATAGTCTGGATTTGTGTTTGGACTCATTGTCCTGCTGCTAAATGAATCCTCCGCACAGCTTTAATCCAGAGGAAGTGTTATGCCTCTGCACAATTAGAGCTTCTTTTTGAATTGAAAAAAGTATGTGAAACCTCCCAAATACTTTTGCTGTGTTGTTTGACTGGTGGCTTTACGCATTGTTGCATAAACCTTTTACTCAGCCATGTAAGTTTCCAGCCGCAAACATGAGGCTCCAGTTTTACTTAATCTGAGGTCTTCAAATAGTGTGGTCTCTTCACCTCACTTGTTTTGTGAAAATTTTTCCAGCAACGTTCTGCTCCTCTAATTTAGCTGCAATCTGCAAGCTGTTTTTAAATAAATATAACAAGTGACTAAATAAAAAGTGTAGTGAATCTTTATTAAAAAGATTCTAAAAATACACTTAATACACTACACAATTTTAATGTATGTACATGTTGATTTCATCTGGTCTCACGGGTGTGTTAGTTGTATTGCTACAACACACTCCCATCAAACAAAACCATAACACAGGCTCCTCTGTTGGGGCTATTTAGAGATGATGTTGGTCATCACAATGGTCTCACCATGCTGGTTCTTGGCTTTACAGATGTAGCTTCCAAAGTCGATGGTCTCCATGTCTTCTACGGTCATGACGCTCTGAGAGACCCGCGTGGTGTGGCCCATACCTCTGTTAACCAGCCTCCAGGATGTTTGAATGTGAACGGGACGGTGGTCCTACGCAATAAAATAAACATGATTACTAATCATTAATTTATTTGTTGGGATTGATTCAACATGGTTTATCAACAACAACAGGACCTTAAAGTCCACCTTCAATAAAAGAAATGTTATTTGATTTTTATTACATACATTTGTATGTTTGAGTTTCACTGTGCAGAATGATGTATGTGCAGAGTTTTTTCTTCACATTCATCTGCTAAAGGGGGTTCTCCGTGCTTGCCATAAATATGAGTTTAACCCGTGGATATACCACCAGGATTTTGTGACATCCCAATTATGCAACTCACACAAGTGTGTTGTGGAAACCTGGAAACTCCGATGCACGTACACAGGACTTTTCTGTGAAGTAGGAGACATCTTTTGTCCCAAAAAGTTGAAAAAAACATTTGTATATTTATAGATTCTGGATTTCGAGGGAGAAAGAGTCATTTGTTGTGTAATTTTTAAGGGCATCAAACGTTTTTGTGGCAAATCCACATGAGACAAATTTTTGTTGCAAAGTATTATTTTCATTCCTTAAAACACGTCTGGAGTGGATCTTGATGAACAGGACAGCTCCTTGATTGTGTGGCTGGTCAATTTACGCTATGACAGATTATTAAACACATCCTAAATTATTGTTTTATATGCAGAGATATAAAGCGACTGAATGAAATCACAAACAGAAGGCAACTGTGGAGTCTAACCAAAATAATAATAAATTTATAATTCTTTCAGTGATTAATTGTCTTTAACTTTGTTATTAGTTGCATTTACTTCTCAATGATGCTATAAAAACGTCATATAGGCCAGAAAAAATTACCACTGAATGTGCCATAATTCAATTTAAAATGCTTTGTCCATTTAAATATCTTAATTTAAAGAACAAAAAATTTAATTCCAACAGCATCATTTAATTGTAAATTTGATGACTATGCGTATTGCTGCCACATCAGAAGAATAAAAATGGACCAGTATAACATGAAATGTTTATTGTTATTTTACAACAGTTATATTGTTATAATGTATAACATGAAATGTTTCATGTTATAACAACATAAATATTACATTGTTATAACAAGAATTGTTTCTTGTTCTAACATGATAAGTTTGTGTGCCGTAATAAACTGAAATGTATAAACACAGGCTGCTGGCTGTTTTCTTGAATCAGGTTTGACTCTTGGTTTTTAATATTGCTTTTACCTGACCAGGGTAAGACCACGTGAAGCTCACGTCCACCTCTGGCTCCCCCAGCACTGTGCAGGTTACATTGATGTTGTCGCCTCCTCTCGCAGACTCCGCAGAGGCGTCAAGGCTCACAAATGGTGGCCCGCTAGGAACTGTCAACAAGAGACAGAAAAAAATATGAATGACCAAATACCTTAATATGTCTGCCTACCTACATCTTAATTTAACCTAAACCACATACAATTTCCATTTCATAAATCCGCACTGTGTTTCCATTTCAGTTGGCAAGTGTCCACACGTTTGACGGTCAAAGGCACGAGAAATTGGTTACTGATTCAACATGCATTAGCATATGTTTCTGTATTAATGACTATACTGAATCATATGTGTTTGCTGCGTCCCTACCCTCCACATAGAGCAGCTGGTACTTTGTGGAGATCTGAGGGGTGCCCTTGCTCACAGCCTTGCAGTAGAAGACCCCCTGATGCTCTAGGCTGGGATTCTGCAGGACAAACCCCTTGGTGGGGTCATAGGTCACCAGCGTCTCGTTGGCTGCAATCTCCTCCGGAGGGACTTCTCTGTGCAGGGACAACTTAGCCTGCGGGTCGGTCACACGACAGGGCACCACAGCAGGCCTGTCTGGGCGCAGGTACACGATCTCAAAGTGGATGGCAGAAGGGACGAAGAGGTTGTCTTTGTCTGTTTAGAGGGACAGATGTGTGGCATCAAACAGTCAGTGTATTTCACTGCAAATAAAGTGCAGATGTGCCTTTGTTCTCAGAAATACACCTACATGAAGACAGAACATCCTGTCATAAAGATAAAAAAAATGTGTTTGATTTACAGCTATGTATTTTTGCAGAAGGCAACCCCCAGTAGCTCATTCATTATAAATCACAGCATGTTTTCAATACCACACTGTTTTTTTTAAATTGTCACTTATGACATTATTATTGGTTAATAAAGTAGGCACTAGGCAAAGCAACAAGGCTAAAAATCAGTTGAAAAAACTTGTGTTTATGGCTTGATGACTAATAATAGTTTTATATAACAGTTTGATGAAATTGATGCAGATGGTTGGCCAACTTTGTGCCATTGAGACCGAACTGTCTGCAAGTTTTCATTCCAACCACAGACTCAAACCACTCCTTAAACCTATATTAACTGATTGTTGGCCACTTGGGGGAAACACTTTTAAACAACACTGACGGCTGATGACACTAATTTGGCGTCGTGTTTCTGTCCACAGGGGAAATGTTAGTCCAATATTCACGCTCCATTTAGCTCTGTTTTGGTCTCCTCCAACTCCTGAGGGAAATATCAGTAACTTATAGTTAACTTGCCTATCTGCCATTTAGTGTTGTGCAGGTAGTGTACAGTGGGTTTATCAGAGCTGGGGTTTTTGCAGAAATCTGCCTGCTGTGACTAAAAACAAGGATGATTAGAGTTGATGAGAACTATGTTTTCATGGAAGTCACCATGTTGCGGCACCATGTTTCTACAGTAGCCCAAAAGGACAAAATTCTCTACAGAGCGTGTTTCATCACTACACTGAACACGTTCACAGAAGAAGGAAGAAGAAGAAGAAGTAGTTGTCTGGTTTGTTAGAAGTAAGAGGAGAAGAGAAATTTTGAAAAATGAAGGACCACACAAATTATTTAGCACAAGAGCCGACAGAGCGTGTCGCCACCGCAGCTTCTCCTGTGTGCTTGCAAAGGGAGGGGTGAGCAGTGAGTGGGTCGTTGGCTGCAATGCGCAACCCTCACCAATAGATGCCACTAAACTTACACTCTGAACCTTTAAGTCACAAGTGACAACATGTAAATATCCCCTTATTGCTTTGCTATTTTAGTGCAATGTGTTATGTATCCTATCTAATCACCTGTGAAATAGATGTATGAGCCATAGGTGCGTTCGTGGTCCTTCTCACACTCTGTGCCATCACACACTATCACCCAGCAACTGTAGGGCCCTGTGTCAGCAGCAGAGGGCGACGTCAGGATCAGCTGACTATACTTGTCACTCTGCTTGATGCTGGAGGCGGGAAACAAAAATATAAGACTTTCACATTTAAATCAGTTTATCGCATGATAAACAACTGGTGTCTGCTTCCAGCACCTGAGGCGGGAGTCGTTGAAGGTGTCCAAGAGGGTTGGGTATGACCATCCAATAGAATTGCCTTTGCAGCGCAGCTCCATGTTCTTCCCAGGAGTCAGAGTTGTACTCTGGCCCAGGCGCAGGAAGCGTCCCTTATCTAAAACCTGGGTCAACAAGGTCTGGCCTTTCCCTCCTCCACCTTTTAGTTTGGGGTGTGGGTGTGGCATTTTTTCCCTTTTCCGGATGCGGTTCTCTCCTATGTCCTTTCTCCTCTTGACTTGTTGGCAAGCACCTGGATACACAGAGGCACAGAGGAAGGAGGGTCGGTTAGAGGGCAAGGAGCACAAATATTACAAAGATAAGTCACAAAGTCATCAGTTACTGTACTATGGCTCTATTCTTCACAGAAACAGTGTTCAGTATGTTCATCTGGAGAGCTACTCTTCGTGTTTCTCAGCTGTGACAACAGTTCAACAAGAAGTGTGAAATCCTTATTGCTGGCATAGAAAGTCCAGAAGCCAGCGTCTCTTTCAGCTGCATGCTCTGTATTTCTCAGCAGGCACAGAACACACAAACCATTAAGGACAAGAACAAAATGATCAGTCTGCAGCGCAGACTTTCAGGGTTTGTTGTTTTATTCTCCAGTGCAGCCTTAATGAAAACTCAGAGGAAAGGTCAGCCGTAAAGGCCAGTTAATTAGAACCGCCTGTTGCATGCCTCAGATGCAGCTGGTTTGAGTTGGTCTGCAGTAACACTTAACAAAAACTCACACAACTTCATACAACTCTTGTGCAAACTTTCACCTTTTGCATGCATTATATAAAATTCATATATCGCAGATTGGTTGCATGTATGCCTGATGAAAGACAAATTAATGAAGTGTTTGTCTTTTCCATAAAAGAATATCCTCCTTCTTTGTGAATCTACCTCCCATTCTACGCCCATCACAGACTGGTGCACACTGCTGATACACAACCTCAGATTATCTAATCCTCATAGTAGTTCTCATGATATCATTTTGCTTCACCCATTGATCTGTAAGACATATGTTACTCACCATTTTGGATCTCCACCCAGAGCAGAGCGATGCAAAGCACAACCCAGAGCTTCATAGTGTTCTGACAGGGTGGTCAGTGGGGTGACTGATCTGCGGGGCCGGAGAGATCTGGCGACACGCTCAGTAGGAAAAGGAGGTCAGGCTCGGAGCTTCGCTGGAACTCTGCACGCTCCAGAGCCCTGTTTAGATTTCCAGCTCCATCCTCCTCAAAGACTGAGAGGAAAGGGGGAATTTAGAGCCCATCTGTTTACTCCCTCTCCTCAGACCTGAAGAGCAGAACAACGTACTCTGGAGCCCTCTGCTGGATCTGAGTGTGAATCGTAGTGCTTTTTAAAGGATAGCTTCACATTTCTTCACAAGTCTATCAAAAAACACTAACTCACATTCCCTCATGCATATTGAAACAGTTTTTGATCTCTGTACTTGTTCCTCCTGACCAATAACCCTTTCAATGTACGTACTGTATAGGCTTGTGAGTAAGAGATGAGATAGACTTGAAAGATTTGAAGAAAAATTGTGAACTTATCCTTCAAAAGCCAATCAACGAATCAGACAGCCACTGCTGTGCTGCTCTGGAGGGGTTCATAATTTCACGTGTTTCGTCCCTCGCAACATCCTAGCTAGTGATGTAACAGCAGGTGTGTTGCTGTTGTTGACTGCTCATGGTTAACACTTGCTGCAACATCACTAAATGGGTCTATTTTAACTTTAGTTCAGACTTAGAAAGTAGTGCTCTTCATGATTCAGATCATTTAGTGTTAGTCTGCTCCTTTCCCATAAATCTCTATATACAGAGATCATTTACTGTATAAAACTAGAAAGCATGAAATAAAAGTTGATGCTTTTCCGATCTGCATCTGGTCCCAGATCTACATGAAAATACTAGAAAACATTGCTGTTTGGTTTGTCATAGTTGTTGGACCAAGGATACTTATAGTCAGACTCGTGGCCACTGAGAATTGGCTATTAAAAAGTATTTGAATAGGTCAACTAAATTTACACATTATGTTTAAGAGTTACTGCACTCCATGTCAAACAGGCTGTGCCTACAAGAATTTGCAACTGGTTGTAGGAAAAAGGTGTGAAATTTAAAAAAAAATAATTTAATTTAAAAACATTTCATTTTTGAATGAGTGTTTGGCCTATATGTATGACTTTACTCAGTGTCGACATGTAGTGGTGTATGTAAATGGTGTACTTAAGTACAACTTTGAAGCTTTTTATATTATAGCTACTTTATAGTTCTACTTCACATTTCAGAGGGAAATATTGTACTTTTTACTTCATTAAATGTATCTGACAGCTGATGTTACCTGTTACTTTGCAGCTGGAGATTTGATCTAATAAACAAAAAAAAATACAACACATTTTTTGGCTTGTGATTTCTCACAAAAAAAAGGTTGTTTGGTCCCCAATCCATTTTCAGAAAGACATTTCTCCTCTAAACTTCTCAAATGGTTTCAGTTAAATAGTTAAAAAGGTAAAATCATCCCATATTTCACAAAAAAAACAGCCCAAGATATGAATGTACATTTGTGTAACAGTATTTTGTTTTTCTTATTTCCAACCCTGTTATCATCTCATGTATCCTCAAATTTAGCTTGTGACCTTTTGAAGGGAGCCTGACCCTTAAGATGGGAATAACTGAACTAAACAACCTAGCAGTTGCTAACAGTAGGTATATGTAGTTAAAACTGGCTCCACCTTGACCAGCTACAACAATAAAATGCTACTTACACACTGATGCATCAGTAATGATCTAATAACGTCATATATAAAATTGCACCAGCCACAGCCATTGTTCTCCAGAACAAGTAATTTTACTTTTGATATTGTAAGTATATTTTGCAGAATAATACTTTTACTAAAATAGGATTTTGAAAACAGGACTTTTACTTGTAGAGTAGTATTTCTATGTTGCGGCACTGGTAGTTTGACTTGAGTCAAAATACTTCTTCCACCACTGTATGACGCCTATGTGTTGGACTTGGCAGAATAACAAAATAGTATTTTCTGAATTACCACATGGTGGCGTCATCTACATTCAAAATGAATCAGTTCTTTTATGATTCATGGCCCAACTTTTTCACCAGATTTCATTGAAAGTAGTTTTTCAGACATCTACTATGAGACAATAATGATATAATAAAACACCAAACACTGTCTTACTGGAAAATACATTTATTGTACTCTATGTAGTTGTTAACAGGCGATACTACATCATGACATCATGGTTACTTCTATGTTACTTTATCCTGTAACCTCACTGGAAGACTCTACACTGTTAATGTAGAGACTAGCTTCTGAATTTGTTCCACATTCATTTAAACCACTGCACGGCAGACATCAGTCAAACCGATCCAAATCTGACCTCTTGAAAAGTGAAGGATTTCTCCACATCAGATGGTGTGAAATACCTGGCAGTACAGGTGAACGATCACGCAAGTTTCTACTGTAAACTAGAGCTCACTGAGCCTTACTGTACAATTCATAGTACAAGAAAACCAGGGTGGCCCCTAAGCACCCAGAGGAAAGAATGCACTGAATCTTTATGCAGTTCAGCACAAAAAGTCTCTTTAAATTGGTTATAAAGCAACACAGACACCAATCTTGAAGTAAGACACTGAATACAAGAGAATTAACCTGAAAAAAATGCACAGTTCATCTAAATTATGTCGCAAGACAGATGTTTTCTATGTACTTTAACTTGTAATTAATTGTTGTGCTTCTTGTTAGGTGGCAGAGTACTCTGTTTAAGATAGAATAATTTCATGAAGGTTATATGAACGTTGCATGTCCTGCAGCTGTGTCAAAATAGCACAAAAAATGAAAAATACAGCAAACTGAAATCAGATAGAGTGAAAAAAGAAACTACAGATATGTTTTGAGAAGAGTTCCATATCAAATAACAATCTTCATATTCAGATCGTAACAGTTCATAGATTAAATCAAGAAAAACTAAAAAAGCAAACCTGTGCTGAATGAAACCACCATAGGTGCTCCAATCTAATAATATCCATTCATCAAATGGATAACACAGATTTCCAAGACTTTACATTTAAAACCCCACCTGTACAAACATGCTTAAAATATCAAAATTAACAGAAAAGCCCACTAAAAACTCAAGTCTACAGTGAAACAGAAATGCTTTTCTGCAGTCGTGCATTGAAGCCTTCAGTGTTAAAAGGAAATCAACATCACACTCCAGTGTGTTACCTGTCCTTTTGATTCTGCCTCCATGCTACCCATAAAGCACAAAGTGACCTACAGCATGTGGTTCCATCACAGGGATGGAGCGTCGCCTCATCATGTGGCCGTTGATACGAATACGGCCTTCGCAGACTGAATGTGCTTGTGACTGAGGCACATGTGGTGAAGCTGTATGAACAGGTGCATCAAGGCAGAGCTGCTGTGTGCTTTTATGCACCTGTCACCTCACAGGGTCTGTCAATGAGCTGGTGAACTTTAACACTGGCTTGTTTTTTCTGGGCAGATGAAACGCTCCTGGTCTTTTCCAGCTGCACCTACATCAACCTGATTCTCCCTGCTGGTCTTGCTGTGCTCCTGGGCGCTGTTGCTGTTTAAAGGACCCTGGAGTTGGCGCTGACGCTCCACACTGTGCCAGATGCCGTAGCCAAAGTAGATCAGGAAACCTGAGAAAAGTGTCGGAAAAAAGATGTGACGTATGCCGGCTTTGAGGGTAAAGTTCGACATTTAGGAAAATATTCACTTTCTTGTTAGATGAGAAGATAAATAACACTCTCATATCTGTCCGCTAAATATAAAGCTCCAGGCGGGCCATGCTTAGCTTAGCATAAAGACTGGAAAGAGCTAGCTTGGCTCAAAACAAACTCAAACTGCCGGCACCTTCTAAAGATCTTGTTTGTTTAATCTGTACAAGTCCTCACGTCGTGGTGCTACAAGGGGGGTTACATGCTGAACTGTGCTCCCTTTAAGCAGTCACTGCTCCCAGTCGAGACAGAATAACTTTCCACAGAGCCGTTTCTCCCTGTTTCCAAGCTAAGCTAACCATCTCTGCTCTAGCTTCATACATAGCATACACGTGAGAGTGGTATCTTCACATCTGACTCTAGACAAAAAAGCACATAAGCATATTCCCCAAACTGTCAAACTATTCCTAAATATTTATAATGGGTCATGGCTGTTGGTAATTGTTTGGACTGGCACTCACCCACAGCCATCCACACAGAGAAACGTATCCACGTGTCTCCGCTAAGCTGAACCATGAGGTAAATATTGACAAATACACTCAGAATGGGCAGAAAAGGCAGAAGAGGAACCTGTGGTGGCAAAAAGCACAAAATCTACCATCAATTCATTCGTAATGTGTTACAGTCACATTCCATAGTGCAGGACTTGGTATGAGAATGGATGACTTATTGAGCTGCCACGCACCATGAAGGAGACCTTCTTGCTGGTCTGAGGCTGCCTGCAGACCATGAAGACGCAGCTGCTGAAGATGAGGAGACACGCGGTCAGCAATGCCAGGATCCACACTTCCATACCGAGGATGGAGCTGATGTGGTACGTGGTGAGATAACTGACCACACAAACCACCAGCACTGTGGTTTGAAAGCACATCCGTGATTCAGACGTTCTTAGTTACATCATAAAAACATGATTTTTTAACCTGGCCTGCTTACCTAGCACACAGATGGACATGTTGACCACGCTTGAGGAATGCTCAGAGGGTGAGACGGGAGGGTGGAGGATAGTTTGCAGGGCGGAGCTGCCACCTCTCAGCATGTTAAGGTGGGACTCCGACTCTGTCAGGTCAGACTCACCCTCCTCAGAGGACAGGTAGTCCCTCTCACTGGTAGCGGCCCGCCGCACTAGGGCTCCATCAGGCTGGTACCTGGACGACAGTCATCAAAGGTCATAAGTTTGTTTACCACAGTTCAAAGCCACACTGCTGTACTCTAAGTAAAATTGTCACAAAGTGTTTTCAGTGTCTCGACGTACTACCTGCTTATATACAGTATATTCTTTATATAGCTGCAAACTACTTCCACTGTGAAACAGTTTGGTTTTACTTACTAACAGCCGAGGTCTATAAATCTACACTGTGTCTGTGTTTACTGTGGCGGCGGTATTGAGTCACTTTGGTACAACCAACAGAGGTGTACAGCACGTCCAGAGTTTAGCAAGTACAGAAACATAAGTAAACACCTTCTTTCCCTCTAGCAGCCACTTCACATTCATACAATGGGAGCATTCACAGCTCTTACATCACCAGTGTGATGCAATAACTAGAGACGTATGTTACACCACCAGGTAATCACACCTGTGGGATTTAGGAAAAGCTATAAGAGAAGCTGTTTCACAATGTTGCACAAATAATATGTCTTTTAAGCAATGTTGTTTTGAGTTATTTATGAATGTACCCACCTGAGAATCAGTACACACACAGCAACCAGCGAGTAGGCCAGCAGAGTTCCAATGGACATCATGTCAACCAGAGCTTTGAGGTCAAACAGGAAAGCCATGATGGCTATAGCAAGCAAAAGAAATACAATAAACATAAACGCAAACACTTTCACCTTTAAAAATGAACAGTTTAAAAAAATAGTATCATTACTGATTACTGCAGCAATCATTTTTACAAAATACACTACAACATTCATGTGCAACACTGATATACTTGCATTTCTAAATGGAAAAGATGCACCCTCCAACAAACACCCATGAACAGATGCAAATTAAATTTCATGCAGATGTTTTCACAATAAGAAAACACAAAAGAGCTAAATGCATCCCTGACAGCTGTAATCATCTCCCTACCAAGTGTTGTTTGATGTGAGAGACAATGTGGCGTTCCCTCGCATGTATCTCAGTGCCAGACTGCAGTATGGAGCTGATCTCAGCAGCACAGTCCAAACACAGAGCGCTGCTCCTCACAACATTACATTAAAAACAATAACAAAGAAAGCTCCCCTGCCCACTTCTACTAGTTGCTCAGTACATGGCCTGTGCTCTGGCTCTGGGAGGGTTGGTGTGCCGGGTCCTTCCTGTGGTTTACATCTGCCTGTCAATTCACAGGGTCATCACCTTAGGAAACCTTCAGAAGTAGACATTTGTAACATTGTATGCACACTACACCACACAAAGTCTAACTGTTTGGATTTCTTCTTTATTTTATTATTAGAAGTGGAAAATATCTACTTAAAGTATAAGTCACTAGACTTTAAGACTAATTTAACAGCAGGCTGAAGAACTGTTTCACTGCTGTTTCAGGTGGAAAGCTTCAATCCTGTTTCACTGTACTCTGTTGCAACTGTAACCACACCCAACAGTGATGTCATTGTGTTCCAACACACCCTGCAGTACACTTATTCATCACTGCTTCACTTCAGTTAAAGCACTCAGGTCAGCAATAACAAAAATTAAAGGAGGCGTCAAGTTGTCAAAAAGTACAAAAATTACTATTTTAAACTAGTTGCAGAAACCTTTCATTACATTTGATGATTGTGAAAAGGCTGGTGTGGAGTACTGGTGTAATGATTTTAATATGAATACAACCACAGCACCTCTCTGGTTCATTTACTTTCCAGTAGCTGATTCTCTTTCTTTTTTTTTATTTAAAAAAGTGAATAAAAGCCAGATGGACTAAAGTGGTGAACACATTTTTGAAACAAAATATAATAAATGTCCATGAACTTATTGGCGTGTAACGTTTTCTCACATGCTTTTGGAAACACCATCACCAAATTCAGCATGCAGTAACCACCACCACGTGCATAGATTAAAACCCCAAACAAGTCCACGATACAACCCCATGATAGGCGGGTCCTCGTCTCGGGAGCTTACCGGCAGTGGTACCTGCCGCCAAGGTGGCAGCCACAGGCGACTGGCGCTTACTCACTTTGGACATAAATTTGAACAGAATACCATCTCGTGCCATGGCAAACAGAATGCGCGGCAGAGGGAACATGGAGCCCAACAGGCTAGGGAGAAGAGGGTTGGTGGTTAAGTTGAGGGCATTCTGGAAAGAAAACGTGACACCTGCACAACTGTGAAAGAACAAAATGTGTATATGGTAGGAAAACCTCCTGAAGCTGGATAAGTTATAGCAGAAAGTCAGTTTCAGGAAGAAAAAACCCAAATGATTATCTGCCTCTTTGACCATGTCTTTCACAGTTGATTGGTGGAGAAAGATTAGCAGGAGTGATCTCACTGGATTCTCCCCCGGCTCTCACCTGCTACTACACCGGAGGTCATAGTGGCAATAAGTGGGGTCTTCGTCTTAGGATTGATTCGGGCTAAGGCTTTGAAAAGCACCCCATCCTCTGCCATAGCATAGATTACACGAGGCATGGGGAAAATGGAGCCCAGCAAACTGCATGAGACAGCGGAGACATGCAAGACCAACACGTTAGTCAAGAGCCCCAAACACACACACTTACACAATCACATCATCAAAGCTTCAGAGCATGATTACAACCAGTGGCTTTCTTCCCTGTTGGAACTTTTCCCGCTTTTAAGGGGAAATTACATATCCTAATGTCTTTAAACAGTCATATTTTTATGTTGCAAGTAGATTTTAGTTGTTTTTCTCAGTTTTCAGAGCTGCTTTGGAGTTGGATTTTCACAGGCCCTTGAATAATTACATTACCCAGGAGTGTAAGCATTTAGTCCAAACATATAAAAGCACCACAATGTGTGTTAAAGAGTTTTCACAACTGCTGGAATGTGTGAAAACAACTGCCAAAGACGGACCCCAAAGTAACAGCCTAAACACCAATTGCAGGCATTGATCAAAATTGAATTTGTTCAAGTCAAATTTGGTCACAAAGGGTTGGAGGCATCCACCAGAGAAGAAAGACAGAATGAAGTCACACCAATATATTGTTTTGAGACAAACTTGCCCACCTTATTTATGATACTTTAATTATAAATAAGCATAATTCAAAGACATGCAGGAATCTGAAAACAGAGACAATTAAGCACTGCGCCCACTATGTCCCATTTAGCAACAGGATTACATCCAATAACAAGACATAGACATATATATGTATCCCTACGACCAGATCTCATTTTCCATTATCACCCATTTATAACATGCACATCAATCAAAAACTAAATTTTGTAAATTCTGCTGACACAGTAAATGTACAACTTTTTGCATTTTCTACCATGAATATTGATGTTTGATATACTTATTATACAAAAGCAAATCCAGTGGTTACCTGGTAGAGAGGGCACACAGTGAACCGGCAGCGACCACGTATTTGGCAGGGCCCCAGCCCACATATTCAAAGGCCATGGGCAGAGGGCTCTTCTCATCCAGCAGGTAGTAGGGCATCATCAGCGTAAGCGCAGCTGACACACCAAAGTACGCCAGGAAACACACGGTCAGTGACACCACGATGCCAATGGGAATGGCTCTCTGGGGGTTCCTCACCTCCTCACCTGTCACCCGCAGACACACAAATATCTTTGCCTTTAGCTTTGGCCACATTAAATCACACTTAATCACCACCTGTCAATGGCTCACCTGTAGTCGCAATGCAGTCAAATCCAACAAAAGCGTAAAAGCAGGTGGCAGCTCCAGCTAAGGTGCCGCTGAAGCCGAAGGGCATAAATCCTCCAACCCCAAAGTCACTGGTCACGTTGGCCGTCACTGAAATGTTCCTGAAACATTTTATATTTAATTTTATAACAAGATTTGGACTAAAAATTTAGGTGCACTACATAAGCACAAACAATCCAGGCCAACAGTGATAGTAATTCTGTGTATGTTGTTTAGGGAGCAGCTTTGCATTAAATGGCTACACAGATAAACAACTGTAATAGTTAACAAATGAATAATTTACCTTGTAATTATGGTGACGTTTATGAGGGATTCTTCAGATATCTTCCAGTTGTGCGTGTCTCCTTTGACGAAGCCGGAGACGATGACGAACAAGAGTACGAGCACGTTGACGGACGTGAAGACTTTATTGACCCAGGCTGACTCCTTCACCCCAAACGACAGGAGTCCTGGGATGAGCAAAAAGGCAACACAGCTCAGTTCAATACTGTGATGTTTGTTGTAGTTTAACTGAAATGCCAGCGGTGCTTCTCAGTGATTTGAGGTTGTAAAGAAACTGTACTTGTACTGGGCAGTTCCCAATTGTGACTGTGGGAAAGTGAAGTAGCTTGGTGCTAGCAGGGTGATCAGGCAGTTCTTAAAAAGAAGGGGATATTAAGCACTTACCACACACAATATCCTGCCATCTCTTTACTGGATTTTGCCAGCTGTGGCTCATGAAAGTCGTCTCTTTTAAACTAAATGGACCTAATTTCTGTCCTTCCCCGCATCCCCTGTACCAACATATAGACTTTTATCAACTTTTATGATTCTCAGCCTTGCTGCCTTACCAGATAGCAGCAGTATCAGGCAGACGGCAAAGAAGTCGGGGTACTGAGCCAAACCAGGAGAGTTCATGCTGAAGTAGGTTTTACAGAATATCTCTATGTGTCCTCCAATCATTTCATCAAATGTGCCACTCCAAGCCCGGGCAACTGAGGAGGTACCTGTAAGAAAGTAAAAAAAACAAAAAAAAACAACCCAGACACGATGAAGAATATGTATCATTAAATGACATGTCATTCAAAGATTGTCATCAACTCACCGATCACATAGGAGAGAATGAGGTTCCAACCAGTGATGAAGGCCCAGATCTCTCCTACAGTCACGTAGCTATAAAGGTAAGCAGAGCCGGTCTTGGGGACACGCGCGCCAAACTCAGCATAACACAGGCCAGCCATGACGGAGGCTAGGGCAGCAATTAGGAAGGAGATGACAATGCTGGGGCCCGAGTCGCCCTTGGCCACCTCGCCAGCCAGGACGTAGACGCCGGCGCCCAGAGTGCTGCCCACCCCCAGGGCGATGAGGTCGACGGTTCCCAGGCAGCGGCACAGTTTTGAGTCCTCCAGGCTACTCAGGTCGACCACTTTCCGGCGCACCAGAGAGCGACCGAATGACAGAACCTGGTCAAGCATGTTGATACCTGCTGACAGAAAAAGAAATAACTGTGAAATAACTGGAAATACCTGCGCAGTATAGGTTTGGCCTACTTTACTGTGTGTAAAAGAACTTTTTTTGTTGTTGTTCCGTTGTCCCCTTCGGCATCAAGAAATCTTTTATTTATTGGGTAATTTGAATTTGAAAATGTGTTGCTGTACAAGTGTGTGTGCACGCAGCATGAGGCCCTCTAAGGTGCAGAGAAACATAAATATTACAGTATTTGAAAAATCTCAACAAGTCATACTTAAAGGGTGGGGGGGATCAGTAGATCTCTACTACTACTCGTTATCTTAGCATCAATATTTGCTCTAACATTCAATAGAAGGTGCAAGAATTGTGAAACCAAAGGTCAGGCCCGTGAGCACAGTTTCTTTTGACTCCATCTGCTTTACATTGCAGCTTGCTCTCTTGCAAAAAAAAGAGTTGCGTAACACGTGGGGAGGAAACAAAGGTGGGGTTAGGGGATGTTAACCCTACAAACGATGACATGCATTTTTGGAATTCTGCCAAGTGCTGTAGCCTGGTAAAGTTCATAGAGTCGTGTCCCATTAAAACCTATTGTGTGGGGTTATGGTGCAGATCTAAGTACTCAAAGAGCTGCATTCATAAGGGGACCACGAATGCACCACAATAAAGAAATTCCAGTGTCTCTCTTCACTAATTACTTTAAGGACATAAAAAGACAAACTGCAAAGTCCTCTTTGTTTTCACGGTCTTGTATCTAAAAATGTCTCTTTTCATTAGTAAGATGGCTGGGGACTTTGCCTAAAATATTTGCATGAATACAATATGATAAATGATGAATGAATTATGCTTGCCCCGAATGAATAGTTTCTAGCTTGCTTTTGAAGCTAAGGTTTCTTATTTGAACCGACACTTCGATTATCTTGACCGTAAATTTACACTGACAACCATCCAAATGTGCATTGATCTCCAGTGTGTTTCTTACAGGCCAAGAGAAATGAGTTTTGGATGTGACAGCTCATTAAAATTACAATAAGTGCTCTATTAGCGTCTCCGAGAATACTGTGGATGAAATCGTAGAGACCAAAATCAGATTGCTACAAGTGAAAACTCTGGGAACTGACATTGCAAATATGCAGATGTTAACCTGCATGTGTATTTTACATTGTACAGTGAGAGCCATATCTAGGTCACATCTTAGTCTTAACATGTTGAATGTCACAAACGACTCACAGCTACTGCAAATGAACGTACAACCACTGTTGCAAACGTTTTGTCTATTTCATTAGAGACATGCACCTACCTGTCAGAATGACTGTGTGGATATAATCGGCCCAAAAAAGAGATGGCTCTTAGATGTGTCTGTGCGTTTCTTCCAGCTTGCTTGTGCAGAGAGTCACAGCGGATCAGCTGCACATGAACCACAGGTAAAAGTCAATTTACATCCACAGATCCCATGAACTGCTGCCTCGAAACTCTGCCTCAGCACTGTGCTAAACACTCGTTCATATGCTGGCATGTACACTGCGCAGAGCAGTACTTTTACGCCTCCCCTCTGTCCCCCGTATTTCTTAATAGGATCTGCCCTTGCCTTGCCCCTAGACTCAGCCTCCAGTCCCACCGCAGCCAGAGTGACGTCCCCTGAGCAGGCAGACAAGGGGAGGAGGAGACCCTGGGGAATTAGGGTGAGATTTGGGGGGGGGGGGCACCTCCATGCTTGAGGTTTGAGGGAGTAAAACTGTGTGGAGACAGCATTGCACCATAAGCTCTTATCCTGGGATCACACAGCAAGACAGAGAAGCAAGGAAGGAATCTTGATGGTAGAATTTGTGATTTAATGCACACTCAGGCCGAATAGATCCCAGTTGCCCAGATGCTTACTGACTACTGATAAATGGTTAGGCAACTGGCGTTGACAAATATTGAGGCAGACACTTGTGTTTACCCAGTGCAGCTCACAGGAGTGCTGCTAAAAGCATGGGTACTGATTGGTCAATGAAGGGTGGACGAGCTACAGTACTGGTGGGTTAAGTCCTCCTAATGGAAGATAGGTATTGCTCAATGTTCCCTGAGCTATTGGACCCGTGGACGTTACAAAATCAATAGCACGACTCACTGTGGTACACCACCAAAACCCTGGCATCTCCACAGCAACTTCAGTTACAAGCTTGAGCTCTTGGAGGGGAAAAAAAGTCACAATTTTCCAACAAACACTGCCTGCGATTTACAATTAAGGTTGAGTTTGCAGTGGAGAGAATTTATGCCAAGACCAGCTCAAACCAGCTTGAGACCTCAGTGGGAAGGTGGCAGCTGGTCGCTAGAAACACCGTCCAACCCGCAGACCTGAGTCTCTGTGGCATGACAACAGCCAGTTCTCTTTAAGTTTGTCCATCCAACCAAGCAGCCAAATGTCGTGGCCTGTCGCCCACCAAACCTTGGCTGCAGGGGCTGATTATCGGAGCTGCATGCTGATGGGAAAGTCAAAGTTTTTTTTTGTAGTTAATGCTGGCTGTTTGTCCTAAACACACACACATTACATCTAAAACATAGACCTAAAAGTCTGCACTGATAGGAAGGTATGGCTCACATCAAATGACTGAGGTGCATGAAACTGAGGAAAACATATTCTAAAATATCCTGTGTATTTGAGCATCCTTTAACAAAGTGCTTTAGTGCACTGGAAAAAACTGCAATAGATCAGTGAAGCTGGTGAATCACATAATCATTTTGCTACACTAACTAAACAATATAATTAATATAATAAGCATCACTGCTGTATTATCTTTTGTCATACGAAACACACAATATGTGGCAGCACCTTTTTATATGTTATATATTTTTCTTGCACAATTCAGGATTACACAAATGATTTGCATTGATGGAATAATGTCATCCTGGGCCGCAAAAATACTCTTTTGAAACGAGCACATGTGGGTAGTTACTGTAACCATGGAAAAGATGGAAAGGAGTCACTGGCTCACCGTATCTCATTGTTGACATGCGCTAATTCTGTGAAGCCAATTGAATGCATTTGCCCTCCAATGGTAGAGTGACCTAGCTTCAAAAACCTGGATATGGTCAACAGATTGAGTGGTGTTTGCCTTGCGGACACAGGGACTGCTCGCTCCAGTTAACACTGGTGTCACCAGGAAATGTTAGAGTGCACAATTACTGACAACGCCGGCCACAGGTCTGAGTAGAATCAAGACAGCAAGGGCGACCTCAAGATTAACAGCAGTATTTGGGCCAGGAAGATACTTAGACCTCAACTTGACAACAATATAACTAGTTAATATGGACATGCTGAAGTCAAAGACAGGGCCAGATATAATTTGTGAATTATGAAGAAAATAAAGTCAAAATAAATATGAAAAAGTCAATAAATAGCTATGTTTGATTCAAATAAAGGCTAAATGTCCCAGTCCCATGTTAAGATTCACTGAATCAACTTTTCATTCATTTATTGTATAAGTAAGCACATCGTGAGCAATGTACAATCCTGAGCCAAATTCCTCGTATGTGTACACATACCTGGCAATAAAAGCTGATTCTGATTCTGATTCTAAGTAGTGTAGCTCCATGGAAAAATGTAAAGATGTAAATATAAAAATAGAATAGAAACTTGTTTAGTAGGCTCGTATTAGCCATGGCTTATATGTTTAATTTAATGAAATGGTACTAAGCCTCTTCATATTACATCTTAAGAGCAGTCTGGGGACTGAAGCCTGAAGACACTACCTGTTTGACTTAATACTATTTTTATTAGGTATGAGTATGAAGTATTATCTGTGGATGCATTAATCCTGAGGACCCCCTCTCCCTGATCTGCTAAAAGTGATTTCCTGTCTCTATCTAGGTCACTGTACAAGTCTTTTCCAGTTCAGTGCTTGTAGGTTTTTGTGTAGTAGTGTTTCAATACTACATTTACACAAAGATAAATGTAATAGGTCGCTGTACAACTTCAGTGTGGTTTACAATACATTGAATGTCATCAATCTTTTGTTTCGACACATTTGGCAACAGTAACAGATTCTTTAAAGATGATCTCTGATGTCCAGGAATCTTTTGGCCCGTGGGTTGTGTCCTGACTGCACTCCTTGCAAAGTCCTTCCAAAAATGAATTCCACACAGAGAAAACTCTGAAAACGTTTAAGGCAGGTGTGGGATAAAATGCTGTAAAGTAAGAATGCTTTCAATAATGGACATGTTAATAGATTATGTTCATCAATTAACAAAATGCAAAGTGAATGAACAGAAGAAAAATCTAAGTCAAATCAATATTTGGTGTGACCACCCTCTGCCTTCCAAACAGCATCACTTCTTCTGGGTACACTTGTACAAAGTTTTTGAAGGAACTCGCCAGGAAGGGAGTAAGGAGGGTAGCATGATGCGTCTTTCATCTGCCGCAGCAAGTTTCCTTGCCTATTTCTTTGTGCTTCTTAAAAAGATAGCTCATCTGGAAACCACTATCTGCCTTGGAATTTCTGCTTTGGAGAGACCTTGCTGATGCAGTGTAACTACCTTATGTCTTGTGGCTATGCTCACTGCCATGATCTGACTTTTGGCCTCACCTTGTTAACGGAGTTTGGGTGTTCCTCACCCAGTCGTATTCTTCTGACACATGTTTATGTTTCATTTAATGATTGTCTTTCAACCTATTGAATTAGTGATCATTAGCACCTATTTGGTACAACTGTTTATTCATACATCTGATGATATGCCTACAAAATCCCTGACTTTGTGCAAGTGTACCTAGAAGAATTGATGCTGTTTTCAAGGCAAAGGGTGGTCACACCAAAAATGTATTTCATTTAGATTTTTCTTCTGTTAACTCATTTTGTATTTCATGAATGATATGATGGATAAACATAATCTATTGACATGTCTTTTTTTGACAGCATTCTTACTTTCCAGCATTTGCGCAGTACTGTAGTTTACCATAAAACTGGCTGATATGAGCAGGGGATTTCACAGGTTTACAACCCTAAATAAATATCTGGGTTTAAAACTTACCCTATGCACTGTCATGATCTTTTCATATCTTTGTTTGGCCTTTTACATGAGGCAACTACTCCAATGTGCCGGTGATAAAGCAGATATCAGTCATGAATAATATCAGTTCAATCATCAAGGCTGGATAGGCTTAATTAGTATTCACATAATATGATTATCTAAACAGAGGTGCGTTATCTGATCTGTGTGACAGTATCAGAACTGAATTGGTTTTTGTAATCATTGGATAATCAAGCTTTTCTTGGTTCCTCATTCATGAATGCAGTGCAGAAGGAGAAGGCGTGTAGCAGGGCTGCCAGGCGTCAGTAAGTCAATCACTTCTGCTTAGTTTAACTAATTAGTTTTATTGTTTTTTTTCTGTCTACTGTCCTGCAACAGATGGCTCCCCATCTCACTGGTGTGCAAAATACTGCTGAATTTAAAAATACATTACAATAAGTAACTGAATCAGTTCAGTGTGGGTGTATGTATACAGATAAAATGCGTATACATCCAGTTTAAATCATTGGATTTATCTGTGAATGCACTGGGGAACTTCTCCAAATAGCTTCATTCTCCGTTTAACAGTGCAATCACTTAAGCAAACTCTAGATATTTTATGCTCAGTGCCAGAATGTGCAATACTTCAGCCTATAAATTTTGCCTTTAAATAACATTTTAAACTGTCTGCTGGCCTACTTTGTGACACACCCTTTAACATCTGGGCTTGTTGCACAGATGATAGCAGTTTTGACTTTGCTCTCAGAGTCATGCAGAGCAAATAATAAAGTTTTTAAAAGTACAGATGGACTCATTTTAGGTCAAACTTGGCCAGCTATGCTATCTCAAAACTAAGAGCTGTGTCTGTGAATGTCTCCTGCTGACAGCTTAGAAATTATGTTGTAGAGCTGGCAATGACAAGGGAAAGCAGTGTCTAGGGTCTGTGACTGGCTCAAAATGTTCACTGTCCATAGAAATATTTTATAAACAAATACATTTTGAATGAACACTGAGCAATGTTAAATTAAGACATTAATCTTGAACCTCCCTTGGAACCAACAGAATAAGTTCAGGGTTTGTCCATACTAGGACTGCAACTAACACATTCATTCATATCTTGTTTTGTCCACAAACCAAAGATATTCAGTTTACGGGCATAGAAAACCAGAAAATATTTGCATTTCAGAAGCTGGAATCTGAGAATTTTCTTAAAGAATTACTTTAACCGATAAATCGAATCATTGATTATTTATCTGATGATAGTTGGCGATTGATTAATCATTGCAGCTGTAGTCCATTTCAGCCAGCTAAGTTAATTGGATTTACCAGCATCACAGCTGTACATTGTTTATTGTAAATTACTTTGATAGCTGGGATGAAAGCTATTATGCTGAAAGTAACAAATACCATTGTCCTTTCTGTAAAAAAAACAAAAAAACAATTCTGAACAAAACTAACGTTACTCTCACCATCTTCAGGTTAGCTGAATTTAGCTAGCTTACTCCGCAATGAACCACTTCGTTTAGCAATTAATGTAATTAGTAATTTCAGTGAAGACGTGCGGTGACACCCATTCCTCTTAAATGACTTGAGATCAGTAATTGTCTTGAATTTACTTACTTTTTTCTCAGTGAATACCTCATATTCAGATATGTAAATTTTGGTCAGCAGGAGCCTGAAATCCCCTTTAACGTTACATATCCGGCGGGCTTTAGGACCCGGCTGTCCGGCTCCCGTGAAGACGACAATGGCAATATTATGGCAGGGGTTACCTGCGCGCTTACTGACACCCAACATTAACCATTTAAGCTAAGCTACAGCCGATTGTAATACTATTGTACACATGTTGTACTGTCGGTAGGTGTGTTGTAACAGGTCCAGTGATCGCAGGAAGCTGCGGCTCATCTCTCAGCTGCCGATGGAGCACATCCGACTACCAAAGGTATTAGTTTACAGTGATTAGCTGCCATTTCCGCGCTGTACCTCCAGTGGCACTCCAGCACACACCGTCATGTGCGCTGACCGCAGAGTTTCAATTCCAATCATTAAACAAACACGGGCTTAATTAAAGGGCGTGTGCTGTGTCGGCCACGTAGGCAGCCACTGTCCTCTCCTGCAGCGATCAGCCACATTTGGCCGCACTCAGTTAACATACGAGTATACAGCTGTGTCACAGCTCCTCTATGAGGATGCGGCTGTTTGATGTTGTTCTTCCTTTCCCCCCTCCAGGTGGAGAACGTCAGGCTGCTTGACCGAGTCTCCCCTAGAAGGAGTACGGTGGGCACCATCTACCTGACAGCCACTCACACCATCTTTGTGGAGAACGCAGCTGGAGCGCGCAATGAAACATGGGTAGGCAACATTTCATTAGGCTGAAGGACCAGAAACAGTTTGGAGAAACATTAAAACTGTAGGTTGTCAGAAGACCTCAAATACAGTGCAAGACACAACGTGTGCATATGCTGCATCACGTTGCACAATGTGTTTGCAATATAACATTTCCAATAAATGCTCTATATCTGCCATTTATTTTCCTTACCAGGTGCTTCACAGTTTGGTGTCCAGCGTAGAGAAACAAGCCGCCACAGCCTCAGGATGTCCCCTGATCATTCACTGCAAGAACTTCCAGGTTCTTCATTTTGTCATACCTCGAGAGCCCGAGTGCCATGACGTTCACCTGTCCCTACAGCGTCTTTCCCAGCCAGGTAAACTGTGATCATGTCGCCAGAGGTGATGTAACCGATTTGGTGATGTAATAGCTAAAATGTGGCTTAGAAGCAGACCAGTATATCAGAGGTTCGGTGCACTATTGTCCTCTGATTATGGCTTTTTTCTTTACAGCTATATTGATTTCTGTGTTGGATTTTTGGACAATTATTAGATGTCCTGCCTCCCCCATACATTTTAACCAAATTTGGAAGATCCTTGTTGAAGATGTGTGTTTTAACAGGGACATATTTAAAAACAAATATCAGCTGATAAAAAGTTATGAGAAATGTTACTCCCTCTTAATTATATCAATGCCAGCTTTAAAATCCAGGTTGTGGTCAGCCTCTAGGTTTCATTTCCTCTGCTTTTGCCACACTTTGGACTGTCTAACTCGAACAAAGTGGAGGTTTTGTGCGTCAAAGTTTAGCAGCCAGTATTGTGCCTTGCAGAGAGTTACGAGGAGCTATATTGCTTCTCCTATAAGCCTAACGTGGATGAGGAGGAGAGAAGGCAGGAATGGGACTTCTTGGACGTCAACACTGATTATAGCAGAATGGGACTCCCAAACTCCCTGTGGAAACTCTCCCCTGTCAACCAACACTACAAGGTCAGTGAGCTGACATCTATGACCAGTTGTACAATTTTATCCTAATATGGACGTGGCAGAAGCTTAGACTTTTATTATGGTGTTTTCAAAGGTGAGTGACACTTACCCCACTGCCCTGTTTGTACCCGATTCTGCCGCACCTCCGGTCATAGTTGGGAGCTCCAAGTTCAGAAGCAGAGGCAGATTTCCAACTCTGTCATACTACTCCAGAGAAAATCATGTAAGTTGACTGCATACATTTTCTCTTTTTATTTTCCATGAGTGAGGATTGTAGCAACTAGAGCCCAACCAATAAATCCGTGGGTCGATAATATTGGCCAATTTGAGCTAACTGCAGAAAATTGGTAATGGTGTTTATAACAGCTGATAAATGACAATTTAAAAAGAAACAGAGAGACGGATCGATCCCATTAGCATGTTATGTTATGTTGCTGTTGCATAGTTTGTCTACCAGACACCAGACACTCTGCAACTTCCCTGTTGGCAACTCACGTGTTTGGCACTATAAAAGAAGTTTATTTTAAACTTCATTATGTCATGTTATCATGGTGAGGTCTCATAACTACATGAAACAAATGTTAAAAAATGTTGTAAAAAGAAGAAAAAATACAATATTGGCCAATATATTGGAATATCCGATTTTAATGTGCTCAAATATGAAAATCGGCATCTGTCTTAAAAATCCCATATCAGTTCAGACTCTAGTTTCAACACTGACAGAACCAATCTCTGACTCAGACCGTGGCCAGGAATGGCTTGTTCGAGGAAAGCCTATCAAAGCAGTTATTTGGCAGACAAACGTAGAAAGGAGATCATATATTAAGATGTAAAATGTCACAATGACATTACTACTTTTTTGGTTGCTTTGCTTGGCCAGTTTTTGCTGATATGACTTGTTAAAACTGGTCTGCCATTCTCAGCATCTCACTGTTGAGTTATTGGTACTGCATGCAGAGTAATACAGCGGGCCTGAGAGTTCAAATACAAGTATTTCTTCCATCCCTTAATGAGTCACAAACCATGGCAACAACACGCCTGTGTTGAGCTCTCAGGGTCACCGTACTCTCGCCATTTTTTTTAAAGTTAAGTAACACTAGCCTGAAGTAAAATAAGTTTAAAGTGATGATGCTCTGGTGGCACCAAAGTGGAACCAAGTTCTCTCTTTGGTTTTGAATAATTTGCTCTGATTCTTCTAATAATTCACTTCTGATACAACACAGCCAAGCTATAGGGCAATATATAATGTGTTTGTGGTGATACAGAGCAAAAACAGATTTTTCTTTTTTGCCATTTCAGTTTTTAGTGATTTTAAAAAATATATATTTTTTAACAATGGTGTGGTAATTGTGTGGCAACAAGTAGATCTTCATCATGTCAGGGTCACAGGAGTACACTAAAACATAGAATAGTAAATGTGTGAATAAAAAGAAGGAACACATACAGAAGTACGGATGTCAGTCAACAATGAAACAAAATGGAAAGCGTACCTATGCCGTACCAGGAGATTCTTAGCCAGGCACATTGTCAAACGTCCAATAAGATATCTGTTCTGTCGTTAAATGAAACCATGGATCATGACCTTTTTTCTAAATTTGAATCACGAATAAGCCTGAGCATTCATAATACATTATATTAATCCTTGACTGGACAGTTGGGAGTGCTTTATGTGTGAGTCAGAGGTCAGCTTCCCAGGGTTGAGGGTCCAGTGTGTGGAGCCCAGTTTGTACAAAGGGGCTCCGCTCCGGTTCATGAGCCAGACGGGAGAATCACACAAACGGTCTCTGGCCCTTTCCCCTTGTGGCTACTAAATGGAGATTTGAGAAAATGTGTGGTTGATTAATTTAAATTGAACATGCGAGGAAAGAAAAAGTACTGTGAATTTGTATTCACCCTGATTCTCACATCTTACAGATTTTTTTTGTTGTTGTTGTTGTTGTAAATGTCATCCAAGTAATAATTCACTTAAAATCAACTGTCAAGACAAGTAAACATTCCTGTATGAAGCAGCCTGCGTGCCTCTCCTCACAGGCTGCCATCTGCCGTAGCAGCCAGCCCCTGTCAGGTTTCAGCGCTCGCTGCCTGGAGGACGAACAGATGCTGGAGGCTATCTTGAGGTCCAACCCCCGCAGCGACTTCATGTATGTGGTGGACACTAGGCCTAAGGTGAGCCCTTTGTGCCCAAGGAACGGCCTGCAAAAATACAAGTCTTACAGTACAATGCTGTATGTTCAGGTGGGCTTTATTTTCCATACTGTGTTTTACCAGCTGGATGGTCACAGCAAAAGCCTTGAAAACATCCTGACTATGTGCTTGTTGAATCCAGATCAGTTTTATGTAACTGATATTTGTGTAAATCCATGTTTTCTTATTATTTTCCTCTTGAAAAAGTATATTCTGACAATGAATCAAATGTCTTTCTAGCTGAATGCAATCGCAAACCGAGCTGCAGGAAAAGGCTACGAAAATGAAGACAACTATTCCAACATTAAGTTCCAGTTCATCGGCATCGAGAACATCCACGTTATGAGAAACAGCCAACAAAAAATGCTAGATGGTAATTATCATGTCTTGCTGAAATGATTTCTCACACTGATTGTAAATTGATTTACTGTAGAAACAGTTTGGAAGCCACAGCAGAGCGTCTATCACTGTGTCAGAAATGTTTCACCACATCAGTGTTTGTGGAATGGAATGTATATTTTCTGGCAGTCTGTTTTAAAGCCCGCTCCTTCTTCACATTACTAAAGCACAGAGGGACCCCATGCTACTCCTGTGGCTTTCATATGCACTCATGCAGACCGGACTGTGCTGCAATCAGGCCTCAAATGAGCCCACAGGAGAATTTCTGGGTATTGTGCAGCGGTGCTCCTAGGAAGACTTTGAATCCATCTGGATTTTATTTCTTAGCTATTTTGGTTTCCTGGAGTGGACAATCCGGGACCTTATCCCCCAAAGAGAGACAGAGGGCGTGAGAATGATGTGATTTCAAGTCTGAAAAGTTATAGCTGTTCTAAGTTGTGATAACTCTTTGCCCTCTCAAGGGAAATCTTTAAATGCTGGAGGCAGAGCCTGCCCTTAAGAGCCTGCCTGACTCTCTCCACCTGATTGCAAACTTCAATAAGATTTGGAAGGACCCCCCCGCAGCATTAGAGCAAACATTTCTTCTTAGTGGAAGTCCGCTCTACTAAGTATTGTAAAAGGTTGCCTGAACTCATTCACCTGTTCACTCTCCTATCAGTGGCCACAGAGCGCCTCTTAAGAGGTCAGCACAATGGTGTGGTGTCAGCAAAAAACACTGTCAGCCGCTTAATGAGTGAGTAGTGAACAGATGTTTCCACAGCCAGTTTCCATGCAGTTGTATAAAAGTGTGTCTGCATGAATGTTAATGTGATGAATTTTCCTGCGCAAATGAAATGTCAGTTGTGGAGAAACGGCTTCATGTCACTGTACCCCTCAGTGAACTTGCAAATATTTATGTTGAACCCTGAAGATGGGGGGTAAAAATAAATTTTAGATTCAGTTTTACAAGATAAACAAACATAATACAGGAAGCCTTATTGTACAGAAATGGATCTGTATTTAATTGTTTGTCTTGCCTGTGTTATTATGGGCATGGCTTTGTCTTACATTCATATTTTTAAATACACAGTGACGAGGCTAACATCCTACAGCCATGCTAGCAGCTCTGTAAGGCTATATTTAAACACATTGGTTCTTTTTAGCTAAATGCTAACTTCAGTGTACTAACATGTTCACAATGACCATGCTATGTTGATGTTTAGCGGGTGTACTATTTACCATGTTTACCATCTTACTTCAGTGTGTTAGTGTGCTAACTAATTAGCAAAGTACAGCTGAGGCTAATGGGAATGTCATTAGTTTTATTATTTGGTTATAATATAATAAAGTGTTGAACAAATGAAACATTTTGACTTGATGATAGTACTAAATGAAAAGTTAAGGGCTCACCATAGGGATTAAAATGCATTATGAGGGGAACATGAATGTATGCTCCAAATTTCATGACAATCCATTAAGTAGTTGCTCAGGGTGTTTTACTTAAAACCACAAATCAAGCTCATGTTTGTGCTAGAGGATCTGTAAAGTCATTAGGATACATCACCTGTGAACCATGAATATCTGGAACCATTTTGTACCAATCCATGCTGTAAATGTTGAGATATTTGACAAGAAAATTCTAAACTTTGACCTACTTGTGGCTCAAGAGGAAAAGTCTGCAGATCACCAAAGTCAGTAGGATTCATCCTCTGGGGACCAGGAATGCCTGTTAAAAATGGCAGGCAATCCATACAACAGTTGTTGAAATATTTCAGTCTGAGCCAAAGTGTTTGACAGACATTCCTAGAGCCACGCCGCCAGCGTGACTAAAACCATTGTGTGGGGTCCAAATGAACCATCACACGAGAAGCTGATGTGTTTTGAAAAACAAAATATGCTAGTGTGACCCATATTTTCTCATGCCAGGCACAGATTCCCTTTAAATTCCTCGTCATGAATGTTCTTATTGATGTGAGGTTTAATAAAGTCCTGTGATCAGGTATGCTCCATGTTTCCTGCCGGTGAGACAGCTGTGTTGTGGTTACAGTGTGTGAGCTGCGTTCCCCCTCCATGTCCCACTTCCTGGAAGGTCTGGAGAGCTCAGGCTGGCTGAAGCACATCAAAGCTGTTTTGGATGCAGGCATCTTCATCGCCAAGGTCAGTCTGGAGGTTAATCCATGCTGACTGCCTCACCACGACACTCAATATTAGGTGTGGGTGTGTGTGTGTGTGTGTGTGTGTGTGTGTGTGATTGTCTGTCTGTGTACACTGAGTTGCCAGTTATGATACATCAGTCATGCAATAAAAAAGTCTTTAGGCAACTACCCTCATAGCTATAAGTGGGGTGGCCAAAATAACAGAAACACCTGTCAGTATAACAGTACTGTAGTAGTAATTCAGATCACTCCCCGCTGTCTGGGTTGTATAAGTAGAGCACATTTACCTCCTACATTGCACTTATTAAACAGTATTTGCTCTCAGGCTCCACCTGTCTATGATTAATATAGACAGGTGGTAACTTAATACTTAAGTTTGTACATGGTCAAGTTTAGGGGATATCTATGGTTGGAGTAAATGAATTCAACAGACACAGGCGGGATATGTATGCCGCCTAACAGGAAGTAGAAAGTGCCTAAAAGGTGCAAATGAGGGAACAAAAATGATCTAATAATCGCTGGTTTCCCTTCTCAAAACTGCTATTTACCAGAGAGCTTTTAATTACTTAAAATAAAATACCACAACCAACTGTGTCAGACTTGTTCAGATGAAAACAGGAACATGACATGGCAATCGTACAGAAACCCAATACAATGTAATTACAACAAAAGCATTGTATCTATTTCCCTAAACTTCAGGGCCTGAAGCAGCAGAAACTTTAAAACATATCTGGATCGATGCAGTCTGTTTAAGCTGTTTTCGTTGTTTTGTGTTGTTTTTATTTCTGCAACCTATTGTAGAATTTTAACCGCTACGAACAGGTATTTCAGATCTGTTACCCTCTTGTGAGTCAGCGTGCAGCCTCAGTGGGTCTAAAGGTGGTGTGTCTGAGAATTTAAAGGTGCCCTGTGGAGTGGTCATGTAAACCAACTTCTGTTTTCATTAAATGTTTTCTCACCACAATCCTTCAGGCCTAAATAAGCTGTTGATTTTTTTTGTCATTTTTATTATTTCAATATAAAGAAAACACAGATTTGTTTTCATTTTGAAATAACACAATTTGTAAAAGATTTCACTGTATTTGTGTCTGTGTGTGCACGCAGGCTGTTGCAGAAGAGGGTGTCAGTGTCCTGGTTCATTGTTCAGACGGTTGGGACCGCACCGCCCAGGTGTGTTCAGTGGCCTGTGTACTGCTGGATCCGTACTACAGGACCCTCAGAGGACTCATGGTAGATGGTGAACTTTTGCCTTTTTGTACCTAATTTACAGTGTAGAACTGCATCTTTTAAGTAGCACTGTGCATGCCACATACCTCTCTGTATCATATTAATATATCCAGTTACATGGTGGTTTTTGCTGATAGTACACCATACAGGGCTCATGAGGCTTGCTTCTTTAATCAGAAGGATTTGCACAGGCTAACTGGGAATCCACTAAGCGCCACTATGGAAAGTAAATATAACAGAGAAGTCTGCTTTTAAGAATTGCCCTGAAAGTCAGAGGAAAATGACCCCACACAGAGGGTGAAGAGGTTCAGTCATTCTGCAGGGCTCCACTGTTCACTATGTCTGAACCTTGAATCATGGCACACTGACAACATGTGCAAAAAATCTTTGTGTTTTAGCAGGTCAATGTATTTTTTTTTTTCTGCACTAAGGTTCTCATCGAGAAAGACTGGGTCTCGTTTGGACACAAGTTCTCTCACAGGTTTGACTCTAAACAATATTACTGTCATAGCATCTGATTTAGGTGTTTGGTTTTGATCTAACTGTCCTCACCTCTTCTCCAGGTGCAACCACCTGGTCGGAGACCCTAAAGAGGTATCTCCCATCATAGATCAGTTCCTGGAGTGTGTGTGGCAGCTTATGGAGCAGTTCCCCTGTGCCTTTGAGTTCAACGAGAGGTTCCTCATCACCATTCACAGTCACATCTACTCCTGCCAGTATGGCAACTTCATTGGTAACAACCAGCGGGAGAGGAAAGAGCTCGGGTGAGATTTACACCCGCAGCCGCCATCACTTTGTTTTCCTTTTCACAGCACAGGCATCTTGTCAGAGCCACCATTCTGAGAGAAGACTGACTGCTGAAGAGAAGTGACAGCCGGTAGTATATTATGTCCCCAGGCTCATGCAAATAGAGACGACTCTATGTTCGAAACAAAAAAAACAATCAGTGTCTTTCTTTTATCAGAAGCCCATTAATCATGTTTTGATATTATCTTTAACTCTTGACTTCCACTTTCATACAGATTGCGTGAGAGGACTCACTCTTTGTGGAGTTATCTAATGACGAGCCAGGCAGACTACATCAACCCTCTGTACCGACCAGACCACAGCCAGACACAGGGGCTCCTCCAGCCATCTACTGCCCCCTACTGCTTTAAGTAGGTTCTAACAAACAGAAAAAAACACCCACAACTTCAGTATAAAATCTGGTATACACATGCATTTCCTATTACAAACACAAGTCTCAGTTGTTAGACTCTTTTGCAATAAATCCATGCAAATGGTAAATGAAACAAAGGAAAGAGACGATGATGTGTGTATTTTAGAGCTTAGAGATATCTTGCTTTGTGTAGGTTTTGGAGAGGGCTGTACAACCGTTTTGACCGAGGGATGCATCCTCGACAGTCAGTGGAGGATTATCTGAGTGCCATCCAAGAGGAGACACAGCAGCTGGAGGAGCAGCTGGCTTCACACAAACAGGTAGGACAGGGCTAGATTCATACTGCCATGTTTTTTTCCTGGATATAGAAGATGACTGTAGTCTTGTTGTAATAATGTCCTTACATTATCAATAGAAAATTGCTCAGCTGGAGCAGGAGCAGGGGTGGCCTGTCACCCAGAAAGCAACCACCTTTGATAAGAGCCCCACGGCATGGGCTCATGGTAATGACTTCAGGCTGGCCAACACCCCTCAGGATTACACCGGGGGCTTCATCACCAGCAGCCCCTGTCAGTCTAAAGCACCAGACAGCAGCCTGATCCTCCTGCCCCAGGAATTGAGGCAAACGTCGGAATCCAGCCTTTCCAACGGCAGCGACCAGGAGTCAGGGATTGCAGACCTGAGCTGTCGTTCACCTCTCAGCAAGGACAGCACCCGGGATCCAGACTCTGATGAAGCTGCCTACTCCACTGCCTGAGCAAATGTAGCATTTGGCGGAAGGTGGAGCACCAACCACCCGTTCACGGGGTCACTGAACAAACACTACTCTTTTACAAGACTTGCACTTTTGTTTGCATGTGGTGTGGCGGACTCTCTCTGTTTGCCACATACATACTAGTTAATAGCTGTTTACTGTAGCTGAACACATTTTACTTCTTACCCTGGTGAAAGAAATTAAGATTGTAAAAGTAATAGGAAAGCTGAATATAAAGGGCAAGTTAACAGTTAACAGTGAACAATTCAATGCAGAGTGTGTCAACTCATCATATTCATGATGAGCCATTTAGCTGTGCACGCTTGCTTTTTACTATGGTCGTCCATATTCGTTTATTTATTTGGCTTTACATTGTAAACACCAAAAAGGATGTGTCAGCTGCACTTTGATATTGAGTTTTCAAAGCAATATGAAATAATTAAGAGCGCTCCATTTGAACCAAATCATCTTTGTGGGTAGCTCCATTGATCTTAGAGAGCAAAATGATTGAAACAATCACATGATAATACAACAAATGGATAAAATGCGGAGAGTGAAAAACCCAGCAGACTCGAGTTGAAGCTCATCAACAAGGATAAGACAAATGTGGACAGACAATTGGCTGTTACAGGTGCTAACTGGCATTCAGAATGACTCAATTTGTAGCATTTTTGTAAAGATTTATCTCCTTTAAATCATTTTCCATACTGTGTTTTGGCTGTCGCACCTTATGGTCACTGCCACTCACAGGCCATCTGGATTCAAGATTTCAGGTTGGCCTGAAAGAGCAGCAGTAATCCCGTTCTACCCACAATTTAGTTCAAATGGGTAATGTAGCCATTTTTCCATTCCAAAAAATATATTAAAAGTAAACTTAACTTACTCAGCACACCACAGTGACCACAGATACATTTTTGGAGTCATAACTCTACAATAACCAGTGGTTCGTTGTGGTTGATTGGCACCTTGTGGTCCACACCTGGGTATTTCAACTAGATAGATTTGAAATTTTATTGAAGACAAGGCAACATTATACATTTGTGTCCACAAAATTTCAACACCAGATTTGATGTGATCAAATCACATTTCTTACCAAAGGAAACAGACCTGTCTACTGGTGTAAATAGTCCACACAGTAAATGATAGGCCTACTAGATACAGCAGACTAGAGCATGTGAACACAAATGTACTGCTGCTTCGGGCAGCAGATGATTGACTGACTTGTTGAATATTTGTGCCATCTCAACTGTAAAATTAGCATTAAAGCTACTGACTTAGGGTATTGGAGTACACACTAGGTGCACTCCAGTACTGCACATGAACAATGCAGAGATGATCAAGCAAAGCATGTTGAAATATTTTTGTACTATGACCTATTTTTTGACTATTGTCTGTAATGCATGTTGTTTTGTATTTGTGTATCAGAGGGTATACAATGTCTGGTCTAAAGGATTTATGACCTTGTATGAAAGAAAGAGCTGCTTTTATTTGTTCATGTAGACTAGGAGCCAAATTTGTCAAACTGATCTAAATGCAAAAATGTATAGTTAGTGTCAATTTTCTCTTGAAATAAATAAATACATTATTATTGTCAATGATACTGCTCTAATAATACTCTGTTGTGTTCTTACCTGTCAGTTCACCAAATAAATGTCACACCTATCCCCACTGGCATCTAGCAGTGCAGACAGGTTTGGTTTTATTTGCCCGGGGTTTGAGATTTCTGGATAATCTACAGAACACAATTTGAATAGTTTTCAAAGGGCTTACGTTTTCATTAGAAAGTAGTTCCAGTCACAAATGTTGACCATGTGATCTGTGGATTATCCAGAGTAACTGGGACACTGATTATAAAAATACCTTGCTGTTGAGTTTTTGGAAGGTAACTTTTTAGTGTTTCATTGTCTTTGTGTGTAGGCAGGAATTTCAAAGAATAATAATAATAATAATTGCTGGACAAATAGAAAAAAAAAATCTAAACAGCCAGAACCTCATACAGGTTGACCAATAAGTTGCACTGTCTGTTATTCTTGAATTTTGTATTTATTTCCTCAAAACAGCAGGGCTGAAACCCATTTGTGTCTTGTTCCTGTTTCCCTTGTTCACCATCTATAAGCCTTGATGCAAGAGATTTACATCTGAACAACTGCTTCTGCAGAATCACCTCAATTTACAAACAACAATACTTTTCATGTTATTGGTATTAGCAGGTCTCTACCAGAGTTTATGACATTATCAATCAGGTACAGTCAATGGCAGCAAAGACTTGTCGGGAACAGAGATTTGGAGCTCTGATTCCTTAAAAGAGGAACATCTGGCCAGCTGTACTGGCCATGAGCCAGACCCTGAACAACACCAGTAGCCCTGCTCTGTGGCTCATCCAGCTGTCTGCTTTCATTATTATATTATTATATTATTATTATCTGCAAGCAAAGTGAATTTTACTTTGAGGATCAACAATGCGTCTTTTAATTTGTTTGTTTTCCATTAGTCTTCCCAAAATTGGAAAGTTGATGGAGAACCTATAGCTGGTCCCAAGAGTCTAAAAAGTGTAAAGGTTTAATTTACTTTTCAATTCTTAAATGCAATTATTTGTTTAGACAATAATTAGACATTTCAGCATTTTCCTCTCACAGTAAACAAATGTCTTCTATAATTTTATTTTCAGTCACTGAAGCGGGAGCACTGAACCAGCCAGACGTGGTCCACACGGCCATGCAACACGGTACATCTACGCACATGACGTTTCTGATTTACGTGATGACGTTTGTTGTAGGCTCCACTATGATGGCAGCTGTAGGTTGACATCGAAACAATACTGAATATAAACTATTTAAAAGTTCGCGGAAACCCCCCGACACAACAACGTGGAACAAAATTAACAGTTTTCAGATAGTACACACTTAAAACACACACCTGCCCGGTCTGGGGAACGGTAAGTTGACGAAGCTACAGTGACGCCGAGTGTGTCTGTCGCTAGTTAACTCGTCTCTCACGTTTTGCACTACACTCTTTTATATCTGTCGAGCTAGCAGTCAACCTGAGAAGTGTGTACAAACTGTACACAGCCTCCCACCTGAGAGCCTCCACTGTCCTGCTCATGTAAGCCAATGCTAAGTCTGTAGCCTGCTAACTGCTACAGGTAACCTAGCTAGCCCATAGTGCTGCTGAAAGCTTCCTGCTGCGACGAGCTAACGTTAACGCCAGCCAGCCAAGCACGTCCTGCATATGTTGAGTAGACAGCTGCTGTTCCCATGTCTGTTTGCGTTGATGTGACTTGTTAATTTAGCAGGTAACGTGAAGTAGCCCAGCTGAAAGGAAGCAGAAACCGCCCTGAGATTGAGTAAGCTTCCCTAATGTTGAGACTGGCAATGAGATAATGTGATTTCATAACCTGAGGCTGTAATTCCTTTAATTAATACTATACCGTTATATATTGTTAGCCAAATGGTTTGTCAGCATTTCTTGGGTGTCTGGGGATCATGTGCTCCATGTCTTTGTCTTGCCACCTCTTCCTGTTTGGTCTATCACAATTCAGCATATTGGGCTAGATCTATAAAACCACAACCTTCCTGAAGCTTGTCTTCTTTTCTATTTGTGTATTTTATTTATTTTGCATCTTTCTGTTTGTATGGTGAAGTGGCACTATGCCCGCAGCTACTGTGGATCACAGCCAAAGAATATGTGAGGTTTGGGCCAACAACCTGGAGGAGGAGCTGAAGAGGATCCGACATGTCATCCGAAAATACAACTACATTGCTATGGTGAGAGATGCTCATAGAGGGGAAAAAAGCTGTCAAGACACACCCAGATCTTTGTTGTTCATAACGAGTTGTCTGTCTTCTTACAGGACACAGAGTTTCCCGGTGTAGTAGCCAGACCAATTGGAGAGTTCAGGAGCAACGCTGACTATCAGTACCAGTTACTGCGCTGCAATGTGGATTTGCTCAAGATAATCCAGCTTGGCCTCACGTTTATGAACGAACAAGGGGAATACCCTCCTGGAACATCGACATGGCAGTTCAACTTTAAGTTTAACCTCACGTAAGATGACTTTTGTGCTACTTTCACCATTTTCACAATTTATGTTGCACTCAAATGCATCCATTGCATGCACTTGAGTATTTGGTCCACTGTATCTTGATCTGAGTGCAATTTACAGTTAACAGCAACACAGATTGAAATACAACACCTGCTCGTGTCAAAGTAGAATCTGCATGATTTGGTCACCTTTTATGGTCATACTAGCTAAGGGAAGAGTATCTTAGCTAGCTGACAGGACACACAGATGACACATAAAAGGAAGTTTGTATGTTATTTGTGGTCTTTAAACTGCTCCTCCTCAGGCCCAGTTCACAAAATGCAGACTTTTTTTTATAATTATGATATTTAGTTGCTGCTGTCATACCTACTTGATTGTCTGTAGTGGTTGAAATAATAACAGTGTGACATGTAGTCCAGTCCCAGTCCCCTGATTGTGACTGTGATTAAATAGATTGTGATATTCTCCCAATCTATTTATTTGCAGTCACAATTCATCTAAATTGTGATCTTTTGAAGTGCCCTGAAGACTATAGCCAGACTTGAAATAGCCTTTGAATTTCTCCATTTTGCATCATTAAAAAACAACATTGCATTTAATATACTACACATGTTTCAAACCCGAGTTTAATTTGAAGTCAAAAGTCAACATAATCATAAAATAACACTTTTCAAGCGCTCACAACTCAATTGCATTGTTTATAGTACGTCACACAAGGAAGAACCGCTAGTCAGTGGGGCAATAAATACCACAATCTCTACAGTTCACCTGAAAAGTAGATTGTGGACGCTTTAGGTCTCGATCTGAAATCGCCACATTGCCCAGCCCTGGTGACCTGTGTGCTTGTCTTTGTCCCCAGAGAAGATATGTATGCACAGGACTCCATTGAGCTCTTGACCACTTCAGGGATTCAGTTCAAGAAGCACGAGGACGAAGGCATCGAGACGCTGTACTTTGCAGAGCTGCTGATGACATCAGGAGTTGTGCTCTGTGATGGAGTCAAGTGGCTGTCTTTTCACAGGTATTCTGCTTTTGCGATTAGCAGCTATTTTTGTGTGCGGTCAAGTATATTTAAAATTGTGGCAGCTATACTGTAGACAGCTGAAAGCAACAGGAATGAAGACAGTTGTCTTTCCCAGGAGTAACTTTTACTCTCTTTGCTTGTTAGCTAGTTGATAAACAGGCACTTATCAGAAACACATTGAGTTGGTTCTGGTATCATTAAGTAGCATTGGACTGTGTATTATCTGTGTTATGTGTTTGAAAGCTTATGTTTTCTCAATGTATGGTATATTTTGTCATGTCTGTCACAGCCTTTCTCCTGTGTTTAAATTTTTACTAATGGTATTTGCTGTGGCCTTTCAGAAGGAACATGAAAAGTGATATGGATTTTTATTTATTTTCATTTTTGGGGGCTTTTTAGAGAGAGGTAAGATGTTACGCAGAACTGTGATTTTTATTTCCTACAATCATGTTACTATAAAACAATATCCTGTTAAAATTTGCTATAAAATTTGCTGCTCAATTTCAAATTGGTTTCTAGTGACGAAGCAAGCGTTTATCTTCTGCACTCTGCTGCTTAACATCTTCATTTCATACTCAGTTTCCCACTGTGTCTCCATGGCAAACTAAAGATAACCAGGATTTGGAAAATAAACAAAGCTTAGGTTTGAATCACCACTGTCATCTCTTTCAGGTATTTAGAACACACCTTTACCAACAGGCTTTTCTGTCATTATGTTTTTATTTATATTCTTGCTAGTTTTGTTCATTCTTATTTTATCATGGTATTTCTTTACTTGATCCAATTTTTCATTTTTTTCTTGTGTATTCAGTGTTAATGGATAATTGGTCTGTTGTGAATAAACTGAGCATTCATCTTGTCAGTTGCTTTTCAGTTCCTGTTAGTTATTTATTACTCGGATGCTTGCTGTAAAATCAAAGTCCCAAATTCACAATATCCTTTTTTTGGAAAATGCAGTGGCTTTATGTAGTTATTTGATCTTGCATGTGTAGTAATCTAGTCAAAAGGGCAAGCAGGAACAGAAAAAGAAACCTGTCTTTAATTGTCTTTGTGTCAGATTGGACGTGAAAATATCTCGTGAAGCCTCCGGCTGTGTGCTCTTTAAAAACATAGTTAAAAGGTGTGCATGTGTTTTGCAGTGGCTATGACTTTGGATACCTGATCAAGATTCTGTCCAACGCTAACCTGCCTGAAGAGGAGGTGGACTTCTTTGAGATTCTTCGCTTGTACTTTCCAGTCATATATGATGTTAAGTACCTCATGAAGAGCTGTAAAAACCTGAAGGTACTTAAACAAATGTGTCAGCAGTTAGCACAGAGTCTCTCTTGTTGTCATTTAAAGCTTCATGCCTTGGTTTCTGTTGTGATTTCCTGTGAGGGTGAAGCTCGGATTTTACTCAGACTCGAAACGTGGATCTTGAGTGACTGGCGGTGTTTTGTTTTCAGGGCGGGCTGCAGGAAGTAGCTGAGCAACTGGAGCTGGAGAGGATCGGCCCACAGCACCAGGCTGGCTCTGACTCTTTACTCACAGGC